ATCAAAATTTTAACTATTACTGGCTAACTGAATAATAACTTATTATATAAAGTCAAAATTTGTAAGATTATCCACAAAAATTAGTAATGCTACTTTACCAAAGTAGTAATATATTGTGACAAGTTGTTCAGGTACAAACGAGTGGATTACTGCGGAATTTATGGGTGGACCTCTGCGGGACGAGCGTAGCGAGTTCCGCAGCCATCTATTCATCAATATGTTGTTCAAGTACAATACTCACTTGATTCACTCTGTTGTGAGTTTTTCTCATAAGTTCAAAAACTACACGTTTCAAGGAAGTGTCTTACTTGAATAGTTCAACAGTATATTGCTGAGTAAATGGCTGCGGAACTCGCTACGCTCGTCCCGCAGAAGTCCACCCATAAGTTCCGCAATAATCCATTTATTTGTACTTGAACAATAATAAAGAATTTTGACTTTGCCAATCGGAAAAGCGCTAATAATAAAATTACGAACTTTCTAAGTTAGACAATGAATATATTGACAAGCCTCTATTTTGGAATTTTTACCTCAAAAACTATCGGGGGCTCAGAGATGAAACTTTGAGGCTCTATTCTTAAAGGTTTAAGGTAAAACATAGTCAAAATTCAAGCTGATCGAACTCCTAATAATAAAGTTATGAATTTTCTAAATTAGCCAAAATGAATACATTAACAAGCCTCTATTTTGGAATTTCTACTTCAAAAACTATCGGGGGCTCAAAGATGAGACTTTGAGGCTCTATTTTTGAAGGTTCGAGGTGAAACATACTAAAAATTCAAGCTGATTGAACCGCTAATAATAAAGTTAGGAATTTTCTAAATTGGGCAAAAATGAATACATTGGCAAGCCTCAATTTTGGAATTTTTACCTCAAAAACTATCGGGGGCTCAGAGATGAAACTTTGAGGCTCTATTCCTGAAGGTTTAAGGTAAAACATAATAAAAATTCAAGCTGATCGAACCGCTAATAATAAAGTTACGAATTTTCTAAATTAGGTAAAAATTACTACATTGATAAGCCTCTATTTTAGAATTTTTACCTCAAAAACTAACGGGAGCTCAGAGATGAAACTTTGAGGCTTTACTCTTAAAGGTTTGAGGTAAAACATACTAAAAATTCAAGCTGGTCGAACCCCTAATAATAAAGTAACGACTTTTCTAAATTAGCCAAAATTAATACATTGACAAGCCTCTAATTTGGAATTTTTACCTCAAAAACTATCGGGGGCTCAGAGATGAAACTTTGAGGCTCTATTCTTGAAGGTTTGAGATGAAACATACTAATAATTAAAGCTGATTGAACCGCTAATAATAAAGTTAGGAATTTTCTAAATTAGGCAAAAATGAATACATTGAAAAGCCTCTATTTTGGAATTTTCACCTCAAAAACTATCGGGGGCTCAGAGATGAAACCTTGAGGCTCTATTCCTGAAGGTTTGAGGTAAAACATATTACAAATTCAACCTGATCAAACTGCTAATAATAAAGTTACGAATTTTCAAAATTAACCAAAATGAATACATTGACGAGCCTCTATTTTGGAATTTTAACCTCAAAAACTATCGGGGGCTCAGAGATGAAACTTTGAGGCTCTATTTCTGAAGGTTTGAGGTAAAACATACCAAAAATTCAAGCTGATCAAGTGGCTAATAATAACGTTACGAATTTTCTAAATTAGACAAAAATGAATACATTGAGACAAGCCTCTATTTTGGAATTTCTACCTCAAAAATTATCGGGGGCTTAGAGATGAAACTTTGAAGCTCCATTCTTGAAGGTTTGAGGTGAAACATACTAAAAATTCAAGCTGATCAAACCGTTAATATTAAAACTACGAATTTTCTAAATTAGGCAAAAATTAATACATTGACAAGCCTCTATTTTGGAATTTTTACCTCAAAAACTAACGGGGGCTCAGAGATGAAACTTTGAGCCTCTATTCCTGAAGGCTTGAGGTGAAACATACTAAAAATTCAAGCTGATCAAACTGCTAATAAAAAAGTTATGAATTTTCTAAATTAGGCAAAAATGAATACATTGGCAAGCCTCAGTTTTGGCCATTTTACCTCAAAAACTATTAGGGGCTCAGAGATGAAACTTTGAGGCTCTATTTTTGAAGGTTTGAGGTAAAATATACTAAAAATTCAAGCTGATCGAACCCGTAATAATAAAGTTACGAATTTTCTAAATTAGCCAAAATGATTACATTGACAAGTCTCTATTTTGAAATTTTCACCTCAAAAACAATCAGGGGTTTAGAGATGAAGCTTTGAGGCTCTATTCTTGAAGGTTTGAGGTAAAATATAATAAAAATTCAAGCCGATCAAACCGCTAATAATAAAATTACGGATTTTCTAAATTTGGCAAAAATTAATACATTAACAAGCCTTTATTTTAGAATTTTTACCTCAAAAACTATCGGGGGCTCAGAGATGAAACTTTGAGGCTCTATTCTTGAAGGTTTGAGGTGAAACATACTTAAAATTCAAGCTGATCGAATCTCTAATAAGAAAGTTACGAATTTTCTAAGTTAGCCAAAATGAATACATTGACAATCCTCTATTTTGGAATTTTTACCTCAAAAACTATCGGGGGCTCAGAGATGAAACTTTGAGGCTCTATTTCTGAAGGTTTGAGGTAAAACATACTAAAAATTCAAGCTGATCAAACCGGTAATAATGAAATTACGAATTTTCTAAATTAGGCAAAAATTATTACATTAACAAGCCTCTATTTTGGAATTTTTATCTCAAAAACTATCGACAACTCAGAGATGAAACTTTGAGGCTCTACTCTTAAAGATTTCAGGCAAAAATGAATACATTGACAAGCCTGTATTTTGGAATTTTTACTTCAAAAACTATCGGGGGCTCAGAGATGAAACCTTGAGGCTCTATTCTTAAAGGTTTGAGGTGGAACATACTAAAAATTTAGGTTGATCGAACCCCTAATACTAAAGTTACGAATTTTCTAAATTAGTCAAAATGAATACATTGACAAGCCTCTATTTTGGAATTTTCACCTCAAAAACTATCGGGGGTTCAGAGATGAAACTTTGAGGCTCTATTCCTGAAGGTTTGAGGTAAAACATACTAAAAATTCAAGCTGATCAAACCGCTAATAATGAAGTTACGAATTTTCTAAATTAGACAAAAATGAATACATTGGCAAGCCTCTATTTTGGAATTTTCACCTCAAAAACTATCGGCGGCTCAGAGATGAAACCTTGAGGCTCTATTCTCAAAGGTTTGAGGTGGAACATACTAAAAATTTAGGTTGATCGAACCCCTAATACTAAAGTTACGAATTTTCTAAATTAGTCAAAATGAATACATTGACAAGCCTCTATTTTGGAATTTTCACCTCAAAAACTATCGGGGGTTCAGAGATGAAACTTTGAGGCTCTATTCCTGAAGGTTTGAGGTAAAACATACTAAAAATTCAAGCTGATCAAACTGCTAATAATGAAGTTACGAATTTTCTAAATTAGACAAAAATGAATACATTGGCAAGCCTCTATTTTGGAATTTTCACCTCAAAAACTATCGGGGGCTCAGAGATGAAACTTTGAGGCTCTATTCCTGAAGGTTTGAGGTAAAACATACTAAAAATTCAAGCTGATCAAACCGCTAATAATGAAGTTACGAATTTTCTAAATCAGGCAAAAATGAATACATTGGCAAGCCTCTATTTTGGAATTTTTACCTCAAAAACTATCGGGGACTCAGAGCTGAAACTTTGAGACTCTATTCTTGAAGGTTTGAGGTGGAACATACTAAAAATTCAAGCTGATTAAACCGCTAATAATAAAGTTACGAATCTTCTAAATTAGCCAAAACGAATACATTGGCAAGCCTCTATTTTGGAATATTTATCTCAAAAACTATCGAAGTCTCAGAGCTGAAATTTTTGAGGCTCTATTCTTGAAGGTTTAAGGTGAAACATACTAAAAATTCAAGCTGATCAAACCGCTAATAATGGAGTTACGAATTTTCTATATTAGGCAAAAATTACTATATTGAGAAGCCTCTATTTTGGAATTTTTACCTCAAAAACTATCGGAGGCGCAAAAATGAAACTTTGAGGCTCTATTCTTAAAGTTTAAGGTAAAACATACTAAAAATTCAACCTGATCAAAGCGCTAAATTAGTCGAAAAACAATCCAAGATCATCTTCAAATGATCATTTTAAACGGAAAAAAAATCAAAAAAGAAAATCCTGACAAGATTAAGAAAAATGGCCAATATTTGCATTAAAATTTAAAAAAATTATACACTATTGAAAAGAGCGATAAATTTTCTATAAATCTGTGCAAAATTGAATTTCATAGCTCGCATAAATTCTGAGAAATTAAACCACGTAGCTGAACATTTTCATTTAAGCTTTCAGGAAATAAATCTGAGGCTCACAAAGGTTGTTTTCTCAAATCAATACATGGAAAAATTTATAAAATTGCTGTTAAATCATCAGAAAAATATTTCATTAATTCTTGTCTATAAATTCATAATAAATTCCACAAAATTTACCTTTTGACTCCGTACTATACACTCACGTATTTTGACCATAAAAAGGGGCACCAGACCTTGAAATTTATCAAGGCAAAATATTTCCAACGTGTACGAGAACGCAGCTGCTTTTACCCATCTCACTTTAGCCTATCAAAAATACTCGTGAACAAGAGAGAAAGATTATCATTAATATGGGTAGAAGTAGAAAAACATTTTGGCGAAGGTGCAAGGAAGAAACAGAATACAGAATTATTATATGTTATTATTTCTTTATACAGTTTTGTAAGAAAGTAATATTTTTCCCACTAGAAAATAATTAATTTATATGTTGGCTTGATTCAGTTGCAGCTCAAAGGGTAAGTTTGTAAAATTGCTTTTGTGCAAATAGTTAGGTACTTCTAGACATAAGCTCCCATACTAAAGCTCTTGACCTCGACTATTATAATATGGGACAATCCATTATTTTACTGCATGAGAAACAAGACAATCATTTTCAAAACAATAAAGTTTATTTCATATTAATTTCCATAAATCTACATTTTGACGCACAACATTTTGGGAAGAAAAACTAATAATGTTTATTAGGAACTAAATTAGCTAATGGTAAATATTTGTACAGCCATGACTGAAAAAAAAAATGCTTCTGTATATCACAAAAAAGAAAAAAAAAAAGAGGTTTATGTCATCAAATTCAAAATTCCATCTTTGCAACATGAAACAAGCCCTTGCAAGTTTTCAAATGGATATTTAGCATGGCCTTAGCCACAAAGCCCTTGGTGCAAAACTGACAAACATAGGGCTTTTCACCTGTATGTCCGCGCATATGTATAACCAAACTGCTTCTTTGCGAAAACCCTTTGCTGCAATAATCGCATATGTACGGTTTTTCTCCTGTATGCACTCGCACGTGTTCCACTAGTATGGGTTTTTTGGTGAAGCATTTGCCACAATATTGACAGCTAAAATCAACTTATTAGTGTATATTATAAATAATAACAATTAATTCTCACCTGTAAGGTTTATATCCAGTATGAGTCCTCAAATGAAACTTTAGCTTCTCTTTGCTTGATAAGGTTTTGCCGCAAATGTCGCAAACAGCATAATTACCAGTGTGCGAATTCATGTGCAACTTCAAACTGTTCCTGTGCTGATAAACTTTGTTGCAAATGACGCACAAGTAAGTGCTGGGACAATGCACTTCTTCCTTGTGCATGTTTAGTTTGTGGGCGTGCAAATATCGCGAGTACAAGAAGCATTTGCCGCAATATTCGCAATCAAAAGGTTTCAGGCCTGTATGGTAATTGTCGTGCTCTTGGAAATGTTGCAGTATGTTGAAGGATTTTTTGCAAGAGTCGCACCAGTATTTTAGTAAGTCTTCGTGGTTGTTTACATGGTGGGTTATTTCGTTGATTTCCAACGAAGTATAGTCGCACATTAAGCATTGAAATAGGCCTATGGTGCTGTGGGCACGTAAGTGTACGATGTGTTCTAGGATTTTTTTGGTGGAATGATTGCAAATATCACAGTAGTAGTAGTTGTTGTGGGTTTCAATGTGGTCTTTTAGGCTGCCGGGGGATTTGAATTCTTTGGTGCAAATGTCGCATTGGTGCATTTCGCCGAAAAACCGTGAAGTTCTTAGTCTTTTGCCCGGATGGTTTTGCTTGTAGTGGTCTTTGATTTCTTTTAGTTGGAATTCTTTGTTGTCTTTGCATATTGGGCATTTGATGGTTTGTTTGATGTCCAAGTGTTCAGGTGATATAAGTAAGTCTTCTTCGTCGAAGCTTATTTCATCTGAAATGGGGTTTTTCTTTGGGGACTTTTGCTTTCTGGGTCGTTTTTCTCGGGTTTGGATTTCTTCTTTGGGTTTTTTGGTGTATTTTCTTTTGAGTTTTTTTGGCTCGTCGGTCACTTTCTTTGGTCTTCCACGCTTCTTTTTATTATTATCACTATTAACTTCATTTTTGGTATCGGTTATTGTATCACAAACATCTTCCAATTTAATTTCAATTTCCTCGTCTTTGATTTCTATGGGCGCTTCTGCAATTTCCACTATTGGCGTGAAAAAAGCCATAGGACAAGTTCTGAAATAAAATTTATAATTGTGAATATTGTTATAATGGCATTGAGCTGACTTAGGAAAATGAGGCCCGTCAATTTCTAGGTAAAATGTTTATGCACAACTCAGCGTTTGGATTCATATTTCTCATTTAGGTAGTGGTTTTATTATGCGATTGTCAAGCAATGTGCTGGTTTTAAATTTCTACAGGGTGTGTAAAAAGAATTTCATTATCTCTATAAGTCCAAAAAAAAATTCATTCAAATCTGTCAACATCTCTGTAAAGTTTGTTCAACAATATTTTAAAAACTCAAAAAGTTCTTATTAATATTAAAGTTAAGCAACGTTACTTTTCAAAAACATCCTATATAAAGTTGAAATTTTCAAGATTTGTAAAGACATTTATGTATTATCACTTTGAACAATCACATTATTTAAAAGTTATCTCATCTATATAGTCCAACCCTGTAATCCCAAACAAAATACACTATCAATATCGAACCGCCTCGTGTTCTCTTACGTCAGCGCAAGCCTAGGAAAAATGTTATTATCCTATCATACAAGGTGCAATTTAAATAAAAAGGAAAGTTTAAATTTACTTACTTTGCCTCCTCCATTGGGTGAAAATTTCAGTAATTTTGCACTAAATCACCAAAAAAGAAAAAACATCCAAAGGGAGGATTATTTCTGAATGAAACCACTATCAGCACAACACTCAGTATTACGCCATCTTTGAAACACTGTTGTCAAGTGTATTTGATTTTAATTGACTAATCAATAAATACCTAAATTTTTCATTGATTTTCTTAATTATTATACCTATTTAATTATTATTTAAACACACTAAACCTATGTATAAAGCCTTGTAGAAAAACTGCAAATTTATTCAAAAAATAAATAAAAATAAACCAACATTTTTTCAATTTTTAATAAACAAATCAATCAACTAGAACCAATTTATTATTAATTAATTATCAATATGTAACAAAATTATTTATTTATCGATAAATCTTTTTGGGTTTGGCAACGTGGCCAGCAGTGCGCATCAGCATAACAGAGGGTCGATACCCGAGGCAACTACGTAACAATATACAGAGATGGACTTAATTGTTTTTTAAAAGTTTTATTAAACATAATTGACTTAAAATTAATTTATAATTATTGATGATTAATTGTTTAAATAATGTACAATTAAGGTGATATTGCTAACAAATTGGTTAAATGAGGAAAAATGTTTTGGAATTTTTGTTATAAAAATTGTGACAAAATTATGTTTTGATTCCAGGCGTTTGAATTCTTTTAATTTGGAGAGATTTAGTCACACTTGAGAGCTGGTAAGACACAAGAATTGTGACAAAAAAAGCCTGAGAAATGTAAGAAAAAGTTTGAAAAAAATTGAAACAAAATTGTCTTTATTCCAGGCACTTGAATTTATCTTATTTGTAGAAATTTAATCACATTCAAGAGTCAGTAAGAGGGAAAAATTGTAACAAAATTATGTTTTTATTCCAGGCGTTTGAATTCTTTTAATTTGGAGAAATTTAGTCACACTTAAAAGCCGGTAAGACACAAGAATTGTGACAAAAAATCCTGAGAAATGTAAGAAGAAGTTTGAGAAAAATTGAGACAAAATTGTCTTTATTCCAGGCACTTGAATTTATCTTATTTGGAGAAATTTAATTACACTCAAGAGTCAGTAAGAGGGAAAAATTGTGACAAAATTATGTTTTTATTCCAGGCGTTTGAGTTCTTTTAATTTGGAGAAATTTAGTCACACTTAAGAGCCGGTAAGACACAAAAATTGTGGCAAAAAAAACCTGAGAAATGTAAGAAGAAGTTTGAGAAAAGTTGAGACAAAATTGTCTTTATTCCAGGCACTTGAATTTATCTTATTTGGACAAATTTAATCACACTCAAGAGTCAGTAAGAGGGAAAAATTGTGACAAAATTATGTTTTTATTCAAGGCACCTGAATTTTCCTTATTTGGAGAAACTTAGTCACACTCCAGTGCCGAAAATTGTCACAAAAAAACTCGAGAAATGTAAAAAGAAGTTTGAGAAAATTGATACAAAATTGCTAAACACCAAGAGCCGGTAATAGACAAAAATCTAAGAAACTATAAGGAAGAAATTTGAGAAAAATTCAGACAAAAAACCTGAGAAACTAAAGGGAGGAAATTTGAAAAAAATTGAGACAAAATTGTCTGTATTCCAGGCACTTGAATTTATATTATTTGGAGAAATTTAATCACACTCAAGAGTCAGTGAGAGAGAAAAATTGTGACAAAATTATGTTTATTTCAGGCACTTGAATTTTCCTTATTTGGAGAAGTCACACTCAAGAGCCGATAAGAGACGAAAATTGTCACAAAAAAACTCGAGAAATGTAAAAAGAAGTTTGAGAAAAATTGCTAAACACCAAGAGCCGTTAATAGACAAAAATTGAGACAAAAACCTAGGAAACTATAAGAAAGAAATTTGAGAAAAATTCGGACAAAAAACCTGAGAAACTAAAGGAAGGAAATTTGAAAAAAATTGAGACAAAATTGTCTGTATTCCAGGCACTTGAATTTATATTATTTGGAGAAATTTAATCACACTCAAGAGTCAGTGAGAGGGAAAAATTGTGACAAAATTATGTTTTTATTCCAGGCACTGGAATTTTCCTTATTTGGAGAAACTTAGTCACACTCAAGAGCCGATAAGAGACGAAAATTGTCACAAAAAAACTCGAGAAATGTAAAAAGAAGTTTGAGAAAAATTGCTAAACACCAAGAGCCGTTAATAGACAAAAATTGAGACAAAAATCTAAGAAACTATAAGGAAGAAATTTGAGAAAAATTCAGACAAAAAACCTGAGAAACTAGAGGGAGGAAATTTGAAAAAAATTGAGACAAAATTGTCTGTATTCCAGGCACTTGAATTTATATTATTTGGAGAAATTTAATTACACTCAAGAGTCAGTAAGAGGGAAAAATTGTGACAAAATTATGTTTTTATTCCAGGCACTTGAATTTTCCTTATTTGGAGAAACTTAGTCACACTCAAGAGCCGATAAGAGACGAAAATTGTCACAAAAAAACTCGAGAAATGTAAAAAGAAGTTTGAGAAAAATTGCTAAACACCAAGAGCCGTTAATAGACAAAAATTGAGACAAAAACCTAGGAAACTATAAGGAAGAAATTTGAGAAAAATTCAGACAAAAAACCTGAGAAACTAGAGGGAGGAAATTTGAAAAAAATTGAGACAAAATTGTCTGTATTCCAGGCACTTGAATTTATATTATTTGGAGAAATTTAATTACACTCAAGAGTCAGTAAGAGGGAAAAATTGTGACAAAATTATGTTTTTATTCCAGGCACTGGAATTTTCCTTATTTGGAGAAACTTAGTCACACTCAAGAGCCGATAAGAGACGAAAATTGTCACAAAAAAACTCGAGAAATGTAAAAAGAAGTTTGAGAAAAATTGCTAAACACCAAGAGCCGTTAATAGACAAAAATTGAGACAAAAATCTAAGAAACTATAAGGAAGAAATTTGAGAAAAATTCAGACAAAAAACCTGAGAAACTAGAGGGAGGAAATTTGAAAAAAATTGAGACAAAATTGTCTGTATTCCAGGCACTTGAATTTATATTATTTGGAGAAATTTAATCACACTCAAGAGTCAGTGAGAGGGAAAAATTGTGACAAAATTATGTTTTTATTCCAGGCACTTGAATTTTCCTTATTTGGAGAAACTTAGTCACACTCAAGAGCCGATAAGAGACGAAAATTGTCACAAAAAAACTCGAGAAATGTAAAAAGAAGTTTGAGAAAAATTGCTAAACACCAAGAGCCGTTAATAGACAAAAATTGAGACAAAAACCTAGGAAACTATAAGGAAGAAATTTGAGAAAAATTCAGACAAAAAACCTGAGAAACTAGAGGGAGGAAATTTGAAAAAAATTGAGACAAAATTGTCTGTATTCCAGGCACTTGAATTTATATTATTTGGAGAAATTTAATTACACTCAAGAGTCAGTAAGAGGGAAAAATTGTGACAAAATTATGTTTTTATTCCAGGCACTTGAATTTTCCTTATTTGGAGAAACTTAGTCACACTCAAGAGCCGATAAGAGACGAAAATTGTCACAAAAAAACTCGAGAAATGTAAAAAGAAGTTTGAGAAAAATTGCTAAACACCAAGAGCCGTTAATAGACAAAAATTGAGACAAAAACCTAGGAAACTATAAGGAAGAAATTTGAGAAAAATTCAGACAAAAAACCTGAGAAACTAGAGGGAGGAAATTTGAAAAAAATTGAGATAAAATTGTCTGTATTCCAGGCACTTGAATTTATATTATTTGGAGAAATTTAATCACACTCAAGAGTCAGTGAGAGAGAAAAATTGTGACAAAATTATGTTTATTTCAGGCACTTGAATTTTCCTTATTTGGAGAAACTTAGTCACACTCAAGAGCCGATAAGAGACGAAAATTGTCACAAAAAAACTCGAGAAATGTAAAAAGAAGTTTGAGAAAAATTGCTAAACACCAAGAGCCGTTAATAGACAAAAATTGAGACAAAAACCTAGGAAACTATAAGGAAGAAATTTGAGAAAAATTCGGACAAAAAACCTGAGAAACTAAAGGAAGGAAATTTGAAAAAAAATTGAGACAAAATTGCTAAACACCAACAGCCGATAATAGACAAAAATTGAAACAAAAAACCTAAGAAACTATAAGGAAAATGTTTGAGAAAAATTAAGACAACATTGCTAAACACCAAGAGCTGGTAATAGAAAAAAATTGAGACAAAAAGTTTCTTTGTCTGAAGACATTTAGACAACATTCAAGAGCCGGGAATAGACAAAAATTGAAACAAAATCAGCAGACAAATAGACATAATTATGTTATTCCTATTCCAGCGAGCCAAAAGCCGGGAATAGACAAAAACTGTAAAAACATTTCAAATAAATACAAAGAAAAATAATAATTTTTCCAAATTTAACCCACTTGGCAAACTGGCACCCTGTATTAAGTGAGTCCCAATCCCAACAAATCTTATTATACAGACTTAGCTTATATATACACCATGATTGACGTAGCCCGTGCATTAGAATTCAATTTGATTAGTAAAGATAGCATCTTATTCACCTGCAAGCTAATGAACGGGCTATATCCTGTATATAAAGGCCGATTCACACGGGAAAAATCTTTGAAGCTTGTCCAATCTGCGACAATTGAGCCAACTGCGGAAAGCTCGGGTGTCCCATCCATCCGGCCGCAAAAGCGGATACGGACGCGTTGCCGCAACTTTTCATGTGCGAATTCACCGACGTTTTCGTCACAAATCCTTTGCCGCAGCACGCGCAGACGTACGGCCTTTCGCCACTGTGCGTCCGCTCGTGAATTTTCAACGGAGTCCGCTGCGTGAAACCGCGTCCGCAATACTTGCACACGTGCGGTTTTTCGCCAGTGTGAACTCGAACATGTTCGATTAGTTGGTCTTTTTTTGTAAAGGCTTTGGAGCAGACGTGACAGGCAAATGGTCTATAGCCCGTGTGAATTCGTCTATGGAATTTTAGTTTTTCTTTGCTTGATAGACGTTTGCCGCAAATGTCGCATAAGACTGATAAGTCGATGCCTTCGTCGTTGTGTTTGCTGAGCTTGTGACGTCGCAGGCCTGAGGCTGAAGCGTAATGCTTTTGGCAGATTTTACAGTCGAATTTGACTAAAGGACTACCGGTTAGGATTTCGTAATGTTGCGAGCGTCTGTGTGCGGCTAGGAATCTTGAAAACATAAAATGTTTGCCGCATATTTCGCATTGAAAGGGTTTTTCGCCTGTGTGGTAGAACTTGTGCTCAACTGCATGAGTGCTTACTGTGAAGGCTTTTTGGCACACTTCGCATTTGTGTTTGGTGGTACCTTCATGTGCGCGCACATGCATTTCGATGTGGTACTTTGAAGTGTTTTTGTAGGGGCAAAAATGGCACGAGTATTTGTTGTCTTCGCTGTGGGTTATCGAATGCAAAGCGAAAATTACGTTGTTTTTGTAGGTTGTGGTGCAAATGTCGCACTCAATTGGTTCGTCAAGATCCATTGAGGTTGACTGGGTTTTGGGGCGTTTGGGTTTTTCTTTTTTGACGCGTACAGTTACGACTTTTTTTGTCTTTTTGCCCATTTTTTTACGCCTCGGAGATTGTTTCAAGTCTGATAATTTGTGCTCTTTTATTTCGATTTCGTCTGATCTAAAATTGATTGGGTGTCAGTATAGGTAAATCACTTTGCCAATTTGGAAGTGAAATAAATACACATTTTTCTCATTGTATATAGTTTATTATTGTGCCACAATAAAGGAAAAATTCAAGGTGCACCATTTTTTTCGTAAAAGAATTATTATTGGTGTTCCCTGTATATTTAGTCTAATATAAAGTTAACGTAATATAAAGAAAAACAGGATTCTATACAGTAGGCACATTATTCAACAAGTTATGTATAAAGTAGATACAGATTTACTTACACGTATTCAGTAGCTGGCCAATCAGGCACTAGCTGAGGAGTGGAACGCTAAGAATATCTGGTATACAAGCTTGGGGATATTCAGGAATACCTAAGGATTTCTGGGGATGTCAGGAGATGTACTTGAACAATAATTTATTGTCAAAATTTGTAAAATTATCCATTTTTTTTAGTAATGTTACTTTACCAAAGTAGTAACATATTGTAACAAGTTGTTCAAGTACAAATAAGTGGATTATAGCGGAAGTTATGGGTGGACCTCCGTAGCCATCTACTCACCAATATACTGTTGAACTGTTCAAGTAAGACAAAACAATACTAACCTGATTTACTGTTGTGAATTTGTCTTAGTAGTTCAAAAACTACACATTTTAGGTGATTGTCTTACCTAAACAGTTCAACAGTATATTGATGAGTAGATGGCTGCGGAACTCGCTACGCTCGTCCCGCAGAGGTCCACCTGTAAGTTCCGCAATAATCTACTTATTTGTACTTGAACAACCAGACTAGTTACAATATGTTACTAGTTTGGTAAAGTAACATTACTAATTTTTGTTAAAAGGCAATAAGTTGTCAAAAAGTGGATAATCTTACAAATTTTAACAATAAGTTATTGTTCAAGTACAAATAAGTGGATTACTGCGGAATTTATGGGTAGACCTCTGCGGGACGAGCGCAGCGAGTTCCGCAGCCATCTATTTACCAATATGTTATTCAAGTAAAATACTAACCTGATTCACTTAGTTGTGAGTTTTTCTCATTAGTTCAAAGACTACTAGTTTCAGGTGAGTGTCTTACTTGAACAGTTCAATAGTATATTGATAAGTAGATGGCTGCGGAACTCGCTACGCTCGTCCCGCAGAGGTCCACCTATAGGTTCCGCGACAATTCACTCGTTTGTACTTGAATAATTTGTCACAACATATTACTAGTTTAGTAGAGTAACATCACTAATTTCTGCTGAAAGGCAAATTGATAAAAAGTGGATAATCTTACAAGATTTGACTTTATATAATAAGTTATTGTTTAAATACAAATGAGTGGATTACTGCGGAATTTATGGGTGGACCTCTGCGGGACGAGCGCAGCGAATTCCGCAGCTATCTATTCACCAATATGTTGTTCAAGTACAATACTAATCTGGTTCACTTATATCCTATTCACAATCTGTAGTCCAAATGTACAGATAAATTTATCACCTTTTCTTATCAAGTAGTATTGAAAGGTGATAAATTTCACCTGTACTTTTGGACTACATTGTGAATAGACAATAGTTGTGAATTTTTTTTCATATTAGTTCAAAAATTACATGTTTCAGGTGAGTGTCTTACTTGAATAGTTCAACAGTATATTGTTGAGTAGATGGCTGCGGAACTCGCTGCGCTCGTCCCGCAGAGGTTCACCCATACATTCCGCAATAATCCGTTTATTTGTACTTGAAGAATAACATTATATAAAGTCAAAGTTTGTAAGATTTTCTACTTTTTGTTAATTTGCCTTTCAACAGAAATTAGTAATGTTACCTCACTAAACTAGTAAAATATTGTGACAAGTTATTCAAGTACAAATGTTTGTCCAAAACTTATGGGTGGACCTCTGCGGGACGAGCGCAGCGAGTTCCGTAGCCATATACTCACCAATATACTGTTAAACTATTCAAGTAAGACACTCACCTGAAACGTGTAGTTATTGAACTAATGAGAGAAACTTACAACTCAGTTAATCAGGTTAGTATTATACTTGAACAAAATATTGGAAAATAGATGGCCTCCAGGTCCTCCATAAGTTCCGCAATAATCCATTCATTTGTACTTGAACAATAACTTATTATATAAAGTCAAAATTTGTATATAGCATGTCTATAATACTTGTATCTCGTGTACAAGTTTTGCTAAGTGGTTTCCCCTCGGTACTAGCTGACATTACACATATATTATCCGTCGTTTTTAATCTGACACTTTCCGTATGAGGAACGAGGAGGTGAAGTATATGGCCAAAATAGATATGACGTCAGGTGACCATTGACGTTCTAATGTAGGGTGCCACCAGGTCACATTTCTTTGGAGTATCAGAATAAAATCGACATACTTTAACCTCACTTTCGATGCAGGGCCGTAGCCATTGGAATTAGGGGGCAATGCCCTATATTTCAAATGATGAAGCCCTACCTTTAAAACACAACATATGTTAAGGTTTATCTAGAAAATTTAAGAGAAGATGAAAGCACTGTTTCAACCGACATGAGAACCGTTCTTGAATGGTAATTTTCAGTCGATCAATTCATTTACCAAGGAGGATAAACGTTCAACTTATTGAAAATTAGGTGGGCAATTGGAAATTACTAGTTCTGGAACGGTTCCTATGTCCATTGGACCACAGCTAATGAATGGACCTGAAATCTAATGAGTTGGTAGGCAAACAGTTATTTTATAAGTAGTACAAGTACAAGAGGTCCCTCAAAAATTATTGCCTGAACGCGCCATTTTGTTTATTCGCCAGAAATGTTATTTGATGTTGTTATTGAAAAATTTGCCTTCGGCGCCATTACCCCCATTCTGTTTACCTATAAAAAAAATTAGGGGCGGAGGGAAGTAGTGCATGCCCTATATCAAATTTTTCATGCCCTACCACAAATTTGACTCTAGCTACGGCCCTGTTTCGATGGGGGGACAAAATGAAACGTTTAAGGATTGTTTATACACACAAACGCTAGATAGACAAGTGTGGCATAATGATATTTTTTATCTACAGTGTCACAGTTTTCAGTTTGCTTGTCCCCCCATTAAAAGCGCGGTTATGTGTGTGACGTCAGCTAGCTAGAGCCTACAAGAAAAATAGTCCTAGAATGGCACAAGCAAGTATTCACACGATGCCACTAATATACCAGTGGAGCGCCAGTGAAACTAGCGCCAGCTACTGCATACGTGTAAATCGGCCTTAATGTAGCAGATTACGCACGATTCATACTATATCTATCAACACAGTTTGGTACGTATAAAATATGAATCACGCTTTATATGCAACAGGCCGAATATTGAATTTCAATAACTAAAAACAAACTTCTCATTGAATCAAGGTGATTGTTACCAACCCTTGATTTTCTACACAATATTTGCAAAAGGAATGTTGATTATGACAAGCTTTGAACATTTGTAATTTATGTCTTAGCATTACTATCCACCTTCTTAAAACAATGTTTAACATGGTGATTGATGGTTGCCTTGAGTTTGAAGCTCTTATTGCAAAGTCCGCATATATACAGCTCCTCCGCCTGTTTGTCCTCGTTCTCGTGAGTTTGCTCGTGCTGGTAACAAGCATAACTCTGCCTAAACGAGTTGCCGCAATACTTGCACAAATAAGGCCTTTCGTTTCTGTGAATCCGTCCGTGTATGGTCAAGGAAGATTTCTGCGAGAATGAATTAGGACAAATCTTGCACTTGTAAGGGCGTTCTCCCGTGTGCACCCTGTAATGCCTGTTCAACTTGCCCTTTTCCTTGAAAGTTTTTTTGCAAATGTAGCAACTATAGGGACTAAACCCTGTATGAGTTCGCATATGAAACTTCAACCTTTCTTTATTGACAACGACTTTTTTGCAAATTTGGCACGAAAGACTCTCGTCAACTTTTGCGTGGTTTTTCAAAAAGTGCTTTTTCAAACTAGCGGCTGACGAGTAAGGCTTGTTGCACGATTTGCAAGGAAAAGCACTTTCGTTGGGGTGATTTTTGGTCACGTGGAGGCCCAAAAGCCCGTTGCTCCAAAACACTTTGCTGCAAGCGCCGCACTGGAACATTTTGTTGTGCCTGGACATGTGACTCTCGGTTTGGAATTTGCACGTGTTTCTGAAGTTGCACAAGTGGCAGCTGAATCTTGAGTCGGGACTATGTACGATAGAGTGCAAGGCGAAACTTACGTTGTCCATGAAGACGTTGTCGCAAACTGGACATTCTATTGGTTCGATCATGTTGATTGATTCGATTTTTTCGTCCAAGACTTGTTCCAGTTTTGCGTGAATTCTGTCATTGCTTGAATTTTCATTGGTTTCAGGTTTATTGTTTGCAAATAAATTGGTTGCGATTTTTATTGTTGGTTGTTGTTCTTGTTGTTTTTTAGACATATCGACTAGAGATTTTCGGAATAAGTCTTTTGCTATTTGTATATTTAGCAGTTTTGGTGGTTGTTCGACAATTTGCATTGCTGGTTTTGGAACTTGTATTGTTGGTTTTGGAATCTCTATTGTTGGTTTTGAAATTTGTGTTATTGGTTTTGGTATTTGTATTGTTGGTTTTTGTATTTGTATTGTTGGTTTTGCAATTTGTATTGTGGGTTTTTGAATTTGTATTGTTGGTTTTGAAATTTGTATTGTTGGTTTTTGAATTTGTATTGTTGGTTTTGGAGTTTGTATTGTTGGTTTTTGAATTTGTATTGTTGGTTTTTGAATTTGTATTGTTGGTTTTAGAATTTGTCTTGTTTGTATTTTTGGTAGGTTTTTAATTCTGGCCCAATCTTGCGATTTAAGTATTATTTTCTTTGTGATTGTTATCTGCTGTTTTGGTTGTTGTACCTCAATTTGTTTTGGCTTTTCAAACAAATTCTTTGCTATTTGTATCACTGGTTTTTCGGGTATAATTTTCTTTATGGTTATGTATTTTTTCTTTATATTCGCCTTCATTTGTGTTTTAATTTCTTCGGTGATTTTCGTATTTACGGAATCCAATTTTATTTCGGTTCCATTTGTTTGTGGTTCGTTTTGCAAGGGGTCTTTTGTTTTAACTTCTTGTACTTCTTCTTCGTCTTCGAATTTTACGATTGTTAAATCTACGTTGGGAATTTCTGCGTTTTTGGAAGTTTTCTCTTCGGGTTCTAGTTTTATATTGTGAATATCCGGTTTGACTTCAATGAATTCCCTAAAAAAAAAATAATTAATAAATATTGAAATAAATTGAAGCAAATAATTAAAGAAAAAGGCAAGATTAATTATTACAGATAAAATACAATTTTATTCAACATTTAAGTACTAAACATATAAAATGCCAAAAACAGGGTGATGCAATTGTAAACCTTACTACACTAAATAAATCTAAAAAAACACCAAAAATAATTTGATTAAAAATATAACAATATTATGTGTAAAACTCTATGGGCCTGAGAATTCGTAGGTATTTTACAAGGTGAATCAATAATATTTTATTGTATATTAGAAAACCAAGGAGTTTTTGCTAATTTCGCTCATGCAAGTTAAGAATTGGATAAGGGGTAAACCACTCCCCTGAACAATTTCCGAGATATTGAACCTCAAAGTTGAAACTTTGAGTCAAATTTTGGAAAACCTTCTATGCTGATTATCTGGAAAACAAAACACTAGGGTTAAATGTCTTCTTCTTCTTTCTTACAAAACAAAACTAAACAATGAAACATGAAACAACAGAAAAAAGGAAACGTTAACAGAATAGGGACTCGGAACTACAGTTTTGGTCTTTGAAGCTGGTGATAGTGCAGGTCAGCCACGACCATCAGCCAACTACTACAAGGCATTTTCGTTAGGAAATGCCAACAAAGATGACTGGAACAAACCGCAATCGTCAACAATACTCGCATTTGCAAGAAATGTAGGCACTGAAACCGACCCTAGAAAAGTCAAACTACCCGAAAAACGTAGATCCTCAATTACCCTAGACCTCAAATGGGATGAAAGCAGAAATGAATCTATAAAACCAGCAACTCCATGGACGCAAACAGATACACAGACCCTGCAGATGCAAAAAATATGAGGATACGGATTACTACATGATGCAAATGCTGACATGGAGATACGGATACTTTAGGGTGACAGCGAGTATAAACAATGGAATAAAAAAAGGGAAACAAGTGCCATAGCGATAGGGATAACAATTCTTATCCGTTACAGAGTTCCAGCCTTGCTCCAATACCACAGGGATACAGGGCCGTAGCCAGAGTCAAATTTGTGGTAGGGCATGAAAAATTTGACATAGGGCATGCACTACTTCCCCCGCCCTTTAAATTTTTTATAGGTAAACAGAATGGGGGTAATGGCACCGAAGGCAAATTTTCAATATTCGGCCTGTTGCATATAAAGCGTGATTCATATTTTATACGTACCAAACTGTGTCAATAGGTATAGTATGAATCGTGCCTAATCTGCTACATTAAGGCCGATTTACACGTATGCAGTAGCTGGCGCTAGTTTCACTGGCGCTCCACTGGTATATTAGTGGAATCGTGTGAATACTTGCTTGTGCCATTCTAGAACTGAAACGAATAGAGATGTGTCTATTTTTCTTGTAGGCACTAGCTGACGTCACACACATAACCTCGCTTTTGATGGGGGGACAAGCAAAGTGAAAACTGTGACATTGATGATAAAAAATATCATTATGCCGCACTTGTCTGAACACATGCATAACAGGTTCATTTGAGAAATATCGTTTGTTTGTCCCATTGAGGTAGGTTTGTTTCAATGACGTATTTGTCTTTTTATTGAAAATGACGTTAGGTGATTTCTGATGTCATATCTAGCGTTTGTGTGTATAAACAATCCTTAAACGTTTCATTTTGTCCCCCCATCGAAACAGGGCCGTAGCTAGAGTCAAATTTGTGGTAGGGCATGAAAAATTTGACATAGGGCATGCACTACTTCCCCCCGCCCCTTAAATTTTTTGTAGGTAAACAGAATGGGGGTAATGACATCGAAGGCAAATTTTTCAATAAACAACATCAAATAACATTCCTGGCGAATAAACAAAATGGCGCGTTTAGGCAATAATTTTTGAGGGACCTCTTGTACTTGTACTACCAACTCATTCGATTTCAGGTCCATTCATAAGCTGTGGTCCAATGGACATAGGAACCGTTCTAGAACTAGTAATTTCCAATTGCCCACCTAATTTTCAATAAGTTGAACGTTTATCCTCCTTGGCAAATGAATTGATCGACTGAAAATTACCGTTCTAGAACGGTTCTCATGTCGGTTGCAACAGTGCTTTCATCTTCTCTTGAATTTTTTAGATAAACCTCAACGCATGTTGTGTTTTAAAGGTAAGGCATCATCATTTGAAAGATAGCCCCCCAATGCCCCGTCCTGGCTACGGCCCTGCAAGGATCAGGGATAAGGATCACTCCAGACAATTTTATGATAGAAGTGACAGAGAACCAACACAACTGTCCCTTCGAAATATTTGAAAATGCAAATGCCTGTTAGGAATTTCCTGGAAATCTCTAAAATTGTTCTATTACACCAATAAATTCTCCCAATTTCTTATACAATTTCTCATAAATTCCTTCAAATTCCTCATAAATTTCTCTAAACTCTCCACAGTTTTGAAAAAGAATTCTTACGTGATTTGCCCCTTAGAATTAGAGGTTTTTAGAACTTTGAATCAATTGTCGCATTGCAATTTTTCATAGAATACCGACTCACCTTGTGAAATGCTAGACCTAGGCCAGGATTCCGTAATTAAAAAAAATATTTCCTCTATCTGCAAGTGCATTACAGAGTCCCAGCTCTGGAATTAAAATTTATTCCAGCTATTATCAATAAACCAAACACAACAAAAATAAAACTCCTACTGACTATTCTCATCCGAATAATTCATAACAACTCCATCATCACCCACATAACTCCGTTTCCTTGTAAAATCCTCACTCATCAACTCAGCTTGTCTTTGGAACATTTCTTGCCCGTGTATACTCATATGCGTGGCCAACGCCCCTTTGGTACCAAACAATTTGTTGCAAATCACGCAAAAGTTATTCGGTAAATGTTGCGGGTACGGATTACTGCTGGGTATTTGCAAAGCTGAGCAGCTCCGTATATGAGCATCCATGGCGCTTTTTGAAACAAACCCTTTGCCGCACAAGCGGCAAATATAAGGCTGTTCACCGGTGTGGGTGCGTTCGTGTATTTTCAAAGGCGATCTTTGTGTAAATGATTTGCCACAATATTTACATACAAATGGTTTCTCGCCTGTATGCACTCGCATGTGCTCTTTTAGCCGCTCTTTTTCTGTAAAGGCTTTGCCGCATATTTCGCAAGCAAACGGCTTATAGCCTGTGTGGATTCTTATATGGAATTTAAGTTTTTCTTTGCTGCTGATTCGTTTGCCGCAAGTGTCGCAAAGTACGCTAGTATCGATGCCTTCTGTGTTGTGGTTTCTTAAGTTGTGCCTTTTGAGGCCGCTGGATGAGGTGTAGTGCTTGTTGCAAATTTTGCAATCGTATTTTACTAAAGGGGTGCCTGTCATTATTTCCCAATGCTGGGATCTTCTGTGGGAGGCTAAGAATCTCGAGTACATGAAATGTTTGCCGCATATTTCGCATTGGAACGGTTTTTCGCCTGTGTGGAAGTATTTGTGTTCGATTGCGTTTGTGCTGACAGTGAAGGCTTTGTCGCAAATTTCGCATTTGTACTTGGTGGTACCTTCGTGGGCCCTTATATGCATCTCTATGTGGTACTTTGAGGTGTTTTTGAAGTCGCACAGGTGGCAACTGTACCTGCGATCTTCGCTGTGTTGGATCGAGTGCAAAGCGAATGCTACGTTGTTTTTGTAGGTTTGCTGGCACAGATCGCACTCTATTGGTTCGTCTAGTTCTATTGGAGGTGGATGTGAGGAGCGTTCCTTTTTTATTTTTTTTGTTTGTTGCTTGGTTTTCGAGCCTTTTTTTCTGCCCCTTTTGGATTTTTTTTGGTGGCTGGATTCGTTCATGTTCAAGTCTTCATGCTTTATTGTTATCGTAAAGTCCGGGTCCGCAATTCTTTTGGTTTTGCGTTTTCTTGTTGGCCTAAAATTTAGGGGGATTTAGTTTAGGTGCTTTTGGTTGGATTCCAACGATAAGGGTAGTGACAATTCTGTTGAATGTTTCTATAATTTTATTTTATTACGCAATCTAACATTAATTTACAATAACAGTTACTTAATTTAATATAAATAGGTTTGTTCTAGTAAGTGAGGAAATTGCGACATCCTCGGTTCACATTTCTTAGAAATAGCAGGGGCAGAATTTTGGTCAACGTGTCGATGTCATGGTGGGACCAAAAACCATTTCAACAATATAAGTACTGATTCTTAAAATAGGGAATCCATTTAAATCAGCCTGTTTTACCTGTTTTTATAAGACTAGACTATTGCATAAGTACTAAGGTACTCCCATTTGAAAAAAGCTGAAAACATGCAACATTTCTGATAATCAATTTTTAGTTTCTGACCATGGACTCTTAAAATTTAGCCAATACTGTACAACTTTTGTATTCACAACTTTCATCTACTTGTAAAAGTGAATGCTGTAGGTGGGGTGTCCCTGTACTTGAAGAATAACTTATTACTTAAAGTCAGAATTTGTAAGATTATCCACCTTTTGTCAATTTGTCTTTTAACGAGAATTAGTAGGTAATGTTACTGTACTAGTAATATAATGTGACAAGTTATTCAAGTACAAACGAGTAGATTGTTGCGGAACTTATGGGTGGACCTCTGCGGGACGAGCGCAGCGAGTTCCGCAGCCATCTATTCATTAATATGTTCTTCAATTAAATTACGATACTAACCTGACTCACTCAAATGTGAGTTATTCTCATTAGTTTAAAAACTACACGTTTCAGGTGAATGTGTTACTGGATCAGTTCAACAGTATATTGGTGAGTAGATTGCTGCGGAACTCGCTGCGCTCGTCCCGCAGAGGTCCACCCATAAGTTTTGCAATAATATACTTATTTGTACAATAACTTACTATATAAAGTCAAAATTTGTAAGATTATCCACTTTTTGTCAATTTGCTTTTCAACAGGAATTAGTAATGTTACTTTACCAAACTATAAATATCATGTGACAAGTTATTCAAGTACAAACGAGTAAATTGTTGTGAAACTTATGGGCAGACCACTGCGGGACGAGCGCAGCAAGTTCCGCAGCCATCTACTCACCAATATACTGTTGAACTGTTCCAGTAACACATTCACCTGAAACGTGTAGTTTTTAAACTAATGAGAATAACTCACAACTAAGTGAGGCAGGTTAGTATCGTAATTAAACAACATAATTAATGATTAGATGGCCGCGGGTGGTAAAGTAACATTACTAAATCCTGTTGAAAGACAAACTAACAAAAAGTGAATTACTTCTGATAACGGAACTGAATTTAAAACTGCAATTGTAACAGATTTATGTACTTTACATAAAATCGAATTTCATTATACGAAATCCTAATTCGAATGGTCCTATTGAGAGATTACATTCTACCTTGAGCGAAAGTTTAACAAGCTTGAAATTACAAAGCTTTAATAAAAACATTAATTCAGTGTTCTTATGAGATCGAAGATTCTGCCTTTGTCGTTCATATTCATATTTCCATAACACTGGATAAAGACGGAGCAATCGTTCTCATGTTTCTAGGTTTTGATAATAAAATTGGGAACAATGGATTCATAGAGGGCTAAACATAGAACATGCAAGACCCTTGACTGCCACTATCAGACAAAACTTCTTCTCACCAGGACCTCTATTCTCGAAACTGTCAGTGTTATGGAAAAATAAATATGGGCAATTAACACTGAATCTTCGTTTTCATGCAAGCGCTGCTCCACTGTTTCGAGAATAAGGACCCAATGCCAAAAACTTTCAGTTCCCCCTAAACAATACAAGAATTTGATCCAGGTTTCTCAAGTATCTGGTAAACAGATGCATGTTTGATGGAAGAGCAGGGGCTGATGTATATGGGAAGAGACCTGTGGCAAGAATCTGTCAAACCTGGGTCGATATTCAAAGGTATGCCAGACTGAAATCTATGCAATACTGTATCTCCAGAAAAGTTACTCGAATAAGCAAATTTATTGTATATTCGGCAACAGCTAGGTAGCACTCCAAGCCCTTTGCTCAGACAAGATCAACTATGACTATATGACAACTCTAGAACTACTCAGTAGGCTCAACAAGGTCATCCTTGTTTGGGTTCCAGGGCATAGAAGATAACGAGGAGACGGACCTGGAACCTGATGAAATGCAGGTCTACATCTTTCTTAAAAATTGCTGGCCCCTAAGGTAAGACAGGGCTACAACAAGAGGGGGAAAGCACAATGACCACATGCGCATCCCCGTGCTGCCTATAAAAGCTCCCCTTTTAAATCAATTATTTAGTGAATTAAGGAAAGATTGTAAGTACACGTATGAAAATTTGACCGTTTGACCAATGACTCTGATACAGACTATGGAACATTATTGCAATTCGATTAATAAAACTGCTCGTCAAGGTTACCCTTGTTTGGGTTTCGGGGTATAGAAGACAACGAGGAGGCGGACCTGGAACCTGATGAAATGCAGGTTTATATATTTTTTTAAAAGTTGCTGGCTCCTAAAGCAAAATAGGCCCAAGAGGGGGATAGCACATACATACATGTAGGAAAATTGAGACTTCAGGTATTTATTGCAATTACTCCAATGCAAAGTGAAATCTCTTAATAAAACCGCTCGCCATCTAACTAAGTAAAAGAGTACTTGGGGTGGATAGCTACATAACACTAGTAACAAAGATGTTACCGCCTGTAAAAACCTTGTGTAAACATAAGGCAGTTTATTCCTTTTAGTATTCTCTACTACAAATTCTCAATTACATTGGCAAAATTCACCATACCCAACTTGAACAAACCCATTATATTCAAACAAAATCCTAAACTAATTGAGATTCATATACAGTCCTCGCCACCGAACAACTTTTCATATGCGTATCCATCACGCCCTTAGAAATAAACCCCTTTTGACAAATCATACAAGTATAAGGCCTCTCGCCCGTATGAGTCCTTTCGTGAATCCTTAACGGCGACCTTTGCGTAAACCCTTTACCGCAAAACTTGCAAATGTAAGGCTTCTCGCCCGTGTGCACCCGCTCATGTTCTTTCAGCTGCTCCTTTCTGGAAAAACTTTTCGTGCAAATTTCGCACGCGTAAGGCTTATACCCGGTATGAATTCGCCTGTGGAATTTGAGTTTCTCTTTGCTTGATAGACGTTTGCCGCAAATGTCGCACAAGACCGAATGGTCTGCACCCGGCGAGCCGTGGTGTGTCATATTGTGCCGTTTCAGGCCCGTTGATGACGTATAATGCTTGTTGCAAATTGTGCAATCGTATTTGACTAGAGGGCTTCCGGTTACGATTTCCCAATGTTGTGTGCGTCTGTGACTGGTTAGGAACCACGAAAACATGAAATGTTTGCCGCATATTTCGCATTGGAATGGTTTTTCGCCTGTGTGGAAATATTTGTGTTCGATTGCGTGGGTGCTTATTGTGAAGGCTTTTTGGCAAATTTCGCATTTGTACTTGGTGGTACCTTCGTGTGCTCGCACGTGCATTTCGATGTGGTACTTTGAGGTGTTTTTGAAGTCGCACAAGTGACAGTAATATTTGTTGTCTTTTGAATGGTCTATTGAGTGCATTGCAAATGCTACATTGTTTTTGAATGTTTCATTGCAAATGTCACATTCTATTGGTTCATCCAATTCTATAGGAGGTGATTGTTTTTTGGGCTTTTTACTGTTAATGTTTAAGCAATCTAGAATATTTGGCTCCTCTTTTATCGGATGATGTACTACTTCAAAATCGTCTAGCACTTTAATTTGGGGTTCCAAGATTTTATTCAACATGGCGTTTACGTTTGAAAAACTATCGTAATTATTGAAATAATTGCTTTCTTGATTGAAATTTTCCGATTTAATTGGGGTTATTGAAATTCCAGGCCCATAAATGAGGTTATTCAATAATGAAGTATCGAAATATCTAAAACAACAAAAAAATTAATGAGTTTTTATTTGCCTCTATTTAACACTAAAATTACAAAGAAAAACATTTTTATGTATCAAAATTTATTGGAAATTATTATTACAATTCTTCAAATGATTATCTAAAACACTTTTACAAATACATCCTTTGCCGCAAAATCTACAAACATAAGGCCTCTCTCCGCTGTGTAGCCTCATATGTATTTTCAAAGGTGACCTTTGACTGAACCCTCTACCACAAACATGGCACGTAAAAGGTTTTTCGCCAGTGTGCACCCTTTCGTGCTGCACCAAAAGGCTCCTTTTGCAAAAGCGTTTGCCGCACGTGCCACACACATGTGGCTTAAACCCAGTGTGCGTGCGCTTGTGAAACTTCAAAGTTTCTGCGCTTGACAAGCTTTTGCCACAAATATCACACAGCGTTGGTGTTTTTGGTTGATGTTTGCGAATTTGGTGTTTTTTAAGACTTGATTTGGTGCCAAATGAGGCTCGACACAAAAGGCAAGCGAATTGATTGATTAATTCGTGATGCACGAACCTGTTATGTGCGTTTTTGAGCCAGGAAAACATAAAATTTTTGCCGCAAATTTCGCAAGTGTGAAGCATGAGTTCCGAATGGATGTTCGTGTGTTCGTCGGCTTGGAATTGATCGTTAAAGGCTTCACAACATACTGTACAATAATGCAACTTTTCGTGCTGCTTCATGTGCTTCTCAATATTTGTTTCCTGGTCGGTTTGGTAATTGCAATATTGACAATAGTACTGGTCTGTGTGTAGTTTTGAGTGCCTGGCAAAATCTAGACTTGTTTCAGCTGTGTAGAAGCACACTTCACAGGTGAAGAATAGTTCTAAAGCAGCCTGAAATTTGAGTTTTTTGTGCCTAAAATTTGGATTCAAATGAACAAAACGAAAAAGGATTTATTTTTTTAGAGAAAAAACACAAAATATAATTATTAAATAATTTAATTTTCCTCTTCAAATACAACCGTTTCTTCAATTAATGTTTCATATATTATATTTTCATCATTTGCTTCATCTTTATTGATCTCATCATACCCAACAAGTACTTCAACCCCTTCATAGTTAATTTCAATATTATCATCAATATTTTCATAATTAAAACTAATTTTTTCATTATCATCTTGTTTTTCAATGTTTTCTCTAACATTGGCATGAAACTCCAAATGCCTATTCAACCCTTTATAAGAGCTAAATTCCTTATCACAAATGTAACAAGTAAAGTTTTTATGTACGTTCTTATAGTGCCTGCTTAAATTGTCTTTAACTTTAAAGGTTTTAAAGCACCTGTGGCACTTGAATTTTCTCTCGTCCACGTGCAATGCTTCGTGCTTTCTTAAAGAAGTTTCAGAGTAGCAGTTTTTGCCGCAAGTCTTGCACAAATAAGAATGGTGCAAATGTGTCTCGTTTAAATGCGCTTCCATGCTGGGCTTGGCAATGACGATTTTTTGGCAATGTTTGCACCGGTATTTGCCATCGGGTAATCTATCGTAATCCTGCGTGTGCCAGTTGGTATGGTGCGTTGTATAGGAATGAATACTGTTAAACAGTCTGTCACAATCTTGACATTGGTAGAGGTACTTGACTTCTTTGTCCAAGTGCTGGTGTTGCTTTCTAATGTGGCTACCCAAAGCTGTGGCCGAATGGTACATGTTTGGGCACAAGTTGCACAAAAATGTCTTAGTTTGATTGTGCTTGCTGTTTATGTGATCCGTAACAGTTTGATAAGAGGTAAAAACAGACTGGCAATATTTGCACAAGTATTTGTTCCAGAGCAGTCTGTCTAACTTATCGTTGTGGAATTTGCGTTTGTGAGCCAAATATTTGTCTTTACGTATGTAGTTGAAGTTGCAACATTCGTATCTGGTTTTTGGGTTTTTGTGGATGTTCTTTTCGTGGCTCTTGTATATTTTTGCAGTCTTATAGTATTTGTCGCAAATGTTGCAGTAAGTGTTTGTATCTGCACTCAAGTGTTGCAGTCGAACGTGATTGCTCAGAACTGTTTCGCTTTCGAAGTTTTTATTGCAAAACTGGCAAAAATACTTGATGGTTTTTATTCTGATAGATTCGTATAGCATTTGACTAAAAGAAAAATTATTATATATATAAAACTCATTCCTTTCGCGAGAAAAAGAAATCTGGAGGACTTAATGGCTCTCAGTCTATTCCAAAAAACCTTGCAACTAAATTTTTAGGCGTCATCCTAGATATTGTCAACTATTTAAGTAAATACCACTCTGTACATCAATTTTGCTAAAGTGTGTCGACAAGTCAGCACTTATCTGGTATAAATACCACGCCGAAATCCATTACCGGCAGACTAAGGTTAATGTAAAGTACCTCAAATGAGAAAAGCCCCTCTAGCTAAGTTTCCCCCCAATGCAAACTACCTTTAATGGGAAACGCCCTTCTGGAAGTATTGAACGCAGCAGACTAGGTCCAGTGCAAACTACCTTCAATGGAAAACGCCCTTCTGGACCTGTCTCAAACCCAGCTTCTTCTGGGAGCATTGAACGCACCAGACTAGATCCAGTGCAAACTACCTTTATTGGGAAACACCCTTCTAGACCTGTCTGTCAAAGCGGAGGCTAGAATTGGGGCATATCGACTTCAGCTGAACGAAACCTGGAACCCAAAACCAAATGGACATGCGGCAATCACCAAAATAGTCACATACCCGATTTTAACCATGTGTAACGACTATATGATGCCGAAAAAATCCCTTGAAAAACCCTTCGCCAGTAGGAAATACTGTGGCAACACCTAAACAAGAAATTAGAAATTGTCTGGTTTACTGACTGCTCCAAAACAGAAACTGGAACCGGCACTGAAATATATGGACAAATTCCCAGATGCGACTTCAGTCAACCTCTATCTTATTCCAAGCAGAAATATATATCATCGTCATCGACTCCTTTCTGAGGGATACACAGGTAAAAACATCCTTCTCTGCTAAGACAGTCAAAGCACCTTTGAAATAAAAACTGGGAATACTTGGAAAACCTCAAAAACCCAAGTGTAGCCAACAAGGTAACCCTGGAATGGGTGCCAGGGCGCTATTTTACTAAACATAAACTATTACAGCACAAGACACGCCCCCAACTTAGTAATTGCAAAATATAATCGCTTTCAGTGCGATTTTACTAAATATAAACTATTAGAGCACAAGAGACGCTAGCTCTTGACATAATTGCAAAATATAATCGCGCTCAGCATATTCCTGCAAAATCTAAGCGTTTGTAGCATGACGTGGCGGATCTAACCTCAAATTGTACTTGTTAGAAGGTAATTATTATTGTTAGTGATTCCATTAAGAAATATTTGAAATGTTTTCCTTTAAACTGATAATTCAGCACCTAAACTAGGGAGCAAATAATTTTCAAACACACACATTTCATTTAAATGTCGTTTATGTCAACATAGTCTATTATAGAACTCTGCAAACTTATTACTGAGGTTTTAAGCGCTTCTGCCATCACAACAGCTTTAATAATAATAAATAAATAAATAAAATAAAGGAAAATTAATAAAAGTTCAGCCGACTGCTTGCAGTAGAAAGAAGATAAAAAATGTTAAAATGGGAGGAAAGAGAATTCAAAGTGGGCGCTCCATTTATATGAATCAGCCACGTTGTGCTGTCAACGATTAGATTTTGCAGGATTGTGCTGAGCTCAATTATATTTTGCAATGCTTCTAAACCCAATTAAGGTTACGAAACTTTTCACAGTGTTGGGGCCACCTAACACTTAAAACCTAGCCTGTTCACTCTGCATCTCAACCAACCAACCATGACAATCAATAAAAACACAAATTGTCCAAATAAACATTTTATTATCTAAGTGTAGCCCCATGAGTCTTTTTAATGTGCAAATTCAAAATTCCTCCACTGACAAATTTCTCCTCACACAAATGACATCCATAAGGCTTTTCGCCTGTATGATACCGCATATGCACCGTCAACGGAGTCCTTTGAGTAAAACACTTGCCGCATACCGTACACTCATAAGGCCTTTGTCCTGTATGAGTGCGCATATGCAACTTCAATGTCGTCCTCAGTCCAAACGATCTGCCACACTCTTTACATTGCAAAGGCTTAATCCCTTGATGCATATACATGTGATCTCTAAGAGACCTTTTGGAATTTACTTTTTTACCACAAAGATCACAAATAAATCTTTGACCGCCGTTATGGTGCATGCGCAACATGTGATGTTTGAGGTATTTTTGTTGCAAGAAGGTTTTGTCGCAAATGTCACAACGAATGCTCGAATCTGTGCCGTAATCTTTTGCGTGTCTTGCCATGTGACCTTGCAAGGCGGCCTTGTCATAGCACGACCTGCCGCACACGTTGCAAACGTGATTGCTCGGTCCGTGCTTTGAGCCCACGTGATTTATCCATTCTTGATTGGTGACGAAACCTACATTGCACTCTTCGCATTTTACTATGTAGTCTTTCAAGTGGCGCTTTCTGTGGATTGTTAAGGAGCCTTTTGATTTCAGTTTTAGGCCGCAAATGTCGCAATCAAAGGTTTTGGTTGGTTGGACGTGGACTCGTGACGCGTGCAGTTTTACTTGGTAGTCGGTTTTGAAGCATTTGGTACAGTTGAGGCATTTGTACGGTTTTATGTCGGAATGAGTGATTGTGTGTTTGGCAAACTTATGTGCGTCAGTGAATGATTTTTGGCAGATTTCGCATTTGACGGTTTTACGTCGAGGTTTCTTTGTGCGATTTTGATTTTCTGGTTCTACTTTGATTGTCCTAAAATTAAGTAAAATTAGATCTAAATAAGTACTTGATTGATTCATCACTAGCCTGGAAGAGAATAATTAAAATATGAACTATTACTGGCTCATGGTTGTTTTAGAAAAGTTATTTAGAATATTCTGAAGAATTATCCTGTTAAATCTCGCAGTACTTGATCGCTGTCATGAGATTCTTCTTCTTCTTTCCCTATGGTCCCTTATCGTATAGCAACGGTCAACTCTTTTCTATTTGAATTGAATTTTTCTTAACTTCTGTTGGAGTGGAATCTTCCTTTTCCCAGATTTATCTATTTAGAATATATGGGAATGTAGGGATGTGCGGCAGGGCCGTAGCTAGAGTCAAATTTGTGGTAGGGTATGAAAAATTTGACATAGGGCATGCACTACTTCCCTCCGCCCCTTAAATTTTTTTATAGGTAAACAGAATGGGGGTAATGGCACCGAAGGCAAATTTTTCAATAAACAACATCAAATAACATTTCTGGCGAATAAACAAAATGGCGCGTGCAGGCAATAATTTTTGAGGGACTTCTTGTACTTGTACTTGTGGTCTAATGGACATAGGAACCGTTCCAGAACTAGTAATTTTCAATTGCCCACCTAATTTTCAATAAGTTGAACGTTTATCCTCCTTGGCAAATGAATTGATCGACTGAAAATTACCGTTCTAGAACGGTTCTCATGTTGGTTGAAACAGTGCTTTCATCTTCTCTTAAATTTTCTAGATAAACCTCAACGTATGTCGTGTTTTAAAGGTAGGGCATCATCATTTGAAAGATAGGGCATTGCCCCCCAATGCCATGGCCCTGGTACACGGCCAAGATATCTATTAAAAAACAGGGTCAATTAGTTTTGTTCCATTACTTCATTCTGAAGTTTCTACTATACATACCAGGAATCAATCTTGGCAAGCGTGTTGAAATACAGTGGACAATTGTTCCTAACAAAACTCATGAATACACTGGCTTATTTGCTCAATGGTTCAGCCAAAATGTCTTCTATGTTTATTGGTTTATTTTGGAGATACCTCAGCTTAGAATTTTTCTCAATGCACAGCAAAATATGCGTTATGTCTCCCTCTTTTCCATATTCACAAATTGGAAAATTTAACAATTTCCCGACCAAGCAGCGTATGGTGCATGGTTGTATTTGTGAATGTTACCTCTTCTATATGTAATTACCTACATGGTGTTTGTAGAGTGTCGGCATATAAATTGTTCCATTCATGCCAAGTCTCCTCCCTTACTGACTCATAGAATTCTATCATTGTTGATGTTTGCTTCTCTTTCTCTTGTAGTCAGTCTATCAGCGATATAATTTCCATAAATTCTTGAATGCTTGGGGACCCATAGCAATTTGATTACTTTCCTATTTGCCTGCAGTTCTAGCAAACATTTCCTAGTTTTGGGAACTTCCTTGCCTGATTCTCTTTTTACACCAGTCTCAGCAATTTTCTGCAAAGCACTCTTGGATTTGAGATCACAATCTTCTCTGAGTGATTTGACTGCTATGTATAATGCAAATATGTCTGCAGTACAAATTCAAGTATGATCCAAGCATTTTCTCATGTTTCGTCTGTTTCTAGTGTTATTATACATATATCCCTATTCCACATTCTTCTGTTGTGATTTCAAGGCAAGCATTCGTGTAAATATATTTGAATTCTGGAAATTGTTCTTTAAATATCTCCAGGAGCTTGTGACTATCCAGATCATTTTTACCAATATGTGATTCAGTCTAAGTAATTTTTTTCATTTGAACATTCTATTTCTCTAAACATGTATTTACAAGTTAATTCAGGGTGCTCCGTTCAGTTAGCCACCTCACATCTGAATTTTCTAACGAAATTGCAACCACTTACTGTGCTGTTCCGATACCAAAGTTATAGGTAAAACAAGATAAGGGGCTAACTTGACGCTCAGTCCCCCCAAAATTTTGAAAATCAGGTCAAACAAAAATGGATTCATATGCAAACTGAAGTGTGCTGAACTGAATATGTGATGTATCAGGTTTTTCTTGAAACTTCCATATTTGGTCATTTTCCGACAAAATCTTACTCGGGAAAACAGACAAGCAGGAAAAGGGAAACAACTGACAAGCAAACGAATGTTCTGATATAGGACCTACTTCTTAAGTACGATTGGGCTTTGACATTTTTGAAAATTGCACATATTCACTGTCAAATTTCTGCCATGAAATTGGTTACTTTGCATTTAAATTCAAATTTTAATTATTATCTAACACCTTGTTTGTATATGAACTTACCTTGGCCTAAACTTTAGGAAAAAATACAACTATTCAATAAATAAATGCATTTATTTACAGCAAACAACACTTAAGGCCAGTTTCACAAACAGCGGTAACCACAAGACACTGAGTTTGATAACCATAGTACAAGTTACCACTAATTCTGTACCTGTGCCTTATGGTCAACCCTTATCAGTTTACCAACTGGGCCTAAAATTCATATTAATTGATGGTGTTTACTCTTCATATGATACCTCAATTGCCCCATAGAAGAAAAAGCACTCGAACACACACCACAATTATAAGGCAACTCCCCAGAATGCGTCCTCAAGTGAGCCTTCAAGGGCCCCCTTTGCGTAAAAGCCTTACCGCACTCCTTGCACTTGTGCGGCCTTTCTCCAGTATGAGTCAAAAAGTGTTGCTTCAAAGTACTCTCCAACACGAAACACTTCTCGCACTCGGGACACTGCAAGGGCCTGAGACCTTGATGCAGCAACATGTGGCCTTTGAGACTGCGCAGCGAGTTGACTTCTTTGCCGCACAAGTCGCAAACATATTTTTCGCCGCCGTCTTTGTGTTTGCGCACGTGATGGTGCTCGAGCCCACGCCGCTGCGCGAATTTTTTGCCGCAGTACTCGCATGAGTACTTTTCGTCGTGGTACCCTTGCTCGTGCGTGCGCAAGTGACCAGCTAGTGAAGCCTTGTCCACACAAGTACGACCGCAAATGGAACAAACCAACAACTCACGATTGATGTTATGCTTTTTGTAAATGTGTGCGTCATATTCTTGTTTTGTCACAAACCCTTTGCCGCACTCTTCGCATTTGGCAATAAACTTTTTCAAATGTCTGTTGATGTGATCCAAAAAACCGTGTTTTGTTTTGAAGATTTTCGGACACTGGTTGCAGTGGAACTTTTTGCTTTTCTCGTGGACTGAAATAGTGTGATTTTTTAATTCGTGCGATCGTTTGAAGGTTCTTGGACATTGCGGACAGGCAAATGGACGGTCCTCTTTGTGGCAAATCAAATGTTTTTTGAGGAAGCGGTTGTTTTTGAAGGTTTTCGTGCAATGTGGACACGGCACTGAATCTATTGGTTCGTTTTTAATATTGTGCCTTCTAAAAAAAAAATTTGTTAATAATAAAATAAAATTTATTGCAACTTAATGTTTATTTTTAACATGATAATTCAATTGAGCCTTAGTAACAAACTTATCCTGACAAATATCGCAACCGAAAGCCTTTTCACCTTTGTGGCCTTTAAGGTGAGCCTTCAACGGTCCTCTTTGCGTGAAAGTTTTGCCGCATTCGGGACACGCATGCGGCCTTTCGCCCGTATGAATGCGCAAGTGTGTCCTCAGAGTGCTGCGCAACGCAAAGGTTTTCTCGCAGCGCGGACATTGAATCGGTTTGAGACCTTTGTGGACGTTCATGTGGCCTCTAAGGCTCACTTTGGAGTGTATTTCTTTGCCGCACACGTCGCACACGTACTTTTGGCCTCCGTCTTTGTGGATTCTCACTGTGTGCTGGTCAAGGCCTTTTTGTTGAGCAAATTTCTTGTTGCACAGCTCGCATTTGAATTTTTCCACGTGGTAGCCTGCGTTGTGGGTTTTTAAGTGGTTGATTAGGGATGCTTTATCATAACAAGAGCGGCCGCATATTTCGCAAACATGCGAGTTTGTTCCGTGATTGTATTCCATGTGTTTAGAGTATTCGGATTTAGTTATAAAGCCTTTATTGCACTTTTGACAGGTGGCGCAATATTGTTTCAAGTGGCGGTTTTTGTGGATGAGGAAGGTTTGTTTTTGTTTGAAGGCTTTTGGGCAATAGTCGCATTGGTAGGTGGCGCTTTTGCCATGTGAAACCATGTGAATGGTGATTTCGTATTTTCTTTTGAAGCCTTTTTCGCATATGGGGCATTTGAATGGGCGTTCGGTTTGGTGGGTTATGAGATGTTTTTTCAAAGACCTTTTATCTTTGTAGGGTTTTTGGCATATTGGACAAACTCTAGAAATAATATAAGTTGAGTCTCTTAAAGCTAAAGATGCATAGAAATCTTATTCCCGGCTCTACAAGATCCAAAATTGAAGCTTGAAATTCTGATTTGTAATGTTTCTTGACTTCAGAGCTTAAAATCAACCCAAGAAGCTTAGACATTTTATAAATGGCTCTCCTTAAGCTTAAATTTAAAATAAAGATGCATAGAAATCCTATTCCTGGCTGTACATACAAGATCCAAAATTTAAGCTTGAAACTCTAAGATCTGTGACTCTAATTTGTATGTATCTTGACTTCAAATTAGAGTTCGGACCATTTTTCTGTTGGCTACGTCAACTGTAGCTCCATCGCATTGCTACTATTATCTATTCAGAATCCTATGTCCAAAGGTAAAGGTAAAATGTATCACCTTTCAGTGCTATTTGATAGGGAAAGGTGATAAATTTACCTTTAGCTTCGGACTACGAATTGTGAATAGGATAGGTATAGTAAGTATCATGCTGTATGAATATGTTGAACACATCGCACACAGATATTTGCTTGTTTTACAAATATTTGCGTCTTTGATTTGTGTGTAGTCAACTTTGAGCGGGAAATATTCATATCGATACTAAATATTACATCACTTATGTACCGAATGTGTGGAGTCGCCCTAATGACGACCATAGAAAGGATATATTCACTTAACTAACGGGACCAGAATTGTTGATAAAGCTTCTCTTAATGCTGGAACCAGTATTGCCAGAGAGCAAAAATTTTTTGTACCAAAATTAAAGAAAAATTGTACCAGAGTGGGTTACCCGGGCCACTCGGAAAAAAACATATAGCAATACTGCTTATGATACAACAAATGTTAAAAAATTGACGTTTCAAAGTAGGCCTTGTTTTCTTTAAAAATCGATACAAAATGGCGTTTCTTTGTTGTCCTGTGGGCTCAAGATTGAAAACACTCCCGCCCTTCGAGCTCATGATTAAAAAAAAACGCCATTTCAAACCTCTAGCGTTACAGTGTTGCCAAAAGTTCAAAATCTCAATCAGCCTACATCATAACAATCGTTCCTTGATGTCAATTGCCACTTGTCAACGTTTTATATTTACAATTACAAATGCTCCAAAATTACCGTTAAAATGTGGCAACGTTGCTGTTGTAGGTCTCAATCTGAATCACAAGGCTGTCAATTGACAAAAAAAGTCATAACAATCGCAAAGGTGATCCTGAAAATTAACTCGTCAATTGTCAGAAGTCATAACATTGTATGTAGGCTTGTCAGTTGTCAAAAAAAAATTGAGTAATTATTCCAAGTGTTTGAACCGGGAACAATCGAAAATTTACTCTGATGATAGTTTCGCTCGACCAACTGATCATTTAAATTGTTTCCTACTTTTTCTCGCTCTTTGTCTTACTCATTTATAATCGCTTTTGGTTTTTTATTAATGTATCTTACCTTATCTTCTTTGTTTTACTCACTTAAATCTGGAAAAACATTATGTTTGAGATTGAGAACCCGGCCCGAAGGGCCGGAGTTATACGAGAACCCGGCCCGAAGGGCCGGAGTTATACGAGAACCCGGCCCGAAGGGCCGGAGTTATACGAGAACCCGGCCCGAAGGGCCGGAGTTATACGAGAACCCGGCCCGAAGGGCCGGAGTTATACGAGAACCCGGCCCGAAGGGCCGGAGTTATACGAGAACCCGGCCCGAAGGGCCGGAGTTATACGAGAACCCGGCCCGAAGGGCCGGAGTTATACGAGAACAAGTTATTTTAATCATGCATATGGGGCCTAGTTTATAATTCTATTGGTCAGCGGATAATTTGGAGCCAATCAAAAACTGGGAATATTCAAAATGCTATTTTTAGCGTCCAATCAAAGAGCCGGAAATATTCAAAAACTTTAGTTCTATTAAGTTGACTTTGGAATGTTGGTTTTCTATTGGGTTTTCTTAAGTTTTTTACTTTTTTCAGAAAACGGTGGTTTTTGCAAACATATACTACTTTATCGTTGTCTTTGTCTTACTCACTACAATCAACAAGTAAACCTTGTAATGTCATTTTCATTGAAATTAAACTAGAAACAAATTTCCGATGCTTTATCTAGGGATTTTTAATTATTAAAATCGTTATTAATTAATTAAACAAAAAACCCATTTAAAAAGTTATTTTTGTTTTCTGAGATGTAATGTGGCAATGTTGCTTTTAGTCGGTCATTTTGAAGTGGCGTCTTGTGATTTTCCGGGGATTTTTAATGGAAAAAAAACGATTTAACATACGAGGCTTTGAGTTTTCTACATTTTCTAGCAAAAATTTTCACTTTTAAATGCCATAACTAGCAAAATCCCATTGAAAATGCTTTTGATGTGGCAACACCGCTTGTGGCTAACTTCAATCAAGGAGGCCTTGTAATAAATATCATTTGTCATTTTTGACAGTCGGCCATTTTCATTTGACGTGTTTACATTTTTATCCAGTTTTTCCTCGAATTTTCCACTTTTCCGGGCTGTTTTTGATCGAGAAAATCGATTTAAAGTACGAGGCTTCGAGTTTCCTTCATTTTGTATCAAAAATGTCGAGTTTTTCAACAGTGTAAGTAACAAAAACTTAAGTTTCATCAAGTAGACTTTGGAATGTCATTTTTCAATGGTTTTTCTTTGGATTTTCCGCTTTTCCGATCAGGAAAACCGATTTAAAGTACGAGGCTTTAAGTTTTCTTTATTTTCTGCCGAAAACCTAAACTAAATACAAACTACGTCAACCAAAAACCACAAAACGAGTGTTATGTGTTATATTGGTGACGTCATCTATTTACGAATCAAAAATTATTGTCATATCGAATTTGGATGCAGAAATACACGTTAATTAGAATATCGACATTAGACTAAGTAGGCAGTAGGCTTAAGACTCTTTGGAGAATTTGGAAAAAATGAAAAAATTGAAAATTGTACCAAATATACTAATGTCGTACCAGCGTACTTTTTCAAAACGAATGGTACAATTGTACCACCTCTGGCAATACTGGCTGGAATTTGGGACAGGCGATTGTCCGGAACATCTTGTAAGTAGGTCATGATCAGGTAATTCACTAATGGCCGGTATTATAAAACACTGAACCGATGGTTGAGTTTCAACCTTGGGTTGACTCCATGCAAACTGATAGGATTCAACCGAAGGTTGAAACTCAACCATCGGTTCAGTGTTTTATAATACCGGCCCTAAGTCGCTTTCCAATTAGGAAATGAGCTGATGTCATAGAGTATCAAACTCACTGGGATTAGATGATATAGGAACTACTACAAGTGGAGTTTACCGTGGCCTCTATTTGGACTAGCAACGTATAAAATTGTTCAAATATTAAAGAAGTATTATTTCCTATTATCCTTTTCATGTGAAATTTGGAAGCTTTCACTCCAGCCTTCCAGAAGCCACCAAAATTAGGAGAATGAGCCGGTATAAAACTCCAACGGGGGAAGAGATAGCTAGGGCACTCCTAAGAATCCACTTTCCCGGCTCAAAGATAGTTGATCAGACTCAATGGACATGGAATGAGCATTTTGAAGAGTATCCAGGAATGACTGGCTGACTTCGAAGAAAGTAGTCAACTATGAAAAAGTCAAATTAGTTATAAGCACCTTTGACCCATAAAAGTTAACTGGGACAGATAGGATCTATCCCATAATGTTACAGAACGAAACTGAACCTATAAACACAGTAACCTTCTAAGATCTGGAACAAAGGAACAATAAAGCTTAAATTTGAAATAAAGATGCATAGAAATTCTATTCCCGGTTCTGCAAAATCCAAGATTGAAGCTTAAAACACTAATTTGTAGTGTTTCTTGACAGCTCTACAAGCTTGAACCTTGTAGAGCTCAAAGTCAACCAAAGACACTTAGAAATTTCATAATTGGCTCTCCTAAAGCTCAAGTTTGAAATAAAACGGCATAGAAATCGTATTTCCGGCTTCACAAGAGCCAATACAACGATTTGTAATTTTTCTTGATTTTCCAAAATTCAAGACACTATACGTTAGGTTGTACATTAAGGTGAATTTCTACCTTAACATCACGTAGCTGTGTTTACACCCAATAATTATTGCAAATAAAATACAACATACCTAATTCGAATGAATTTTATTATGCATTAACAATATCTTTGTGTTGTGATTTATAATGCCTCGAAAGGTACCACTGTCTACTGAAAGTTTCCAAACAATATTTGCACGAATAAGGTTTTTCTCCCGAGTGCAATCTAAAATGTTGAACCAACCCTCCTCGTCTTGTAAAAGTTTTGGCACAAACCTCACAACTATAAGGCTTCTCTCCAGTATGTCTTCGCATATGCACATTCAACTTTTGTTTGGTCAAAAATTCGAAACCGCAAACTTCACAAACATGAGGCCTTATACCTTTGTGGATCATAATATGAAGCCTCAACGTCCCGATTTCTTTGAAATCTTTGCCGCAAATGTCACAAATCAACTTGCGTTCATTTGTGTGGCTTTGGAAATGGTGACGTTGCAGATCTTTGAATAGGCCCTTGCAAATGGGACATTCTTCGTGCTTGGTTTTGTTTCCCAGGTGAGTATCCATGTGGACTTTTAGGCTTTTGGTAGAGTCGAAAAATTGTTTGCAAATTTTGCAGGATTTTTTGGGTTCGTGCAAGGTTTCCTTGTGGTGCTCGTATTCGTTGCGCAATGAGAAACCTTCATCACAGAGCTTGCAATAGTAATTGAATTGATTCAGATGGAATTTTTGCATGTGGGCTTTTTGGGCTTCCGAGTGTTGGAAGGTTTCTTGGCAAATTTTACACTTTTTCTCGCCGGTATCGTGAGAGAATTTGATGTGGCTTTGTAAAAGTGATTCGCTACCGAAGTACTTTTTGCAACAATAACATGGTATCATTTGCAGTTGCTTGATTGGTTTGACGTCCTTTACAACTTCGATGTAAATCATTTCAAACCTAAAACTTATTTGAATTATATTTTGAATAAATACAGTGGGAGATTTTTGGTCTTGGCGCCTTCTATGACTACGCCGATCAAAAATCATCCAAACAAGAAATACATATGAAAATGTGGATTAAACAATTAAAATCTCAGACAAAATTTATTTATTTACCATTCCTAAAATCAACAATCTGATGAGCACTCTTCAAATGAAAAGTCAACTTTTGCTTTGAAACAAATTTCTCCTCGCAAACGTCGCACTCGTAAGGCCTTTCTCCAGTGTGCAGCCGCATGTGAATCTTCAAAGGCGACTTTTGTGAAAAGCTTTTGCCGCAAATTATACACTGGAACGGTTTTTCGCCCGTGTGAGTGCGCCAGTGCACCGTCAGGTACTGCTTGGAGTAGAATTGTTTGTGACAGCACTGACACTCATAGGGCCTAATACCTTTATGAATCATTTGATGCACTTTAAAACTATTTTCACTTCTAAAAGTTTTACCGCAAGTTGGACAAACATAATTATGGCCTAAACCTTCATGAGACTCTCTAATGTGCTTCTTTAAGTGTCTAAATCTTTTGTTACAAAACCCACACTCTTGGAAATAAACTGCTTCGTAATTTGCCTCATGTAGTTTCTTGTGGGCTTTTAAGTGCCTCTCACTAGAAATATTTTTGCCGCAAATGTCGCAAACATATCGTTTCTGGTTGTGCTTGGCATCTAAATGTCGTCTATATTCGGAATGAGTCACAAAACCTTCGTTGCAATGCTCGCAGCGCACTTTGAACTCGAATAAGTGCCGTTTCTGGTGTATGACGTAGTTGGTTTTGCTGTTGAAAACTTTGTCGCACTCGGTGCAAGTGTATTTTCGTGTTTGCTCGTGCAACTCTCGGATGTGCCTTCTTAAGGCCGAGTTTGTTTTAAAGGTGGAGTTGCATTGTAGGCAAACGAAGGGTTTTGAGGAGTTGTGCACGATTAGGTGGGTTTTGAGTTTGTAGTTGCGGTCAAAGACTTTCGGACAATTGGGACATTGGAATGTTTCTAGTTTTATTGTTTTTGATGGGCTGAAAAGTAAGCAGTTAGTATTATAAGCTGATTGTAATGTTTTACTTACCTATTTGTTGCTACTAGTACTGTTTACACAATAGTATTCGAAATTTAGTAAACTGGACTGCGCCTGGAAAATGCGCAAGCAAATAGAAATGGAAATGATTCCATAGGGTTGTCGAAACACACAAAAATTATTACCACTCACCTGGGTTTTCTTATAAGCTGTGCATATATATGGGGATCCCCTGGAAAACGGTTCTCCACAACCACCAACGTATCACCATCCACTTAAGACACTCAAAGTCCCTTTTTAACGGCACAAGACATAGATTTTTCGAACTTAAAACACGGAACCGGTAGAAAATGCAACGTGTGTAAAAATTCAAATCTTCAACGGCTGCTTCGGTCGGCGCAGGATCGTAGAAAATACACTTCTGTGTATTTTACGCAAAATTGACATTTAAGTAATTCTCAAATAAGAATGAGAAGAAACCAAATTTGTAAATAATGTTGCGTCAACAAGTACTGTGGAATGTGGCATACAAGAGGCTATAAGTTGTTTTGAAAAACTTTTATTATTTACCCATTCAAACTACGTACTAAGGGCCATATTTTCCATAGTTCATAAAACCTGGCTTAGTGAAAACGTGTGACAAAGCCGAGTTTTTCCACTAAGCCAGGCTTTATGAACTACGGAGAATATAGGCATAAGACAATTTTATTACTACTAACAAAGTTTTAAATATTACTTTAATGTGTCCAAATCTTGGCTTGGGTTAGTTTACACACCCTATAAAATATTCATTTGGAAACCTGTATAATTTATGCAATAAATATTTTGAATTAGGCACTAACTGACGTCAAACACATAACCTCACTTCCGTTGGGAGGACAAACAGAGCATTTGAAAGGTCTATTTAAAACACAGGCGCTAGCTTGTCACCAATGACATAACGTGACTTTCGATAGGGGGACAAACATGTTATTGCGGTTATGTGTGTAACGTCAGCTAGTACCTAATTGAAAAAAATTAGACACTAGCTGACGTCACAAACATAACCTCACTTTTGCTAGGGAGGCAAAGATATCATTGAGACAAACCTACCTCAATGGGACTAACAAACCATATTTCTCCAATGAACTTATTTGTTCTGACAAGTCGGGCGCAGTGACGTTTTTTGTCCCAGGATTTCGCGGAATATACGGAATCAGTTTGAGATTTTGGTATATGATACTCCTAACCTTCTTCTATGGACTTGAAAAGTTTCAAATTTTTCTTATTATCGGATTTTGAGAAAAAAATTCAAACATTTTATAATGCATTTATCAAAGTTGATTTTTGGAAGGGCTTGTTAACCTGTTACAAGGTAACAATGACTAATACTTTATATAAGGAAGAAGGTATATCCAAGGATGACGAGGGATTTCCGAAGATGTCTAGGAAGGTCTGAGAATGTCCCAGGATGTCTTGAGGTTGTCTGGGGATGTACTTTAGTAGCGAAATATCTGGTGTACCACATAAACACGCATAATCCATGAGTGAAAGGTTGGAGCAAAAAATTCCGAGGTTGGTATTTTAGATACATCAGAAATTGGCATTAGAAAGTTTTAATTAGGTTTTTATTCTTTGTTGTTAAATGTGAAACAAGCAAATTACCAGATTTGATCACCAACACCTTACAATTCAACAATACTATTATATTGAAAAAGTAGCCCATGACTCAAAGTGGAATTGAAATTTAATTTCAAAGAAAAACACCCAATCTTCCTCCACAAGTATATCTTTATTGGAATCAAAAAGCCCTACCAGTTTCGAAACTAGAAAGTTTCATCTTCAGGGGCAAAAAAAATAATTTAAATCAGCTCAGATAGTCAAAAAAAGGTGCATAGTCAAATAAACCGCCGGAGTTAGCATTATGTGGAGAAATTTTTTCAAAAAGTTGAAAAGTAATTTTTCTACTATAGCTGAAACCAATAGTTATTGGTACAAAATATCTTGGTATAAAATATAGATAGAAATCTGCAATGCAATTTGATAAGATTTCGTATGTACAAAGAAAATATTGCATATTATTAGTATCACATTTTAATCCCTTAGTTGAATGAGTTATCTTCAGTTCTGGTTCTGGTAGTCTGACTTTATAATTAATATTAAAAATTGTTAAAAGTTTTTTAAAATCCTCTATACAATCTCTTTGTTCTAGCATTGAGGATATGCCATGGGCGCAGAACTTATGGGAGAAAGTTGAGCAGCATAGCAAAAAAGGCTTTCTGAAGTGGTGTAAAATTCTAAAAAAAGTAACCGGTAACAAAGGCGAAGATGTCGTTATGTGGAATAACGAGTATCTCAGGTCGGTCGATGAGATTTTTTGCGATATGGTGGCCAAAATGTCGCGAATTCATTCGTCAACCATCAACAAAATGCAAGAGTTTTTCATTCGACTAGAAAAGGCGTGCATCGAACTCCACCAACCAATGCCTGAAATTAAGGAAGAAGGTTTAAGCCTTTACGAAGCCCAGCAACAATTATTGAAATACGTCAATGAATATGAAGTTGTCATTAATGCTAAGAAACTAGCTCAGGAAAAACAAATACAATTATGCAAAGAGTTAGACCAGAAACTACAAATTGATTTGAAGTACCCCCCATTGCTTACCCAAGCACAGTTTGATAATCTGAACAAGTATATTGATAAATTGGAAGCAGAAAAGTTTGAACGCGAGAAAAAATTCGTAAATTTGAAACACGAATTCACAGAAATCGTTGATGAAATCAAATACAAACCAAATAGCGACTTTGAAAGAGAGGTATTGTCTTCAGATGATATGATGTTGAGTAACCAGAATCTAAAAATGCTGGAGTTTTTCGCCAAGTGTATGAAAGAGCTCAAACTATCCACTGAAGAAGAAGAGTCCCATTTAAGAACAAGAATTGAAGATCTATGGAAAATGTTGGATATCGAGTTAATAATAGATAGAGATGAATTTATAAGTCATTATACAGGCAACTCATTAGATACTTTGGAAGCGTTAAAAATTGAAGTAAAAAGATGCGAGAAACTTAGAAAAGCCAACATAAAAAACTTTGTGGACAAATTAAGAGACCAACTCCAGACTATTTGGACAAAATGTCATTGCTCAGATGCGGACAAGAAGAGTTTCAGGTATTTTTATAATGATTTTTATACAGAGGATTTGCTTGACCTGCATGAATTGGAAATTCAGAAATGGAAGAAATATTACGAAGATAACGACAAACTTTTGGATATAATAAAGAAGCACCAGGAATTGTGGGATAAGATGATACAATTTGAAGAAAATGCAACTGGAGTAATTAGATTTAAAAATAGAGGTGGTCAATTGCTGCAAGAAGAAAAAGAACGCAATAAACTCTCTAAAGTAATACCTCAACTGGAAGAACAAATGTTGAATCTGTCTGGAGCGTTTTTGCTTAAGAACGGTGTAGTTTTCAAGACTTTTGGTAGCACTGTCGAGGAATATATCCAAAATTTGCACGAGTCCCGTGAAAACGACCGTAAAACTAAACTGAGCGCTCGGAAATTGCAACGTACTCACACTCCAGGAAAATTTTGTATGAGCCTATTTCCACCATCCACCACAGTTACCCCAAAAACGCTTGCGTCCGCTTCCAAAAGGAAGACATTTGCCACGCCTACTACGGAGAATACTGCAAAGAGGCCTAAGGCAACACCTGCGACTGTTGGTTTGAAAACGAAAGGCGCGCCAAGAGTGATTTCCAAAATCAAGGTTACACATCATACCATGTCACTGCCCAAACAGCGCAGGTCACGTTTGTTCCAGGAAAAACAGAAACGGAAAAGGGCTCTCAGGCAAAGTAGGGGTGCTCAAAATGAAAATGTGGTTCCTGATCCAAATGAAACTAAGGATACAACGTACCACAGAAGGTATTTTTATTTTTGTATTTTTCTATAGTAATTATTAAGTATGTTATATTTTCTTGTTTTTTTTTTCGAAATTATTATTTACATACTTTAATGGAATGGCACTAAGAAAAGAATATTATTTAAAAGTTGGTGGAAGATTTATAAAAAGCCACATAATAACATAAATAACTATTTGTTAAGGACTTTACAACTAACCATTAATATATAGTTTAAAATCACAGAAAAAAGATGTGTCTATTATTAATTGAATAAACGTATGCCATTTACTCTGCCTATAGGTATTTATTTGGAAAAAAATCAAGGTAGGTACTAAAACTATAAAATGAGATACAAAGCTTGTGAACTTGGAGGAAAATATGAAAATCCAAATGCTCATGAAGTTTTTACAGTTTTGAAAGACACTAGCGAAATATCCTTGGACTATTAGTGAGAAGACAATTATTTGCAATGTTCCAGATGACCATTAGGACAGGTTTAGTTTTGTTGGGGTCATTTTTTTTTTTAAAGTCTTCTTCAACGCTGGTAATACGATTTTAACCTAAGTTTGTTTGTAAATCTGACCTCAATAATTCCGAAATTTGTGTAATAGTAGAATTCGTTGTCAAACTAATTACTACTAGTCATCCGATCATGAGATTTGAAAAAAAAAACATATGGCAACACTGCTTATGACACAGCAAACGTCGAAAAATTGACGTTTCGAAGTAGGCCTTGACAGTCGATACAAAATGGCGTTTTTTTTGTTGTCTTGTGCGGTTAAGATTGAAAACACTCTCACCCTTCGGGCTGGTAATTAAAAAAAAAAATGACATTCCGACCCAAAGATGATACACACTACAACTACAGGATAGCCTATCTTCATAAGGCTTGTGTGGAACAAATCATCCCCTTCCCTTCTCCCCCCAAACCTTGGTGGGGGAGCCTTGACGTAGACTGTTTGAAGAGCTTACGACTTAGTTATGACGTCGGAAATTATGACACATAGTTGCAATATTGCCGGATGTTTTAAATAGTTTCCTCGGTGGAACAAACTGGTTTGGCCGCCACACCATATTGATTTTTTTTTGACAGAGTGGATTATAGTGAGAGTAAATTGCCTAATTACGTTAAAAATCATATAATAACAAGTTTAATTGCGTTCCCCAGCACTCAACATATTGAGTGATTACTAAGCGGCTTTGTTCCAACAAGTGGAATACACTTAGCTTAGAGCACCTAATCGAAAGTGAGGTTATGTGTGTGACGTCAGCTACTGCCCAGTTTTATACACCCCATAACAACGGTTCCACATGGAAAACAAAGAATTAAAATTAAAACAGCACTTATAAGACAGCTAATTACTGCTTGCATTGCTGTATAGTTTTCCAATGCAACTAAAATGTTTTATAAAGCTAAAAATTGCCTAACTAAACTAAAATGAAAAATCTGAAACACAAAACTAGTTTCTCTTATGAGCGAGTCGCTTGTGCTGTCCCAAATACTTCTGCGAAGTGTACTGCCTGAAGCAAATGTCGCACTGATACGGTTTAACATCATTATGAATATTCATGTGGCCCATATAAACATGCTTCCTAGTAAATTGCCGGTCACATATTTCGCACTGGAACGGTTTTTCGCCGCTCTCGGGATGCGTGCGCAAGTGATTCTTCAACAAAGAATGCATCACGTAGCTCACTCCGCAAAACTTGCACTGATAAGGTTTCGCGTTTTTGTGCACCATCATATGAAAAGTCAAACCTCGGTTGCTGCGAAAAATTTTGTTGCACAAGTGGCACTGCAGTTGGTTGCCGTGCGACTCGTTGAAGTGCCGCTTGAGGTTCTTATAAAATCTGTTGTTGCACATTTTGCAATTACCCGAGTTTTTCATCGAACGTTCGAATTGTGTGTGGCGCTTCATGTGGCTTATCAGGCCTTTTTGATTGGTCAGACTAGAGCCGCATATATCGCAAATGACCCGTTCATCGGAATGCTTTACTTTAAAGTGGTCGTTCAGTTGCTTTTGTTCTAGAAAGACCATGCTGCAAAGCTCGCAGTTGTGGTTGCCTGAAGGCAAGTGATCCTGGTAATGAATCACGCATTCCGGCAACGAATCAAACTGAGAGACGCACACATTGCAAACCAGTTTACCTTCTTCGCTTTTAATGCAGTGAGTTTGCATAAAGTGCTCATCGTGTTCGTCTTTGTTTTGGAAAAACTGGTTACAAATATGGCATTCAATTTTACGAGTCTTATTGTGCGCCTTCAAATGAACATCTAATTGGAGTATTGTTGAAAAAGATGAAGGGCACATGGAGCAGAGCCAGTTGTTTTTTTCGCTACATTCGTGATTGTAGAGATGGCGTTCGGTACTGAACACTCGAGCGCATTTTTCGCAAGGGAATTTGCGTTTGATGTAGTGAACGTCGCGCAAGTGCTCGTTCAAATCTCTGATGCTGGGGAACATTTGTGAGCAAAAGACGCAACTGTTTGATACCGGCAGGGTGTGGGTTTCAATGTGAGCGTTTACATCTTTGACATCGGCAAAGGTGTCGCGACAATACGGACATTCGTAACCTTTTTCTGATAATATTACGAACACTGGACCGGAATCCATAGGTTTTACATCTTCTTCTTCTTCTTCTTCTTCTTCTGAATCAACATATTCAATTATTATTTCTTCCCTAAAAAATATTTATTATTAATAAATGAGCTTAAAAAAACAATCATATTATTCATACAAAAAAAACATATTAAAGTATTCTATTTTCTTTTCTATAATCAATCAACAACTTATGTGCTCTAGCCTTATGCATGTTCAATTTTTGTTTAGAAGTAAACTTGCTATTGCACAAATCGCACTCGTAAGGGCGCTCGCCCGAGTGCTTCCGCATGTGAATAATCAAACCAGCATTTTGTGTATACTGATTACCGCAGATATTGCACTGATAAGGTCGCTCGTCTGTGTGGCTACGCATGTGCGCAGTCAAGTGCTTTTTTAGCACGAAACTTTTGGCGCAGCCCTCGTACGAGCAAACGTGCGGTTTTTCCCCTTTGTGCCGCATCATGTGAAACCTCAGTTCAGGATATTGGTTGTATTTCCGACCACAGAGGTCGCACACGTACAAAGGATCTCGGTTTGAATGATTTTCTCTGTAATGACGCTCGATTTTCATGTAGTTTTTTTTGCAAATTTTGCATTCCATTGGCTTTCTGGATTCTTTTTTGTGAATCTTTTTGTGATTATTTAAACAGTGCAGCGTTGGAAATGCTTTGCCGCACGAAATGCACAAACAAAGGCCTTTTTTAGGATCTACTGCAGAATGGGTTTTGTAATCGTGCTGGTCAACAAAGCCCTCGCCGCAATTTTCGCAGTTGAAATTCAAATCTTGTTGATGAACTTGCTTGTGCCAGTCGAATTCTTCTATGTTCGCTACTTTTTTGTCGCATATTGGACATTTGAAGTCAAGATTTGTTTCCTCAATAGTCTTTGTCTTCCTAAAATAATGTAATAATTATGTTATTAAATGAAAAAGGGGAATTGCAAAATCAAAGACAGAATAAAAATACAAAAGTTTATTATTGAAATTGTGCGATAATAGTAATTTCGTCACCTCTTTGGCGATTTGGAAACATTTACAAGTCTTTTGCCACAGGAAGGAATACAGAAAGATAATTCCAATTTGCTTTTCTATGACCTCGTTCTGGGCTAACGGCGGAAAAATCATGGGCGCACGCTGGTAGAACCCACTTCCGCCGACATTTAACGTCAAGAACACTCCCTCTTTTAGGCCCAGCTTCACAATTGGTGGTAACCTGCACTGATTATCAAACTCATAGTTGCGGTTTGACCACATTGAATAATCTAAAGCTTGATCAATGGTTTTGGCTAAACCACACATTCTAAACCAGATATATGGTAGGTTACCTGTGTCTTGTGGTTACCGTTGGGTTACCACTGTTTGTGAAACTGGCCCTTAGTCTGTTTATTTATACTGCTTTTCTTGCTTCAGGAAGATTTCAGCAACTGATCGGCGTTCACTTGTCCCAGCTCATAAATAGCAGCTCCTAACAGATCTTCCTGATTTTTCGAGCAGATAGCTAATACAAATGAACAGCCTATTTCTGTAGCTGCGTTCGATATTTGCATCTGCGAGCAAAATGAGCATATTTTGACGGACGTCATGTGATCATTGATCTTTTTTCACATGTCAAATCACGTGAAATCTGTCAAAAATTCGCTTGCAAATGCAATTACCGAACCCAGCCTGTGTTCTTTCAGATTGTTTATTATTCTGTGTCGATACTGACCTGACTTTCAGTTGTGACTGTCTTAACTTGAACAATTTGAACAACATATTAGTTAAAATTTGCTGCGGAACTCGCTCCGCTCGTCCCGCAGTGGTTCACCCACGAGGTCTTTAACAATTCACTCATTTGTACTTGAATAACTTGTCACATTATGTTACTAGTTGGGTAAGTATAGTAACATTACTAATTCCTGTCAAAATGCAATTTGACAATAAGTGGATAATCTTACAAATTTTGACTTTATATAATAAGTTATTGTTCAAGTACATCTCCTGACATCCTTGGCATCTCCGGAAATTCTGGAATATTCCTGGACATTCCAAGCTTGTACACCATCAGACATTCTCAGCGGTTCTCCCCTCGGCTAATGCCTAATAACAAGTAACGAGTGGATTGTTGCGGAACTTATAGGTGGACCTCTGCGGGACGAGCGCAGCGAGTTCCGCAGCCATCTATTCACCAATATGTTGTTCAAGTACGATAGTAACCTGACTCACTCAGTTCTGAATTTTTCTCATTAGTTCAAAAACTACACGTTTCAGGTAAGTGTCTTACTTGAACAGTTCAATAGTATATTGGTGAGTAGATGGCTGCGGAACTCGCTGCGCTCGTCCCGCAGTGGTCCACCCATAAGTTCCGCAATAATCCACCTATTTGTATTTGAATAATAAAGTACAAATGAGTGGATTGTTGCAGAACTTACGGGTGGACCTCTGCGGGACGAGCGCAGCGAGTTCCGCAGCTATCTTTTCACCAATATACTATTAAACTGTTCAAGTAAGACACTCACCTGACTCACTCAGTTGTGACTTTTTCTCATTAGTTTAAAAACTATACGTTTCAGGGGAATGTCTTACTTGAACAGTTCAGTATATTGGTAAGTAGATGGCTGCGGAACTCGCTGCGCTCGTCCCGCAGAGGTTCACCCATAAGTTCCGTAATAATCTACTTATTTGTACTTGAACAATAACATTACATTAACTCAAAATTTGTGAGATGATCCATTTTTTGTCAAATTACCTTTTGACATAAAGACCAGTTTACATTGGGTACATTCAGGCGGTCCCAGCGGCTAAGTTCAGCCACTCAGCAGGAACCTTATTCTCGAAACAGGGGAGCAGCATTCTCATTGGAATGAAGGTTCTGTCTTTGTCGTCCGGTATAACACTGACAATGACAGAGCAATCGTTCTTATGAGAACACTGTTCCTTCGTTTCAAGAATAAAGTCCCTGCTGAGTGGCTGAGCTTAGCCGCTGGGACCGCCTGAATGTACCCATTTTGTACTGCAAATGTTTAGTGTCAAATGTTGATTTAACATGTTGAGTGTTAAGCCGGCGCCACACGATGCGTCGAATGCCTTCCAACGTTGGACACATAATATATTTGTGGCATCGTGCAGCCGTAGGCTCGTGACAAACATGAATCCAACGCATCGTGTGGCGCCGGCTTCACTAAACAAAAAAAATAGAACACAATTTGATTTTACTTGCACTTGTACACTTGGCCAATAAGTAAACTGGTACAGGTAATGGGCATTTTTTAAATTTGTCCAATGTGAGTCTGGCTTAACAACAAAAAGTTTCTTCTGAAAACTTAAGTTAGACAGTTTTTGTCAATGTCGAATGTCAAATGTATTAACGGCAACCATTGACGGCGGCATTTTGTTCGATTTAAAAATGACACTTTTTGTCTTTTTTGAGGTGATAAAAAAGGTCGATTTAGGTACCAGTTTTATGATTGGCTAAGTGCTTATGGCGATTTCAATTTATCAATCAGTGCGCACTGAGTATAGTCGCATCTTTTTCTAAAAGCATGTGAAATTGAAGGATGGAGATACATTTTTTTTGCACTGACACGGCAAATTTTTAAAGGTCAAAGGGGTGGCCGTCTTTGTCTTTCCCCCACCTATTTCTCGTAAACATGTACGCGTGCGACAGAGCAAACAACCTCTTTTATTGTCCTTCTCACTACCATAGAATTTGTCTCAAAAATGGACATCGAGAGCAACTGTTAGGTCCGTTCCAGTTACTACACACCTGCTACTGATCAAAGTGTAAACCGGCCATAAGTTAAGTGTTTAGCAGTTTAGTAACAACATTCTAAAAGAATTCCTTATTGTAGTATAAGTCAATCAAATGATTATTCCCGGCTTTTGATTTGATGATTTAATTTTCAAATATTCCTGGCTCTTGATTGGCTCAATTTGACGTTTTAAAAATCGATGTTCCGGTTATTGATTGGTTTTAAAATTCAATTTTTTAAATTTTCTCTATTTTTGATTGGCTTAAAAATTCAATTTTTGTAAATTCCCGGCTCTTGATTTGCTTTAAAATTCAATTTTCAAATATTCCCGGCTCTTGATTGACTCAATTTGACGTTTTAAAATTCAATGTTTGAATATTTCCGATTCTTAATTGGCTCAAAAATTCAATTTTCCCGGCTTTTGATTGCCTTAAAAATTCAATATTTGTAAAATCCCAGCTCTTGATTGGCTTGATTTCACGTTTCATAATTCAATGTTTGAATATTTCTAGTTCTTAATTGGCTTAAAAATTTATTTTTAAATCCAATCAAAAGTCAGGAAAATTCAAAAATTGATTCAGAAAGCCAATCAAGAGCCGAGAATATTCAAAATTTCAATTTCTAAACCAATCAAGAGCCGGAAAAATTTAAAAATTCAATTTCTAAGCCAATCAAGAGCCGCGAATAATCAAAAATTAAACACAATCAAGAGCCAGGAATAAACAAAAATTCAATTTTAAACCCAATCATAAGAGCCGGAGAAATTCAAAAGTTGACTTTGAAAACCACTCAAGAGCCGAGAATATTCAAAATTTCAATTTCTAAACCAATCAAGAGCCGGAAAAATTTAAAAATTCAATTTCTAAGCCAAGGAATGATCAAAAATTTAATTGGAACAGACCAAAGGTTCATTGAGCACCTGTTCAACAGACAGATCTGGGCTGGGACTCTATAGATCGTTATTCGTTATCCCCGTCGCTATGACACCTATTCCTATTTTCTCCTCTCTTTTAGACAATAGACAAGGGACGTCAATAGAGATTAGAGTCCCAGCTCTGTTATAAAAATATTCTTAAGCCCGGTTGACACAGCTTAAATGCACTTAAGGCTGGTTTACATTTTGTTAACTGCAAGTGTTTAGTGTCAAATTTTAAACAGAAAAATAGAACAGGATTTGATTTACTTGCACTAATCACTCGACAGATACATTTACAATTCGACAATTAACTACTAATTTAGGTGTGAACCGGCCTTAAGTCTGGCACTAATAGCTTTGTGACAAGTTGTTCAAGTACCTACACATGAGTAGATTATTTTAGAACTACAGAATAACAAACAATCAGCAAGAGAGTTCGGATTTGCTTGTCTATGACCTTGAACCATGGCTATGGGCGGAAATATCATGAGCGCACGCTGTTAAAACCTTCTTCCGCTGACATTTAATGTCAAAAATACCACTCTTTCTGTGTTCCTCCTCACTTCTCATCGTTCTTCATTATGCTGACTCCGAACATGCGAATTAAGATACTTTTTGCTAGTGAAATTCTTAGAGCAAAACTCGCATTGAAACGGCCTTGCACCGGTATGAGTATTCAAATGATGCTCCAACAGGCTTTTTTTAATGAAAGTCTTTTGACAAAACTTGCACTCAAAAGGTTTAACGTTGCTTTCGGGATGCGTTCTCAAGTGTTGCTGCAAGAACGTATTCAAAATAAATTTTTTATCGCAAAAAGTGCAGGCAAAAGGTTTTTCGTTCCGGTGCACCATCAGGTGGAACTTCAGGCCGTCTTTGCCTCGGAAAAATTTGCCGCAAAAGTCACACTTAAAGTTTTTGCCGTCGTTTTCATGTGCCGCTTTGTAGTGACGTTTCAAGTTGGAAAACGGTTTGTTGCAAATCTGACAGACTTCGGGAGGTGGACGTTGATAGTTCGGATCATGTAGTTTCATGTGGTTTCTCAAATTGCCCTTGTCGCCGATACTTGCACCGCAAATGTCGCAAATGTGCCTTTTGCCCAAATGTTTGGTGTCCAAGTGTTTTTTCAAATAGAAGTTGTTCAGGAATCCTTTGCCGCAATATTCGCAAAAAATGTCGAAGTCTTTTATGTGTCTTCTGCGATGTACTTCGCAATTTCGTTTAGTTGAAAAGGTTCTGCCGCAAATGTCGCAAGGGTATTTTTCTTGATTGTCCAAATCATGAAGAGTTTTGTAATGGTAATCTAAAACTCTTTGGTGTTTGAAGGTTTTGTCGCAAACGGGGCATTGTAGAGGTCTTTCTTCGCTGTGTACAACCATGTGTTTTCGCAAATAAAAATTCCCCATGAAGCCTTTGTCGCAAATCGGACATTGTACCGAGTGTTCTTTGAAATGTCGACTTCTGTGCACCACGCAATTGCGTTTATTACCGAAAACTTTACCGCAAACGTCGCAAGGGAAATTTTCAGATTCACCGTGCACGGTTTTTTCATGATAGTCCAATACCCGTTTGTGTTTGAAGGTTTTCTGACAAATAGGGCACACGAAAGGACGTTGGTGGTCGTGGACAATGATGTGACTTTTCAATTTACAACGTTGCGAAAAGTTGCGCTGGCAATAGGGGCATCGATAGCCTTCTGTTGTTTTGTGGATAATTAGGTTTTCGTTATCTATGCCTGTCAGTTCTAGAGTGTCTTCTAGGTCCGTTGGATCAGCTTTTTTTTTGATTAATTTGTACTTTAGTTTGGATTTCCTATAAAAAAAAATGTAAGTGTTATTGAACTAGAATTATTGATAACTTTTTCTTTGGATTTTTTAAAAATCAAAATTTGGACTATTACAGGCACTTGAAGCTACACGTTGTGTGGCTCGTCAAAAGCTACACATTGTGTGGCTTGTCAACTACACATTGTGTGGCACGTTATCGGATGCCGACTTTACCTTATTGTTGCTAATGTGATCTACTCCTCAAAATTATCAAAAACTCAATAATCCAAATTTAAATTATACGTTCTTGCAAAGTTATCCAACGCCAAGAGCCGGTAATAGTCAACTAATTAATCCAAAAAATAAAACCCACTATGATGAATCCTTATATATTATTCAGTCCTTTATCACACTCAAATATTCAATTTCCACGCCTCCAACATCATGAGTCTTGTAATGCGACATCAAGTGACTTTTGGACTTGAAACTCTTACCGCACTCGCACTTGTAAGGCCGCTCGCCCGTGTGGTACCTCGTGTGCACAGTAAGACTAGTTTTTTGAGTGAAAGTCTTTGGACAAATCGTGCAATGGTACGGTTTGTAGTCGGAATGAGTGCGTTGATGCACCTCCAAGTAGTCTTTTGAGGCGAAAAATTTTTCGCACACCGTGCACAAAAAGTCTTTAAGGCCCGTGTGCATTTTGATGTGAGTTTCCAATGTTTGTTTGCTGCTTAATGATTTGCGGCAAATTGAGCAAATGTATTGTTTGTGTTGCGAATGTGCCTTTTTAACGTGATTATTTAAACTTCTTTGAGTTAAGTAGGGTTTGTTGCAAACATCACAAGCATGTGTTTTGTGTGTTGTTTTGTGACTATTAGAATGTTCTCGTAATGCACTCGGGCTGCTTAATTTTTGACCGCAAGTTTCGCAAATGAATCCGCTTTTTGTGTGAGTCGTTTGCTTGTGAGTGTTGCACTCGTGCTGTGATATGAAGCCTCTATTGCAAATGTCACAAAATGCCACAAATTGTTTCGAGTGACGTTTTTTGTGGGCATTTAAATGAGATTTGTGCGTGAACATCTTCGAACAAACGTCACACTGAAATGTTGGCTCAAAATGAGTGCGAGCATGAGCGGTTAGTTCGTAGTTGAATCTGAATTTTTTGCCGCACGTGCCGCATTCGATTTTTGGTTGTTCGATGTGCCGCATCAAGTGCTTCTTTAGTAGTTTTTTAGTTGAAAACTGTTTTTTGCAAATATCGCACGTGAATTTATTGAAGTGGCACGATAGAGGTTGCACATCACAAAAATCACTTTCAATGATTTCAAATTGATTAGTGCTACTGCTGGCAATGTTGTTTAGGATAGCGGCACACTCTTCTTCAGTTGATAAAAGGTTGAGTAGGTCGTCTGAGGCGTTTAGTTGGTCCACTACTGAACTGGCTGGCATATTTGATTTTGGACACTCAAACGACTCCAAATCTATGTTGAATGAAGGATAAATCGAGTTGTGGAAGAGTAAGCTAAAATCAAAGTTTTATTGGAAATAAATAGGAATTATTGCTTACAAATTTGCAGAAATAATTCCTTTTAGACTTCGTACAGACTTGAACAGTACGCCGCACAACGACAATTGAAACACTAATTTGGGCAAGGCTACGAACAGCCAGAATTTGCGAATGACTTCGCAAACGTGTTCGGTTCGTTATTCTGTTTGTCGTCAGCGTAAGCTTCGTACACACCTGAACATTAGGCGGAACAACAAACAGAACAACGAACCGAACGACGAACGAAACACTTATTTGAACGGAGCTACGAACCGGTTGGCAAATCCTGGCCGTTCGGCGAATGGTTTAGGTACGGCGTTTCCATCACTTGTGGGAGCAGCATGAACGTTTCGTTTATGTGGGATATAAAATCGAGCAAAATAAACCCGATGATAAGGCTGTCAGGGGTGGAGAAGGCAACGAAATAGTTGACTACATTTTCATAGAAAATGAGGAACTATGAGAGACAAATACCTGAAGGTGGTCTTTAGACGCGGCTGCAAAAACACATATAGAGAGAACATCTTCTGCGCGATCAGCACCGAGATATTCAGATATTTGATGACGGGAAAGATCAGACTAGACCTGACCACCCACGCTGTCTGCGGATTTGGGTAAAACCGACATGCATAAGGTGCGGAGGAACTCATGAGAAGAAAGACTGCAAAAAAAAGGAGCCAGACTGCCCAAACTGTGCAAAAATGATAATCAGAAAAGAACAAAGCAGGCATTCGGCCTAAGATTAGGAATGCCCGCTCTACAAATAAAGAATCGATAGAAAGAGGAACAGCATAAACTACAAGTAATGGGGGAAGCACAGAGACGTACAGACGACATAAAAAGTTTAATGCCGACAAAGGACAAGAGGCGACTAACCTAATGGAGGAACATGCACAGGAACACGACATCGACATACTTGTAGTCCAGGAGCCGTATACCACAGTGTCCGGAGCTGCAACTACAACACACATAGCAAGGGCGCTAAAAGTAAAAATTAAATGTAAGTACTTTAGTGTTTAATAATTTTCTGACTTTTATCAATGATTTTGAATGATAAGAAGTGAATTAACGAATGACTTTCAATGCCTAAAAACTTGAGTGATTTTCCTAGAAAAACTTTTGACTTTATAAAAGATGAATGACTATAAAGTGAAATATCAATGGAACATTATTGCATAATTTTAATTGCCTTCATGTATAATGACATTCCAATTGGATTTATTAGCTAGGCTAGGAATCCGAGAATAGAATTGTTCTGAATAAATAAACTATTAAATGGAATAGAAAATTTTGAAAAGAAACTTGATGTTCATGAAAAAGAATTATCTTAAAATATTGGAAAGTTGTTAAAGGAACTTATTGTTCATGAAATGAATTTTGAATTAGGGTTTTTATTTTTCAAGTAGAAATTATTGTATGGTTTTATAAGAATAAGTTAGTAATACCTATATTGATAAACAAATAGGTAATTATTTTGGGTTTTTCATAAGCAGTCAGTAAAGGAGTTAGAAATTTTAAAGGGTTTATAGAAATAGGTGAAGGATAGTTTATTAGGAATGAATCGGAAGTATTGAAATGAGTTAACTTATAAGTTATCAGGAATAGTAGGAATAGGGCGTTTCTTTATTAGTAGGGATATTTCAGTGGTCCGTAATAATGACAGTTTTTGAACGGATGTGAAATAATTGAATTTTAGAAAAAAATAGATGAGGCTGTCAGAATTGGAAGATATTTTGCTGATTTAGATTTTTGGGTTTTATGTATAATAAAATATAATTTAGTACGCCTCAATAGTTTGTTTCTCTCTCTTGCAAATAGACCCTTCCACAGATTTTAGGTAGCAGCTCCAAGTAAATAAACACCATCAATATATCGCTTGCCATTTACCATCTAACTAATTACATAGAGTACTTGGAGCGTTTAGCTACAACGTGAGTTCTTCAACCTGCGGGGCCCTACTGGACCGCGGGGCCCGGGGCTCCAGCCCCTTTACCCCCCCCTTAATCCAGGCATGTGTAGAACACACCAGAGAGTGGTGGACGGATGATCTCCAGGAAATCAGGCAGAGAAGCTTTAGACATTTGAGTAAAAAACACTTTCTCTTTCAAAAAAATTATTTACTTTATTCAACTTAAGTAAACACTAATCATATCAGATTATAACTGAATCAAAAGAAATACATAATTAAAAATCAATATACAGGGTCTCTGTCCTCAGATAAACTTATGCATTTTGCAGGTAAAGGTCTAGAAAAATGTGTCAATTTATCCAAGGACACCTTGTATAATATAATAATTCAACTCAAAATTGGGCTTATTCTAACTCACTTGTAATATTACACAGAATGAGCCGATTTCTCTTATACAAGCACTTAAAGTTATACATATTTGGAATTACTTTAAATTACTCAAAAATATATTCAATTAATACACACCCTGTACATTTGGAATGTGCAAATCTTATTATACAGGGTGTGAAAAGTTGATTAACGCAGCTCATACACAGTTATCGAGTGACAATAATTGGTTGCAACAATTTTCAACTGTACGTATATGGTATAAATCCCGCCTCATTCAAATTAACTTTAACTCGATCCAACAAAAACAACATCCTCATCCTCTTTCCCGGCATCATTCCCGTGCAAATTTTGCACGTGCCCCTGCAAATTGCTATACATCCGTTTGCACCAAGTACAAAAATGTACCTCGTACATGTGACTTTCTTGCTGGCTGGGCGTGCGCAGCACCATGCAATTGTAAAACGGACACGGGTACTTGTTGTGCTTGTCCACCATGTGTTGCCTGTACAAGTTCCAGTTGAGGAACTTGTTCTTGCATATTTGGCACTGTACCAGTTTGGGACCTATGGAGTAGGGATTGGACTGTACCGGAGCGCAATCTATTAATTCAGTTAGTGGTTTGACTGAGATTTTCGGTCTCGGATCTTCATCAGGAATAGTGACTTTTACAGGCTTGGGTCTTATGTATACGGGTTTCAATTGCTGATTGCTGTCAGTTGTGCCTTTTATAAATTTGGCAAATTCGGTTTCATATTCTGTGCCAGGTTTGGTTACAGGTTTGTCTTTCTTGTTGTCATTTTCAACCACAGTACTAATGCTGGTGATTATTGGTAGGACAAAATTTGAATTATCTTCAGATATAACTACTTTAGGCTCGGACAAAAATCGTACTGGTTCATTAGTAGTTTCTGGTTGTGGTGGTGGTGGTGGTGGTGGTGGTACCACTACAGGTTCATTATTGATTTGATTGCCAGGCATTACCCAATACAAAGTTTGATTGGGGACTTGCACAGGCAAAAGTTGCATTGGCGCTTGAGGCTGGACCATTACATTAGAATCCGTGCTAGTACTAGGATTCACCATGTAATAACCACTGCCTGGCATTAATCCAGTTGATTGTGGCATTAATCCACTTGATTGTGACATTAATCCAGTTGATTGTGACATTAATCCAGTTGATTGTGACATTAATCCAGTTGATTGTGACATTATTCCCGTTGATTGTGGCATTGCAAATTGCGAATTAAGAACCATCGGGGTTTGATTTGAAGTTGTAGTGGCAACAGGTTGAGGTGCAGGTGGTTTTTTAGGAGCTTCATTAGTTTTTTTAGGTTTAGGCAAAATGTGTCGTTCTTTTGGTTGTTGTTGTGGCACTGGTTCTTTTGAAAGTTTGGCTACAGCTTCGGGTTGCGATTTCCAGAAATTTTTATGAATTTTATACTGATCTTGAGCTAAAGTTTTGTGCAACAACTTGTGACGTTCCAAGGCGTCTAAAGACGCAAAAACGTCATAGCAAATGTCGCAGTCGTGAATCGGTATTGAACCACTTTCATTGTTTTGTGGTTTTTCAATTTGTGGTTTTTTAATTTGCGTATGTACATTGACACGGTGACCTATTAGTTGATCGCAATCATCGAAACTACTCGTACAGCTTTCGCATTTATACATTTTTCTTCTAGGTGGAGGATCTGGAACAACACTATGCGCACTAGCATAATGACGTTTCACTTGGTAATAATCGTCAAATGAAAGGGGACAACTTTCACATTTGTAACAATATTTCATGGTGCTTTTCATGCCGTGTTGTAGTACGTGCACTATAAAACCTCCTTTGGTATTGAATTGCCTGTTGCAAAGTTTACAATAATATTTGCAAAAGTATTGAGTGTGTATGTGGTTTTTGATACTGAGCTGATTTTCAAAAAATACATTACAAGACGTACACTTGTAATTTTGTTTGTCTTCCTCTTTAACTATTTTTTCTACTTCTTCTTCTTCTTCTTCTTCCAATTTTTCCTCATTCTTATGCAAAATCTTATGTGTTTCCAATAATTCTTTGCTTGCAAACTTTTCAAAGCACACATAACAACTATATTTTTTACTTCTAGCATGCTTGTCTCCAGTTTTAAGTTTACTTAACAAATTGCTTTTGGTACTTCGAAGCCGTCTGGTTCCAGGAGGTGATCTCATTATGTCCACTAATATTACTTTACATTGTCTACTAAAATGCTTTTTGATGTACTTTGCTGTCCTAAAATATTTCTTTTGTTAGTAACTATTTTAAAACCTTTACATAAGGTAAAAAGAAACAAAATAAAACAATAACAAAGTTAATAATAATATTGATGTATTTTAACCATATGTTTTTCAAGATTTTCATAAGTTATAAAAGCCTTGAAGCAAAATCTGCAAATACATCTAGAATGTTTGTGTCTGGTAAGAAAATGCTCATACAATTGCAAATTACTGGCAAACATTTCTCTGCACAAACAGCATTTGCCTATGACCAAGCATTTTTCCTTTTTAACATGCTCCTTGAATCCATTAAAGCTAAAAAACACTTTCTCGCACTTATTACAACTAAAATGGTCTTGTTTGATTAAAATATTTGCTGGATGTTGAATACATAGAGTTTCCTCTATTGGTTGTTGATCTTCTTCTTCAAAGTCAGGCCTCAGTAGAGCAAAATTGTTGTGAAAATTATCATATTCTTCTTTGTCTATTTCTGAATTGATGTAATGTAAATTGATGTGCTCTTGCAAGGAAGGCTTGGATAGGAAGACTTTCCAGCAGGTTGTACAACTGAAAACACCACCATCTTCATTGGGATCTTCTATATTATTATTATTATTATTTGCTTCATTTTTATTGCATTCTTTGTTTTTGTGCCAATCCAGTTCGGAATCCATATGGAATGTTGCAAAACATACGTGGCATTTGTATGTTGGTACTTTCACTCTGCCATTGATGAATTTTATTGTCGGGTCTTTTTGCACGTCTTGCACCCAAATTTCGCAATCTTTTAGGTTGAATTTTGATATTAGGTTTGACCTAAAATAGAATTAGGTTTAGTGTTTGTACTCCATTAAGTTCAAATTAATGCTGGGAAGAAGTAAAACTAATAAATATTAAAGATGTAGGTATAAGATTCTATTCAAAAACTCAATTAAAGGTAAAATAATTCTCGAAGTTAAAGCTTACTATTATACAAACCGAGGCAACCTACTAGACACATAGAATTTATAGTTTGTGTCCAAATTTCGACTAAAGTTTTGAAGGTTGACAGCTCAGGAAGCCCATGAACTACTGGAACAAATTCAATACAGTTTTAAAGGGAATTTGATAGGAATTATTATATAATTTGCTTTTCCAGAATTTATGAAATAGAGACTCTTTTGAAAGGCAAACTTTAAAAGTTAAGTTTGACTTGATTGAGTCAATTTTTGTCTATATTCGGCTCTTGATTGGGTTTTTAATTGATTTACTTTGTTTTTGAGTCCTAAATTTACAATTTGATCCGTCAGTGACCTCAATTTTCCTGGATTTATGAAATAGAGACTCTTTTGAAAGGCAAACTTTAAAAGTTAAGTTTGACTTGATTGGGATGTCAATTTTTGTCTATATTCGGCTCTTGATTGGGTTTTGAGTTGATTTGATTGATTTACTTTGTTTTTGAGTCCTGAATTTACAATTTGAACCGTCAGTGACCTCAATTTTCCTGGATTTATGAAAATAAGGACTCTTTTTAAAAGCAAACTTGTTCAGTTTAATTTGATTGAAAAGTCAATTTTTGTTTATACTCGGCGCTTAATGGGATTTTTGTGTTCTAAATTTACAATTTCAGCCATCTAGTGACCTCTATTTTCCAGGATTTATAAAATAGAGACTCTTTTGAATGGCAAACTTTATTTGGATATCATTGAAATTAATGTCACTGATCGTTGAAAGTATTATATCACTTCCCAAAAAGTTTACTGCTGATCCAGATGGAATCCCCAATTTTCTTGTGTATTGTACAGCCTATGAATTCTTGAATTTTTCAGCTTGCGAGCCTGGAATAGGCAAAAATCGAATCAAAATTAATAGTTTTCTTATTCCCGGCTCTTGAATTGAAAAACTAAAGAAAACAGGGAGGAAATCAAAAGCCTGGAATAGACAAATAATTGAGACAAAAATGATTGAGCTCCACATCGAAAAGAAAACACCTTAACTTTGACATTTAAAGTAGTCAGTCAACTATAGTGGTTCGTTAGGTTGCACCCTCTCTTATGTGGTGATGTCCAAGTGCAACAAAAATAGAGTCATTTAGAGTAAATTCTCTCCACACTTTTCAAATAAGTCTGGGGCAGCAACTTGAAAGCGCCTCAACTTTGACAGTTCAAACAATTCTAGTAGGCCATTTTTAACGCTTTCTTCGAACCATCAGGGACAGGGACAGCCTATGAATTCTTGAATTTTTCAGCTTGAGAGCCTGGAATAGACAAAAGTTGAGACATAATTAATAGTTTACTTATTCGCGGCTCTTGAATTGAAAAACTAAAGATAACAGGGAGGAACTCAAGAGCCTGGAATAGACAAATAATTGAAACAAAATGATTGAGCTCCACATCGAAAAGAAAACACATTAACTTTGACATCTTAAGTAGTCAGTCAATTATAGAGGTTTCGTTAGGTTACACCTCCTCTTATGTGGTGATGTCCAAGTGCAACAAAAATAGAGTCATTTAGAGTAGATTCAATCCACAGTTTTCAAATAAGTCGAGGGCAGCAACATGAAAACACCTCAACTTTGACAGTTCAAAGAATTCTAGTAGGCCATTTTTAACGCTTTCTTTGAACCATCAGGAACAGAGACAGCTTATGAATTCTTGAATTTTTCACCTCGAGAGCCTGGGATAGACAAGAGTCGAGACAAAATTAATAGTTTTCTTATTCCCGACTCTTGAATTGAAAAACTAAAGAAAACAGGGAGGAACTCAAGAGCCTGCAATAGACAAATAATTGAGACAAAAATGATTGAGCTCCACATGGATAAGAAAACCCTTACTTTTTACCTTACCTTAACTTTGACATTTAAAGTCAATGAACTATAGTCAAAAACTGGAATGCGCACATATTGCCATATCTGCCAAAAAAATGTAGCCATGAAAGACAGATGCCACAAAGGGGAATGTTGTTTTTTTCTGTTGCTCGCTAACATATGACGTTTTGGAAAGTTTTGTCATATTTGCCTTCACAGGTTTCATCAATTGAAATACGTGATTTTTAATAATTCTGAAAATGAAAATAAGTCTGCCCCTCCTGAATGTTAAGTTGCCCCCTCTGTTATCAAAACCTGGCTACAGGCCTGTATGTAGGCCTTCAATAATCCACCCTCTGCATACAAATTATTGAAAAAGGGCTGTTCCAAACTGATAACTCGCGCTCTGCGGGCGCACTTACACCGAAAAAGTAAAATTATTAAGGTTCCGGCATTGAACCCTATGTGTCTAGTAACCTGGTCCTCAATGTATACTTTCAATATCTAAATATTTATATTGCACAAAATTATTCAACCGCCTCATACAAAATAAGCTTAACATGCGTATCTTGATGCTTCTTAAAATAATACTCATCCGCAAAACTCCTATCGCACAACTCGCACTGATACCGAATCCCCATATGGCGATTCTTGAAATGATTCCTATACTCTCTAACAGTAAAAAACCCTTTGTTGCACTTCTCGCACTTGTGCCTGAACTGATCCAAGTGCCGCATCACGTGCTCCTTGACGTTTTTCTCGTATAAGAAAGTTTTGAAGCAAAAGTGGCACACGGCACGGTCGGTGTGCATCATTGCGTAGTGCGCGTAAAACTCGCTGTTTTTGTTGAAGTTCAACGAACATAAGTCGCAATTGTTCACGTAGCACTTGCCTTTTTCAATGTGGCGTTGGAACACTAGGGTGTTGATGAACATTTGCTCGCAACGTTGGCATTTGTAATGAGTCATATCGATTTCTTCGTTGGGTTCGAATTCTAGGCAAATTGATGGAGAAAAGTTTGGTATTCTTAAGGATTTTGTTGGTTTTGATGCATTTGCAACTGAATTATGATTCAGTAGATAGATTGTATCATTGTCATCAGTTACTTCAAAAGTGCCTTCGTTTTCTTTGACAAAAATAATTTTGTCGTTTTCGCTTAAGGAAATTTCGTTTGTGTCATTGTGGATGTCGTGGTGGTCGTACAAGGTGTCTAAATCTGGAAACGATTTCAAGCACTTGCAACAATGTAATTTTTTGGTGAAATTTTCAATGTGCTCCTGAACAAACTCTTCTTTGGAAGCAAATATTTTTGAACATATGGCGCATTGAAATTGTTCACCAGTTCCATTTGGATTTATGATTTCTTCTTCGTAAACAAATCTAAAACATAATTGGTTTAAGTACAATTATTTCAAACTAATAAAATTGTCACACGTTTCGCGGCTAATGTGGGTAGGACCTAAGGTTGTTCTTCAGGAAAACACACAACTACAAAAAGGAGCTTAACGTATATTGTCTGCTAGTGGGTATATCACCAAAGGGGCATTACGTAGGTGCGCCACATGATTCTCACGTTTGGGGCTCTACGTACATATTATACGGCGATGCCCTGAAGGGGTAACGTAACCCTGAAGAGAAGTGTAGCTACTGATCTTCTGGGTAAGGAGACACTGAAAAGAGAAGAACCCAAATGGGTACCCATTTCATGTAAACATTAGTTTACGCATTGACCTGCTGATCGTGTTTTAATGGATTTTTAATATACAGAGTGGTTTAATTTATAAACCAGTTAACAATAATAACAAATAATTTATTTAATTAATCTTTAACAACAACCATAGGCCCTTTACAATTATGCTGTTTAAGCTCAGCTTTAGTAACAAAACCTCTATTACAAACACAACAAGAAAAAGGCCTTTCACCTGTATGATAACGCATATGTATCGTCACCGTATAAGGTTGAGTAAAGCCTTTAAAACAAATCGGACACTTGTGGGGTTTTTCTTTGGTATGAGTACGTATATGATGTCGCAATATTTTGCGATTTCCGAAAAATTTGCCGCAAAATTCGCACTTGTGAGGCTTAACCCCCATGTGTACTTTCATGTGCGGCCTGATGTTTTTCTTCAAAACTTCTTTGCCGCATATTTCGCAAACGCTTCGCCTTTTCCTATAGTCCGGCTCTTCGATGTTGTGCGTTTCCATGTGCTTGATGTAGCTGACTTCATAGGACATTGTCTTGTCGCACACTGAACATGTGAAGCTAAACTTGTAGTTTTTATCATGTACGGACCAGACATGCTTTTTCATGTATTTTTGGCGGTTTTTGAAGTTTTTAGAGCAAAACGGGCAGGTGAATATAGTGTCTTTATCGGTCAGTTTGTGCATTTTTTTGAAGTGCTGTTGAAGCTGCGAATTGTCATTAAAGGCAAGTATACAAATCTCGCAGCTGAAGTTGGCGAAACGTTTGGTTTCTGAGTGGATGTAGGAATGTCGCTTTAGGTTACCTGCGGAGGCGAATAGTTTTAGGCATATTGGACATTGATGCCTAAAATAAAATTTTTGAAATTACAAAACTTGTATATTTACAATTAATTGTTATTGGTTGTTGAGGCTGTATATAAAGAGAAAAACCAGTATAAAAATTACAAAAATACATATATTTAAATTTAATATTGTGGTTGGGAAAAAACGTGAGGATATTAAAAGACACAGTCAAGTTTTACCATTGAAAAAATCCCATAATCCCTAGAAATTTCAAGTTCAAAACTACTAATTGAAGCGGTACTTGCATGTAGAAATTCTAAGGTAGATACAAAAAAACAAGCAAGTCTGTTTGTACTCGAAACACTTATGTAATGTATAAATATCTTGTTCCGTAATAATAATAATAATACTAAAGACGGGTATCTGAAATGACTTGAGAAGTTAACTTTTATTTATTTATGCCCGGTTTTATAAGGTATAGTTAAATATCTCGAGTTACCCTAAGGGTTAAGACTCGGGTTAAAATGCAAAGATCTCTGTGAAAATTTATAAAGTAGAAGAACTCGAACACAACATAACCATACATTCATTATTACAATTAGGCAATCCAAACTACGTGGATTTGAATTCGCTCTATCGATTTCTGAAGTCAAAATTGAGAAAAGTTCAAAAATAATTTTCAATTTTTTGCACTTTTTCCTAAGGATTTTTATTTTCAAACATTCAAAGCACGATATCTTGGTAACCAAAAGCGGTACCGAAACAACATTTTCAGGGTTTGTAGCTCTTGATGAGAGCTTTCAGATGATAGTTAGCTGAAATCGCTAGCTTTTATAGTTTTTGAAAAAATCGAGTTCGAAGTTTTGGACAAAATTTTTACAAAAGTTCAACTTTGAAGTTCGATTGCTCATGAGCTCGTTGAAGTACTGGAACCAATATGGTACAGTTTTGAAGAGAATTCAACGCTCTTTCCAATGATATATAATTGTAGTTAATTTGCTCAAATTCTATTGAAGATATGGGCAATTATTCATGAGCGTATCAAGAATTCAAAAAATTTCCAGAGACAAAAATTTAGATTTCCTTTAGGATTTTTTCTCTCATTATAATTCTCAAATCTAACTTATCTAAGAGTCGTTTCTGACTAATTTGAATTCGCTGTAGCGATTGCTGAAGTCAAAATTGAGAAAAATTCAAAAATATTTTTTTTAAATTTTTTGCACTTTTTCCTAAGTACCCCCTTTGGATTTTTATTTTCAAATCTTCAAAGTTCGATATCTTGGTAACCAAAAGCGGTACCGAGACAAAATTTTCAGGGTTTGTAGCTTCTGATAAGGGCTTTCAGATGGTGTTTAGCTGAAATCGCTAGCTTTTAGCGTTTTTAAGAAAATGATGCTTGAAGTTTTGGACAAAATTTAGACTTAAATTCAACTTTGGAGTTCGATTGCTCATGAACCCGTTGAGGTACTGGAACCAAAATGGTACAGTTTTGAAGAGAATTTAATGATTTTTCCAATGATATATAATTGTAGTTAATTTGCTCAAATTCTATTGAAGATATGGGCAATTATTCATGAGCGTGTCAAGATTTCAAAAAATTTCCAGAGACAAAAATTCATATTTCCTTTAGGATTTTTTCTCTCATTATAATTCTCAAATATAACTGATCTAAGAGTCGTTTCTGACTAATTTGAATTCGCTCTATCGATCTCTGAAGTCAAAATTGAGAAAAATTCAAAAAATAAATATTTTCAATTTTTTGCACTTTTTCCTAAGGGTACCCCCTTTGGAATTATATTTTCAAATGTTCAAAGTTCGATATCTTGGTAACCAAAAGCGGTACCGGGACAAAATTTCCAGGGTTTGTAGCTCTTGATAAGGGCTTTCAGATGGTATCTAGCTGAAATTGCTAGCTTTTATAGTTTTTGAGAAAACCGAGTTCGAAGTTTTGGACAAAATTTTGACTAAAGTTCAACTTTGGAGTTCGATTGCTCATGAACCCGTTGAGGTACTGGAACCAATATGGTACGGTTCCGAAGAGAATTTAATGCTCTTTCCAACGATACATAGTTGTAGCTAATTTGCTCAAATTATATTGAAGATAGGGGCAATTATTCATGAGCGTGTCAATATTTCCAAAAATTTCCATAGGCAAAAATTGAGATTTCCTATAGGATTTTTTCCCTCATTATAATTCTCAAATCTAACTGATCTAAGAGTCGTTTCTGACTAATTTGAACTCGCTCTATCGATTGCTGAAGTCAGAATTGAGAAAAATTCAAAAATAAAAAATTTCAATTTTTTGCACTTTTTCCTAAGGGTACCCCCTTTGGAATTATATTTTCAAATCTTCAAAGTTCGATATCTTGGTAACCAAAAGCGGTACCGGGACAAAATTTTCAGGGTTTGTAGCTTTTGACAAGGGCTTTCAGATGGTGTTTAGCTAAAATCGCTAGCTTTTAGGGTTTTTAAGAAAATGGTGCTTGAATTTTTGAACAAAATTTAGACTTAAATTCAACTTTGGAGTTCGATTGCTCATGAACTCGTTGAGGTACTGGAACCAATATGGTATAGTTTTGAAGAGAATTTAATGCTCTTTCGAATGATATATAATTGTAGTTAATTTGCTCAAATTCTATTGAAGATATGGGCAATTATTCATGAACGTGTCAAGATTTCAAAAAATTTCAAGAGACAAAAATTCATATTTCCTTTAGGATTTTTTCTCTCATTATAATTCTCAAATATAACTGATCTAAGAGTCGTTTCTGACTAATTTGAATTCGCTCTATCGATCTCTGAAGTCAAAATTGAGAAAAATTCAAAAAATAAATATTTTCAATTTTTTGCACTTTTTCCTAAGGGTACCCTTTGGAATTATATTTTCAAATCTTCAAAGTTCGATATCTTGGTAACCAAAAGCGGTACCGGGACAAAATTTTCAGGGTTTGTAGCTTTTGACAAGGGCTTTCAGATGGTGTTTAGCTAAAATCGCTAGCTTTTAGGGTTTTTAAGAAAATGGTGCTTGAAGTTTTGAACAAAATTTAGACTTAAATTCAACTTTGGAGTTCGATTGCTCATGAACTCGTTGAGGTACTGGAACCAATATGGTATAGTTTTGAAGAGAATTTAATGCTCTTTCGAATGATATATAATTGTAGTTAATTTGCTCAAATTCTATTGAAGATATGGGCAATTATTCATGAACGTGTCAAGATTTCAAAAAATTTCAAGAGACAAAAATTCATATTTCCTTTAGGATTTTTTCTCTCATTATAATTCTCAAATATAACTGATCTAAGAGTCGTTACTGACTAATTTGAATTCGCTCTATCGATCTCTGAAGTCAAAATTGAGAAAAATTCAAAAAATAAATATTTTCAATTTTTTGCACTTTTTCCTAAGGGTACCCCCTTTGGAATTATATTTTCAAATCTTCAAAGTTCGATATCTTGGTAACCAAAAGCGGTACCGGGACAAAATTTTCAGGGTTTGTAGCTTTTGACAAGGGCTTTCAGATGGTGTTTAGCTAAAATCGCTAGCTTTTAGGGTTTTTAAGAAAATGGTGCTTGAAGTTTTGAACAAAATTTAGACTTAAATTCAACTTTGGAGTTCGATTGCTCATGAACTCGTTGAGGTACTGGAACCAATATGGTATAGTTTTGAAGAGAATTTAATGCTCTTTCGAATGATATATAATTGTAGTTAATTTGCTCAAATTCTATTGAAGATATGGGCAATTATTCATGAACGTGTCAAGATTTCAAAAAATTTCAAGAGACAAAAATTCATATTTCCTTTAGGATTTTTTCTCTCATTATAATTCTCAAATATAACTGATCTAAGAGTCGTTTCTGACTAATTTGAACTCGCTCTATCGATTGCTGAAGTCAGAATTGAGAAAAATTCAAAAATAGAAAAAGTTAGTAGTTTTTGACAATGTGCATGCGCATGACAACCGCCAAACTCTAGACTTACCACGAGCCAAATGGAGAGGCAGGGTTAACTCACACTCTAGTTTATGAAACGGAGCATCACGCACCTGTCACCGGATTAACTCTCAGGGCAGGGGTAATTTGAGCTTAAACAATCGGTCATTAAAATCACTAGAAAACTTATAATACTTGCCCTAACTTTACTGGCAAAATTCACAAATTTACAGTAATCTATTATATCGACAAGAAAATCTAATGTTACTTTAGGCCGCAAGCGCTGAAGTAGCTGCGCACTGATGACTGCGCATTTCATATCCGCTTTCACATTTCCGTCTCCATGTTTACACATCAAATAGTTTTGGTTTTTTCCAAAGTCTTACACAAGCCACTAAATAATATGATGTTTCTTTATGTTACAAAGTTATTTATTGCATTCAAAGCCCGATTTAGCAAGGATTTTTGTTTTAAGTCACAAAACAACAAACTGACATCCGTCACAACTGTCATTACTCATAGCATGAATAAAGCCTAGTCTAGTTATTTGAAATTTGACATTTAACATGGCTTTAAATTACTACTTAAATACAGTCTTATATTTTCAACCATCGAAAAACTACTAAAACATAACAAATATTTTGCGCGCCAAGTATAGCAAAGGGTGCAACAAAATATAGGGGTGGCCAAACAAGGCACTCTAGAGGGGCGACAACCTCACCTCAGGTAAAAATTCAATGTCGTACCGGTCCACATGCGTGGTTTTTCAATTCGGAACTGGTTACGAAACCCTTAGGGCAATTGAGACATCTGTGGGGTCGCTCGCCTGTGTGATACCTCATATGCACCGTCACTGAATATTTTTGCGTAAATCCTTTGCCGCAAGTTGCGCAAAGATACGGTTTTTCCTTGGTGTGAATTCTAGTATGAAGCTTCAAACATTTCCTAGTCACAAAAGCTTTGCCGCAATAGTTGCACTCGAAAGGTTTTTCACCTGTGTGCGACATCATGTGTATTTTTAAGTTTTTCTTGAGCATCTCTTTGCCGCAAATGTCGCAACAATACTTGCGAAAGTGGCACGGGAATTTTGAATTCAAGACGTGCCGCTTGCGGATGTGCGCTTCTAAGTATTTGCCGCACGTTAGGCCCTTGAGGCAAATCGGACACTGGAATTCTGGTTTGTGGTTCGGGTCGTGGCTGCTCACATGTTTCTCGAACCAGGGAGTTTCTTTGAATTTTTTGCCGCAGTGCGGACAGATTAAATCGGTGCGAGGTGGTTTTTTGTGCGTCGATTGTATGTGGTGATTGAGCACGTTTTTGAAAACGAATCTTTTGCCGCACTGGTAACACTCGAACCGTTTTTCCGCGTGCACGTACGAGTGTTTTTTTAGCTTTGCGGCTGATTGGTACCACTTGTTGCAGCGTTGACATTTGACTGGGTTCCTAAAATAAATTACATTACAAGACTTAATTCTAAAGACTTTGACTTACCGTCAACTTTTTCTCCTCTAGTCCGGCGAGCCATAGAATACCACATCAATAATACAAGTACTTGAAAAAATAATATATTTATTGTATAAATACTCAAACATTGTCCATAAGTCTCCCTACACACCTGTGACTATTAAGCGAAGTCCTGGAAACGTACCGTTTAAAACAAACCGCACATTCATAAGGCTTTTCGCCTGTATGAAGCCTCACATGAATATTCAAACTCCCTTTTTGTGTGAAACTTTTATCGCACAATTGACATCCAAATGGTTTCTCTTTGGAATGTACAACTTTGTGAGTTTTCAAAATATTTTTTGTAGTAAAACTTTTGCCGCATATGTGGCACTGGAAAGGTTTTTCGCCCGTGTGCGTCCGCATGTGATGCCTAAGGCTGGCTTTGGACGTTACGTTTTTGCCGCATACGTGGCACACGTTGGCTACAGCTGCACCGGTGTGCGATTTCATGTGCACCTTGTAGGATTTGATGTGCGTCAGGATTTTGCCGCACACTTCGCACGCGTAGATTTCCTTGCGGTAGCTCGGCTCGTGGGTTTTCTGGTGCTCTTTGAAATATTGGACGTCTTTGAAGGTTTTCTGGCAGTAGGTGCATTGAAAAGTTAGGCCGAAATGTTTGAGTTCTTCGTGTTTGGTGAGTTCGTAGCGGAAGTTGAAGCCCCTGTTACACTGTTTGCATGAGTATTTGAATTTGTTGTAGTGCACGTTGTTAATGTGGCGTTTAAGTTTTTCTTCCAGGAAGTATTTTTTGTCGCAATATTCGCACAGGAATTGGAATTTTTTTAGGTGCACAGTGCGGATGTGGTTGTTCAGCAGATGCTTCATTAGAAACTTTTTGTCGCAGTGAAGGCAAGACAGGTTTTTTTCTCTGTGGCTCAGTGCGTGTCTTTTTAGACTTGGCAAGGTTTGGAATGATTTTTCACAGTTTAGACAAGAGAATTCTAATCTAAAAAAAAATTGGATTATTTTATAATAGAGTAGAATTATACAGCCACTTCTGATGACGTATCATTAAAAATAAGGAATTTCAGTAAGCTTTCGCTTATTCATCATTTAATATTACATTAATACGAGCTACGAGCTTGTAGCATTATACAATGTGTCCAAGATAAGGAGGGCCAGTGTGGGGATCTCGTAAACAGTGAAAGATACGACGTGGCTCAAATTAGCAAAAAGTTGCGTAATTTTGTGCTCAATAAAATACCGCTCTGATATTTAGATAATTCCGAGAGATACCGAAGATATCGACTGAAACGATTCTATTTTTTCCTGACCTTATTTGAAGAGATATTTTAAAATAAATGGCACTTCATCATTGCCACTTTTCCTCCCCTACAATATGGCATTATCAAATTTGTAATCCGACGTTTCGTTTTTGAACCATCATATCATCAGATCCACATACTGACCCTCCTTATTTTGGACACATTGTAGAATTTAGTCTTTGAGTCTGCTTTTTTGTAGAAACATCTATTTTAATTTGAACAAAACATAGGTTGCATTAAAGTCAATAGAATTGGCGCTAACTTTATCCAGAAATATCAACCAACATCCGTTTAGTTAGGGACCTAGAAATAGCTGATCTTTATTCAGAAATTTCGAGACACACTTCAGTTAGAGATTTAGGAAGTCAAGTTTCCAGCGAATCGGAAGTTATTTTGAATAACTTTATCTCTCAAGTGAGTTAATATCTTTACTGTAAACCCACAAAATCTTGATAATGGTATTGATATATTTACCGTGAAATGAACATGGTTTAAGTAATGTTAAAGTTTCTTAACATTCCAGACTGATGACTTTTCAATCTTCTTTAAATTACTGCGTAAGAACAGCTCCAAGTCCAAAACACGTGCAAATAGCTGAGACCAACTAATGATCTTTTCAATTTATTTTCCAATTTTCCATTAAATAGGTATGTATGATTGTTTGAGACTAAGAAAAACTTCAATGGTACATTTATTACCCATTTAATTTTACCCGTAATATCAATATGTTTCCAAACTAATAAAAAAAAATCCCTAAATTTCTATAAACTCTAGATCTAGAACTCTAACTCTAGATCTAGACTTGCGTCTTGAATCATCAATAGAAGCACGTGTGTACTCTCTGAATCTAGACCTATATTAATTCAAATTTTCTGAATCTAGTTTCCTCAATAGAAGGAAACTTGTAATATTCGTGTTCTCTGGATGTTTAATAGAAAAGTTACGATATTTTCCATAAAATAAATCAGTCAGTACATAGTTGAACAAGCCGAGTTGACACAGTCCAAGTCCTTGGTTAAAATGTGTTTGGATGACAAATTGGACCAAGTAAGTTGGCAACCACGGGTGGGATTCTGTAACGGATAGAGATCGTTTTCCCCATAGTTCTTAATAGTTTAAATAAGCATAACTCTAAGGTAAACATTGCACTTGGACACGTTTACCTGGAGTTAAAACCTATACCCGGAGGTGACTTGTTATTGAGAAACTGAACCTTACTTTCTTCTTCTGTCTTCTCGAAATCAAAAGAGAAGGGACGTTAATAGAGATAAAGAAAATATCTCTTTACAGAGTCCCATTCCAGCCTACTAAAGCCATGTTAACAGGGTCTAAGTGTACTTGGATCAAATACCTTTGGACGTTGCGCGCGCTTCACTTAAGTAATACTTAGATCGTATTAACTGTTGATCCAAGTTCAGGTCACTCTCTTACTTGGACCTTGTTAACTGGGTTTTATTCGAACCCATCCCAGTTGATACAATCCATGTATAGACGCGCGCGCAACGTCCAAAGATACTTGATCCAACCGTGTCAACTGGACTTTGATTGACAGTTTATTTGTGCACAATATCCAAAAGTACTTGATCCAAGTAGACCGTTGGACCGTATCAATCTAGCTTGAGTCTCAAATTAACATAAAAATAAAGGAAAATAACCGTATGTATGAGTATAGTACTAAGCGTCAATTCACAATACAGATTGCGTCTCAGATTTTTTTCCAATAACTCCCGTCAGGACAAACTTTTATTTTTTCAACATTCGCCGGAGAACTTCGAGATGCTTTGGCGTTTTTCTGATGCAATTTTCCCATAATATGTTGTGCAAAAATCTTATAAGCTACATCCGTTTTACATGTATGACAAAACTCGTGCTCAAACTTGATATGCTTGTTCAAATCGTCGGCTACAATCTTGGAGCATACCTGACATTGCGTCGAGCTGACTGAAAACTCAGGACGTCCATTTTTAGTGTAAACAAACTCGGGATTATCGGTTCTTTTGTATCGTCGGTGCTGGTGCACGTGCAGGCAAAATTCTTCGAAGCCAATCAAATTGCTCGGGCACAGTACACATTGGTATGTCACCTTTGACGCCATCTCTTTGTGAACTTGGATCATATGCCCTTTGTACATGGTGGGACAGTAAAAATGAAATTCGCATTTTTTACAATACAAGTCAACATTGTTGACTAGCGAATGGGTAACTTCGAAATGCTTGAACAGTTCTGTGGGATTGGCGAACTTGAACTTACACGTCGGACAAGCCACGTACCAATTGGTGTGCATTACTTGTCTGTGAAAAACATAGTCTTTGAAGGTGGCAAGTTTGTTCGGACAATAGCAACATCGCATGCCGATTTCAGGATTGGAAACGTAGTTTTTCGTCATGTCGTTTTGGTACTCGAATATGTTATGATTTTTCTTCACGTGACGCATCAGACCTTTCATGACTGGAAATTCTTCGGAACAAATATCGCAAACGTACGAGTGGTTCGCAGGTTGATGTAGCATGTGCAGCTCGTATTCGAAATAGTTTTCAGTGGCGAAATCGCAAAATAGGCAAAACATCTTGCTAACTTGCATCTTGAATTTTGCCTGATTCTTTATGTGCTCGTGGTGAGTGAGTCGTTGCCCTTTAATGCTTTTAAGTTTACGTTTCGAAACGATTGAAGGTCTAAAAAAAAATTGATTAGTAACATTCAAAAGTAATAGGATATAGATTTAAAAAGAAACTCAATTGTTACATTTTGGAATGTAGGTATTATATTTTATAAACTATACAGAATCTGCTACAACCCATTTATCACCATCAAATTAATTATTTTCATCTGAATCCAAAATAAATATTGAGGATTCAGATGAAGACGGAGTCGTCGAAGGCGGTTTCCTCATACACCGTCTACCTCTCGTGGTTTAAGTTCTTGGTCCAAGTGTGCTTAGATGACAACTTGGACCAAGTAAGTTGGCAGCCAGGGGTAAGATTCTGTAACGGATAGAGATCGTTATCTCCATTGCTATCGCACTTAGAACCGGTACATGGAAACTTCAATTCAATACCTATTTATTGTCATAGTAACATCAATATATGTTTCTAAACTACCCAAAAAAAACTTGCCCTAACTTCTACAGGCTCAAAAAAAAAAATCTAATTCTAATATACATATAAATAATTGGAACATACTCTAAAATGCAAAACATTATTCTAAATAAATCCATAATAGAAAACTTAACGCCTATAATACTCTTTAGGTGAATGCCCTATATTATATTCCCTGTGCTTTGTATCGTATTCTCTGGATCTAGAACTAGGTCTTGCTCTATCTCTAAATCTAGACCTGCAACTTGAACCATCAATAGAAGCACGTGTGTACTCTCTGGATCTATATTTTTTAGATCTAGTATCCTCGATAGGAGCAAGCTTGTACTATTCGTGTTCATTAGAAAAGTTACGATATTCCCCATAAAATAAATCAATTAGTAATACCATATAGTTGAACAAAGTTGGGGGTTGACACGGTCCAAGTTCTTGGTCAAAGTGTGCTTGGATGACAACTATAGGACCAAGTAAGTTGGGATTCTGTAACGGATAGAGCGAGGGGGTAACAACTGGATACAAATTTTATTGCATAAGAGAGCATTACGTGCGCATTATTGGCATTACTGCGGAATTAGTGGCATTACTCTGGCAACATGAGACATTGCTCGGTATAACCACGGATTAGCCTAACATTACCAGGCATAACATACGAATATTGCGGAATTACGCTCAAATTCAATGGAGTTATGGTTGATTTTTAAATCCTCGAATTTTCTAAACATTCACTGGGAGATTATATTTATATTAACAACGCCAACCATAATATTAAAAATATTTTTGAATAAGTTCACGTATCTAAAAACTGAAAATAATTTTACATACACAGGGTGAAGCAAAAAAAAAGTTACAGTGAAATATTTAGAAACAACAAAACAAACTAGTCAGAACAAATTTCACTGGTACAAAATAGTCAGAAAACTTGTGCGTTGTTAGCGATTTGCACAACAATGTCCTCACCTAATTACTCAAAGGTTGTTATAACGGTGGTACCAAATTTGGTATCCATACTACTACATCAAGACCATCATAGGTACCACCATTATCAAAAAGCTATTGAATTGTTAGGATAGGATTTTTCTTTGTCAGTGATATCAAGTACCTACAACATGAAGTTGCATGCGTTTGTAAAAATACCAAGATTTCGATTTTGATTTTTTACCACCTAAAACTTCAAGTTTTACGGATGATATCTATTGGTACATGAATGTCTTGAGTATTAATATTTTTTTTGAAGTTGTGATATATAGGGTGTTCCATTGAAAATAGTGGAGAATTTTGATGTTGAAAAACTGATTTTTTTTCACTTGCCCTGTATAAATTTCAAAAATATTTGCAACCTACTAGAAAAAACTTTGGACCAAGAGAAATCGAATGGCGCAAACCGCAAACCTGGTTTAAAAGTTATACCCATTTAAAATGGTTCACTCTCGGCTGGGACACCCTGTATTTAAAAATACGTTAAAAGTGGGGTTTGAAGTTAGAAAAATTTACTAATACTTCCATGTATTTCCAAATTATTCCCATGTACTTCCAGCAGAGTATTCCCATATACTTCCAGCATATTCCCAAGTATTCTTAGGTATTTCCTGAGTATTACCAAGTATTTTTAGGTATTCCCAGCAAAAATTGTAACCATTGGAAAACTCAAACCAATATGTTAATAAGCCAATGATGAACAGTAGGAATTAAGAAGTTAAAACCGAGGTTAATTGTAAAATAAATTAAGTAAGAGTTATTTAGATTTAGGGCTGATTTATTCGCCTTTTGATAAACTGTTAGGTATGTAATCTGACATCTCCTTGGTCGACCAGTTATGTATCGATCAATAGAATTATAGAACGATGAATTTATCTTGCAGAGTTATATGAAGTTGAATAAACCGGGCTTTAGAAAAATAAGCACGTAATAAGTAGGTACCTATAAAATAATGATAAATGTACAAACTATGGGATGTGAATGATGTGATGTTTGTTTTCAACTATGTATAATGGTTAATTTTTCTGGTCCAATAACGTAAAACTTGAGGTAAAACTATTGCATGTAGCCTAATATAAGTATACACTCGGGTATACATTACCGTAATGGCATTACATGAAATTACTTCCATCATGATGGTATTAGGGATGCACCAAGTATTCGGTTTGCCGAATATTTGGCCACTTTTGAGTAAATGCCGAATATTCGTTATTTGGCCAGCAGTGTTTGGCGAATATATTCGGCAACTATTCAAAAACACACAAATGCACACAAGTTGCCACGGGATTTCACATTGATAAAAAGAAAATCGTTATGTCAACAATGCCAACCCCAAACTAACCCAATCTTTAAACCAGAAGAAAACCCGATAACATTGAAAAAGCCTAAGAAATTATGCAACCAACAATTTATATTAAGCGAATATTCGGCCAAGAAACCTTGAATATTCGTTATTCGGCCGAATATCCAGTATTCGACCAAACCACTATTCGGTGCATTTCTAGATGGTATTACATTGGAATTACCGGAATTATTTCAAAAAAGTATGTAATGCGCAATGCATGTACAAATTTTGGTTCAGTTGTTACCCCCTCGGGATAGAGATTGTTATCTATACTGCTATAGCACTTGCTATCTTTTTCTCTCTTATCGAAATCAATGGAAAACGGATGTCAATAGAGATAGAGACAATATTTTCATTCGTTAGAGTCCCAGCCCAGCCTACTTAAGCCGGGTGGACAAGGTCCAAGGACCAAGTGGAAGTTGGGATTCTGTAACAAATACAGATCATTATCCCTATCGCTATCGCACTTAGAACCGGTTTCTCAATAGCAAGTCATCCTCGGATCCAGGATAAACATTGCAACTGGAGTTAAAACCAACCCGCAAATGACTAGCTATTGAGAAACCTACTCTTACTTTCTTCTTCTGTCTTTTGTAGAGAAGGAACGTTAATAGAGACAGAGAATTGTCAGTTTAAGTAGATACACTTGTACCGTGTCAACCTGGCTTTAATCTTAAATTAACATAAAAATAAACGTATGAGTACAATACTAAGCATCAGTTTACAATACAATGCGTCTCAGATTTTCTTCCAGTAACTCCCATCAGGACAAATTTTTATCTTTTCAACATTCGCCAGAGAACTTCGAAATGCTTTGACTTTTTCCTGATGGAATTGTCCCATAATATGTCGTTCAAAAATCTTATAAGGTACATCCGTTTTACATGTATGGCAAAACTGGTGCTCAAACTTGATATGCTTGTTCAAATCGTCGACTACAATCTTGGAGCACAGCTGACATTGCGTTGAGCTGACTGAAATCTCAGGACGTCCATTTTTCGTGTAAACAAACTCGGGATTGTCGCTTCTTTTGTATCGTCGGTGCTGGTGCACGTGCAAGCAAAACTCTTCGTAGCCGGTCAAGTTGCTCGGGCACAGTACACATTGATATGTCACCTTAAACCGCTTCATTTTGTGAACTTGGTACATGTGCTCTTTGTACACGGTGGGACAGTAAAAATGTAATTCGCATTTTTCGCAATACAAATCGACATTGTTGACCATCGAGTGGGCGAATTGGAAATGGTTGAACAGCTCCTTGGGGTTGGGGAACTTGAGCTCACACGTCGGACAAACCAAGGACCAACCAGAATGCATTATTTGTCTGTGACAAATATACTCTTTGAAGGTGGAAGATTTGTTCGGACAATAGCAACAACGTTTGCCGACTTCGGGATTGGAAATGTGGATTTTAATCATGTTGTTTTCGTAATGGCTTCTGTTATGTTTTTTATTCACGTGACGCATCAGGCTTTTTATGACCGAAAATTCTTCGGAACAAACATCGCAAACGTACGAGTGCATCGCAGGTTGTTGTAGCATGTGCAGCTCGTATTCGAAATAGTTTTCAGTGGCGAAATCGCAAAATAGGCAAAACATCTTGCTAGCTGTGTATTTGAAGTTTGCCCGATTCAGTATGGACAGTTTGGGGTTCACAACGATTGAAGGCCTAAAAAAAAAAATTAATTGGAAACGTTCAAAGACAATCAATAGGATCATAATTTGAAAATAAACTCAATTATTTTGGAATGTATTATATTTTATAAACTATGCAGAATCTGCTACAACCCATTTATCACCCTCTTTATCACCATCAAATTCATTATCCTCATCTGAATCTAAAATAAATATTGGTGATTCAGATGAAGACGGACTAGTCGAAGGTGGTTTCCTCATACACCGTCTATCTCTTGAACGTGAACGTCTTCTACGTTTAGGTGATCGTCTGTTCATATGACGATGTCCACGATGATGATGATGATGATAATGGCGTCTTCTATGCGATGGCGAACGTCTACGTCTATGCCTGTCAACATCAGCCCAACGTCTGGGCGGCTCAACGCAGACGTTCGGCTCAAACATTTGCGTAGCCATTTGCATGGCCATTTGGTTCCAAGGGTTGTAATACTGATACATAGTCCACATGGAAAAGTGCAAAACTTTCATGTGATTCATCAGATTGTCGATTGTGTCGAAAGCCATGCCGCATTCGGTGCAGTTGATTTCTTGTTGAGTTGTTGTAATTTTATGAGTGGCTTGGTGATTGGGGAATTCATCCATAGGGAATACCAGGTTGCATTTGAAGCATGGGATTTTGATGGTTTTTGTGTCTAGGGGGGGTTTGGTTTCTTCGTCGTCTTCTATTACCATGTCGTCGTCTACAATTACTATAGATTGCTCGGATTTGATGTTTTTTGCACTAAAAATAATAAAAATGTTAATGGAATAAGGTTTTTTGAGGAAGGGAAATTAATAATTGAAGGACCAAGGAAAGGAAAAGCTTTATTACTCAGAATTTTTGGTCATTCGATTCTTCTAGATATTGTTGATAGTGTATTGAAAGTGCTGGTCTTGTTGTAATGTCTTGGAGACGTTTAGTTGTTATTAAAGTGTCTTAGTGGTGTTGTTATTGAGATGTCTTAGTAATAGTGATTGTGTACAATATTGTATTGTACACAATGTGTGATGTTACCATTAAAGAGAAGTATGGTCATGTATGACCATATTGAAATGGACATGGTTTAAGTAATGTCAAAGTTTTTCAACGGTCCAGACTATTAATTTCATTTCATCTTCTTCAAATTTCTACGTAAGAACAGCTTCAAGTCCAAAACACGTACATATGCTGAGATCAATTAATTATTGATCGTTTCAAGTTTATTTCCCAATGCTCCGTTAAAATGTATTATCAATTCATAAAAGTACATAAGACCACGCATTATACAAATTAAGTGAAGTCAGCCTCTGGCTATTTAAAACAGACTAACTTTGCTTATGCCAGCATTAATTTTAATATAAATTCACACATTGCGGCAATGCAATGCAAGGTTAGTATCAACTGCTTTATGCCTGATAAGGTACAAACCTAAAAGTCCTGCCTTCTTAGCTGGGTACGACTAGGTATGGTCGATACTGTGAAACTTGCGGATAAAGGTCTCGTCAAGTTAGGATCTACAAGAACTATGCCCTTAGATGGCTCGTTCTTATAGGGCCGGTTTATCAATAGAGGGTTGAGTTAGGGATAACCCTGGGTGCGATTTTACTAAATATAAACTATTACAGCACAAGACACGCCTCCAACTTCGTCATTGCAAAATATAATCGGCCTTAGCGCGATTTTACTAAATATAAACTATTAGAGCACAAGAGACGTAAGCATTGCAAAATATAATCGCGCTCAGCACAATCCTGCAAAATCGTTGGCAGCACAACGTGGCTGATTCATATAAATGGGGCGCCCACTTTGAATTCTCTTTTCTCCCATTTAAATAGTCGGCTGAACTTTTATTAGTTTTCCTTTATTTTATTTATTTATTTATTATTATTAAAGCTGTTGTGATGTCACATGTATTGTTTACGAAATAATATTCTTTGCAGTTTTGGCAAAGTTTTTTTCACTAATAAGTTGAATTAAATTATCCATAATGAAAATACACAACACTAAAAATAATAATTACCTTTTAACAACAAGTACAATTTGAGCCACAAACGATTAGATTTTGCAGAAATGTGCTGAGCACGATTATATTTTGCAATGACGTCTCTTGTGCTCTAATAGATAGTTTATATTTAGTAAAATCGCCCCTTAACGTCATTGCAAAATATAATCGCGCTCAGCACATCCCTGAAAAATCTAATCGTTTGTAACACTACGTGGCAAATCTAGCATCAAATTTTACTTGTTGTTAGAAGCAGGGCTCACTCTTTAGAAGTTAATTATTATTGTTAGTATTGTGTGTTTTCATTATGGATAATTTAATTCAACTTAATAATCCATTGTGTAACAATGGAAATGTTAATATAATCGAGTATGAAAATCAAAACAATTACATTTAAAAAAAGCGCCAAGCGAGGGGTTTATTACATAGCAGTACTTTGCTTAAAGTTAAAAGGAAAATCTGACGAAGAGTGCAATTCCGACGACACTTTAACTTACGTTGCAATGAGTGGGTGAATAAAATTTCAATAATAACAAAGACACAATGGATAGTGAAAAAACTTTGCCAAAACTGCAGATTATTGTTTCGTAAACAATACGTGTGCCATCACAACAGTTTTAATGAAGTATCGGCAGATAAATAAAACTATTAAACTTTAAATCATTGAAATCAGCAAAAACAGGGTGTTTTATTAAAAAATATTGGACTTTGGTCGATATGTCGAAATCGGAGCGAAAAAAACTGAGTCCGCCACTGAATTATGCTCAAAAAAGTATCTCCAAAATGTTTTTACAGAAATAAAAAAAATTGATAAACAAAAAACTTATAGCTATTTGTCATAATAGGGGAAAATCGAAAATCGCCCTGAAGATATCGTGATACGGTTTTTGACAACCGACGTTTCTCGAAAATCGATCCCATGACAGGTTAATTTTCTTCTATCTGGTCTAGAAGTATGTTTTACCTGGTTGAAACACTCCAAATTGTAGCACCTTGTAAATTTTTAAAATTCGATAACTGTATTCTTTTTGAATTGATTTATTTATATGAATCAGCCGCAGGTCGTGCTGTCAACGATTAAATTTTGCAGGATTGTGCTGAGCGCGATTATATTTTGCAATGTTAGCGTCTCTTGTGCTCTAATAGTTTATATTTAGTAAAATCGCGCCGAGGTCGATTATATTTTGCAATGACAAAGTTGAGGGCGTGTCTTGTGCTGTAATAGTTTAGTAAAATCGCACCCTGGATCAAAGGTGTGACAAGTGTTTATCTATCCAGGGTTAATTATTAACTCGAAAGTTATTCCAGGAAAAAGTTAACTCGCGCTCTTACGACAAGTTAGCGTATTTAACCCTGGGTAAACCTCAACATTTTCTGTTATTTTTTGTCTGAATTTTTTTGATTGTTGTGGTCTTGGCTTAAATTTTGAGAGGTGAGGAGAAGGACCGAGATGTTCTAGAATTTCTAGAACATGAGCGACGCTCCTACCACGTAAGGTTGGAGTCAAATCCCTAATTCCTTTAACGATTTTGATGACGTCGACGCGTTTTCGCTCACGAAAAGAAACAATCTTATTTGTTCTAGAAAAAATCGAAAATCAAGCATAGACTTGAATTTCTAACAGACAGGTACCTACCACGTAAGTAAAGTCGTGAGCACAAAAAGTGGGACACCCATTTTTTCCTATAGTAAAACAGGCTCATCAGCTATATCTACGTCAATGATAGGGATTGTCATAATTGACAAAAAATCTATTGTAGAGAAAAGACTGATTCACGCAAAATAGTGAAAAATGACAAGACCTGTCAGTCGGGTGTCCCACTTTTTGTGCTCACAACTGTACAGAGTCATTTTCCCACCCCCCTTAACTTTTTTGGGCCACTGTGTAGGTATAAAAAAAAATCAAATAGGAAAGTTGTAGTGCTTGAAAAATAGTACTCAGAAAACATATTTTTGTTTATACAGGGTGTTGCGAAAAGTTTAAAAAACAAAAAAATATTTTTTTTTAATGGGACACTCTGTAAATTATGACATTTTTGGATTCTGCGGAAAATTCTAGACATATTTTATGCATAATGTCTTCAACTGCCTCGGAAATATTGATAGTTGACACTAGAAAATTGACTTTTTTGCAACTTTGACAGACCTTAACGGTTAATTTCAGAGGAAAACCGATTTTACATTCCTATCTTGGATTTTCATAAGCTATCATTTGACACCAACCTTAAATTTAATCCATGATTAAAAATTCCAATTAAATTTAATCTCGGATTGAATTCAAAGTTGGTGTCAAATGATAGCTTATGAAAATCTAAGATACGACAGTTTAGGTTTTACAGTCTCTTAAAGTTGCAAAAAAGTCAATTTTCTACCGTTATTATTTTCGGAACAGTTGAAGATAGGTATATGACATTATACATGAAATATGTCTAGAATTTTCCGCAGAATCCAGAAATGTCAAAATATACAGGGTGTCCTATTTGAAAAAAAATATTTTTTCTTTTTTTAAACTTTTTGCAACAGCCTGTATGAACAAAACTATGTTTTCTGAGAACTATTTTTCAAGCCTTACACTTTTTCTATTTACATTGTTTTTATACATGGTGGCACAAAAAAGTTAAGGGGGGTAGAAAAATATAAAAAATGACCCTGTACCTATGCTTGTGGTTTTTTTCTCTCAGACATTTCCTTCTCTTTAAAACAAAACAACATATTTCCACACAAAATAGGCAAGTACACAACACCGAAATTTTCGTTACGGAGACAAAAAATACCATAAAAAAGTAAGGTTATGAGCAGAAAATGTCAAAAAATCGACAAAAGTGAGCTGGCAACGTTGCATAGGTAATGCCAACCTTCAAAGAACCCGAGAGTTTATCAGCCCTGGATTGAAAAAGCTTGGATAAACACTTTTCGAATTTCGAGTAGGTAGTTAGAGTTAACCCAGGGCCAGCAAACTCTGCGAGTTATCCCTTGATTTATAAACCGGCCCTTAGTGCATCTGGAGTTCATAAAATATTTTTACATTTCCGAAAGGCACTAACGTACTGACAATCTAACATGGCCCATCAGGGACGAACATCTACGGTGTTGGCATTTTGGTAAATCTTCTTAAACTATAAGGTGTAATTAAGGTTCAATAATAAAGCATGTATAATATTCGTGGTGGTATCCCTTCTTTTCAGATAAATTCTCAGTGGACGCAACCAAGTGTAGAAAAAGTGGTGGCGTCGCTGACCACAGCCAACCCTGATTTTTCCAAAATAAGAAAAACTTCAATGTTAGATTTATTACCCATTTATTTCCACAATAACATCAATACATGCTGTCAAACTACCCACATACATCAAAATCAAAATCTTAGCTTCCTACATACTCAAAAAAAAAAAAATCTAATCCTAAAACACTTATAAATAATTGGAACACACATTTCATATTCCCCAAAATGCAAAAAAAAAAAACTTAATTCGAAATAAATCCATAATAGGAGTAGATCCTGAAGCCTAACGTCTATAATACTCTTCAGATGAATAACGCGACGATCTCCTATCACCTGAAGAATGCCTTCTAGCATCACTCACTTCTCTGTGCCTTGCATCATAAGTAGGAGCCCGCATATACTCTCCATATTCTCTAGATCTAGACCTGCGTCTTGAATTAGCACGCCCGTACTCGTCATATTCTCTAGATCTAGATCTAACCTGTGCATTATCAATAGAAGCACGTCCGTACTCGTCATATTCAACAAGCCCATATCTTTCATATTCTCTAGCAAACTTATTCTCTTCGTATTCTCTGGATCTAGACCTGAATCTTGATTCATCAATGCGATTACGACTGTGCTCTCTAGATGTAGACCTGCGTCTTGAATCATATTCTCTGGATCTAGAACTAGTTCTTGATCTATCAATAGAATTACGCCTTTGCTCTTCTAGGTAATCTCCAAATAAAGACCTGCCTCGTGTATCCTCATCAGCAGACTTTGGTTCAGTATAAGATTTCCATTCCAAAAAATCGTTAGGTTTAGGTTGAGTTTGAAAAGGCGAATGGTATTGTTGCAGTTCCAAAACGTGCAAATCCAAGTGTTCGTTTAGTGCAGCAACTGAAACGAAATTTTCGTAGCATTCGGTACACTTCAATTGAGTTGGAAATTGTCTGGAGAGATTTTGTTTGGAAATTGGATATTGACTGGATTTTGATGGTTGAGTCAATGTTTCAAGCAGCGTTGGATATCGTCTGGATGTAGATGGTGGAGTATATTGACTGACTTCGGATGGTTGACGCAGTTTTTCAATAAAATTCAAATATTGCTTGGATTTAGATGCTCGTTCCACTAATTGACGTTGTGGTTGAACACCTGCGGCTTCTCTTTTTCTCTTTTTCGATTTTGGTGATTTAGAAGCAATCATTTGCCTCTTGAACTGTTCCTTGGTTGTAGGTTTTGGATTAGGAAACTTGACTAGAAAATTAGCCGCTCGTGTTACTTGATGCTCCAATAAATGACTAAACATTTCAACTATGGCGATTGGTTGTTCGCATTTGGGACAAATTATTTTAGAATTCTCATCTAGCTGGTGGATGTTAGTTTTGTGTTCCTCGCAGATAGCAGGGGTGTCCAATATTTCGGCGCACACTTCGCAAGTTGACTTGGAAACGTCCCAAGGAGACTTTTTGAGGTTATTTAATTGGGAATGGCCTTGTACGTGACAAAGAAACTTTTCTTCGTCATCGAATATAGTAATAGAGCACAAACTGCATTCGTAGGGTATATTTAAAATGTGGTTGTGCACGGTATAGTAGTGCAATTTCAATGGGTTTGAATGATAGAATTCCAAGGGACACATTTTGCATTGCAAGTGAATATGGCCTCGTACTGTGTGCTCTTTGAAATGGGACAGCAACGACAAAGAGCTGGAGAATTGTTTGTAACAAATGTTACAGTCTAAAGTTTGATCTTTGTGTTCTTGCTCGTGTATCTGCAATTCGTACATCGTAAGCATTCCTTTGCCGCAATGGGCACAATAATAATTCATCACTTTAGGTAGCTTTTTAGCAGTCTCTTCTTCTTTTAGTTTGAACTCTTTTATGGTATGAAAACGCTTCACGTGAAGCACCAAATCTACTAGAAGGGGTCCAACTTTGTAATTGCAAATGGCGCATCGAAAGTCATGCTTGAACATGTGCTTATGGAGTCTGTAAAAGGTTGCAAAGGATGCACCGCATTTGTGACAGTAGAAGATTTTTTCCAGCTTGGGTTTGGTTTCAGGAAATTCCTCATTCCATTCATCTAATACTTTTAACCTAAAAGAAAAATTATATTAGTTTAAATATTTAATATTTCTAAATTTGTTTTGGTTGTTATTGCTGAATTATGGATTTACTAGGTTTATTTGGTAGTGATCACTATAGTCTGGTATATACCATTTCGTTGTACTAAATTCTGTTTTGGAGCACACAAAGTCAACACAATTAGGGTAACCCTGGAAAAGAATGGAGTCGTTGATGGGTAAATACTTTTAAAATAAATCTTGTCATTATAGAGTACTTACATTTTGTCCATTAAACACAAAACTAATCTAAATTAATTCTTTTGATTACCTAAATTTAATTTACGCACATAATTGTTGAACGAATTTCAAATGTTGTTACTTTCCCAATTTTCCGTACTTTTCTAAGTTAAATCGAACGCGTTTTCCGAGGCAGCTTCGCGAATTTTCAACCAGACAAACTCATTTGGTTCTGTAGACTTTTACTCAAACTGGACTGGACAACTGATAACTGGCAACTAACTCTAACAACTAAAAACGCGGTATTTATATCTTTTGTTCCCCCTCCGAAATTTTTGTGTCCATGACAATTAAGATGATGCAATTTACTTGAGTGAACGAAAACATATGGCTGGATCAACTCTAAGGACATTATCAATGAGTCTTTGCCAAGTGGCAGGGGCATTATGTAACCCGAATGGGAGTCTCTTAAATTGAAACAGACCACGATTTGGAATTGTAAAAGTGGTGTAGGGACGACTGGTACCTGCCAATATACCGACTTAATGTCCATAATGAAACAACCTAAGGAAGCGGATAACTATCGCGTTCACACACAGCATTAATCTTCTTGTAGTCCATACAAAGGCGGAACGAACCATCCTTATTTTTAATTATAATAGTAATGTTCACGAGCTTTTCGACGGTTCCACAAAACCAAGCTTTATCATTTCATCCAATTATTATAGGAGAAACTCGGTACTAAAGTTGCTTAATATAGGCCTGGCCCTGGTAACAATAACATGTTCTACCTGGTTCGTGCAACCAAATTATCCTAAAACTACCCTGTTATCTGAATATAAAGTATTACCTGGAAAAATATACCTTTGATCAACACCCACATATTGTTTCGCAGAAATCTAGTAAAATCCAATGAGAAACCTATCAATAACCGAAAAATAATAAACCTCAGGTATAAAGTTTCATAAATACCCTCACAAATACCTGAATTAATTACTGAATTTATTCGAAATTCCAGTTACGTACTAAGGCAAAATTTGTAGGTAACATTTTAAGTCTCTAAAAATTATTCTTCAGAAATATCTAGGTCTATTCTTTTAGCTATACTCTTTGATGTCACAAAACGGAAAGGAATAGGTATATTGTATTTTTTATTTTTGTTTAATAAAATTCTATTATTGGTAAATGCATTAGCAGCCTTGTAGGTAATAAATTGAATTGTTTGCCTCCATTTTTCCAGTGGATTCTAAGTAAACAATAAAGGGACCCTTATCATTGGGCATATAAAGAATGTTATTTTCAAGTTTTTTGTCCACCCAAGTAAAATTATTCGCAATATCAGCTGTAACTGTTAGTTTGTTGGCTACCTGATCATTAACACAGGAGGATCCCTCTCCCCCGTATCGTTCATTATAACTGTCTCAAGGGGACAGTTATAAATCTATAGGGAACAAACCAGTAAAAAAAAAAGATATATGAAATAATTTTCGAAAATTGTAATGTTCAACTTACCAGTAGCGTGAGAGGGGAAAAAATAATCAAACAATAGATTTATAACCCATTTATTTTCGCCCCAAGGAGAACAAGTTTTCAAATAACAATTACAGAAAATGTGCATTTGAAATGCGTCATTGCATTTGTCCCTGATACGCATTACACTTTCCTTTGCTTTCTCTATAGGCAAATCTTATAATGCAAAAAAAAAATATTAACTTATATAATGGTTAACGAATAAGATTAACTTGAAGAATATGACGTATCTATTCCATTCCATAACAATGCTGTATATAATCTAGAGAATTAAGATCCGCAATAGGCTCTACTGTATCTTCAACATATTTCTTAGATATTGTTCCATCTACACAATTACTGCCATCATCTTCACGTTGATCACGCGGCGACGATGTCAGATCTACCATTTCTGCTGATTCAGTACCGGAATTCCATTCCAAAAACATGTCATTTTGAGATTCAGTCGGCAAAATGTGCTCTTTCATGTGTTCATTCAAGGAAAAAGTAAGAGCGAATGATTTATCGCATTTGGTGCATTTCACGTTAGTTCGACCAGATTTAATGTTAATTCGAATTGGTGGTCTGGGCTCGTAAAGTTCAGATTGTTTTGATGTTGATGGTAAAGATTGAGTTGGTTGGGATGTAGAAAATAACGGTTGAATTGGTTGCAATGCAGGTATTGGTTGAGTTGGTTTGGATGTAGAAGGTAGAGGTTGAGTTGGTTTTTCTGGCACGACTAATTTAGAATTATTCAGTGCCATTTGCCTTTTCCATTCCTTATCCCTTTCCCTTTTTCTCGCCCTCTGTCTCCCTTTTTTCGTTTTCCTAATTTCCGCTTGAGGTTGTTGGTTTAAAATGATTCTTCTTGCATCGACATCAGCTTGCACTTTTGGTTCTGCAAGTTGAATAGCTGGTGGTATTCTGGGCTCGTAAGATGTTGGTTTGGATTGAATTAGATCAGATTGAAAATTAATTTGAATTGGTGGTTTGGGCTCATAAGGGTGGGTTTGTTTTGATGTGGATGGTAAAGGTTGAGTTGGGTTGGGCTTGCAAATAGGATTTGGTTTGGATGTAGATGGTTGAGCAATTCGATCAAGAGCTAACTGTTCGTCTTGCCCTACTAATATAGAATCAATAATCCTCCTTGCCTTCTTTCTTGCATTTTTCGATACCTTAGTTCCTGGTAAAGGTTCTGGTTTGGCAAACTGAGTAGCTGCTAATCCATTTTTTTTAGTAGGTGCAACCTTGTTAGGAAATTCAAGAAAAAAACTACGCACTTTGCATTTTGTATGCAAAGTCAAATGAGTAGACATATCTGCTAAAATCACCGATACTTGGCAAATCGGACAAGTTCCTTCAGCATTTTCTTTCAGTTGATGCACTCTAGTTCTATGTCCTTTGCACTCGGCAATAGTGTCAAATATTCGGCCGCACACTTCGCAAGTCAATTTGGACACATCTATTCTACGCATGTTCGGTTTTATTCCTAAATTTAAAAGCGTATGAGCTTGTACGTGATGAAGAAACTTTTCTTCGTTGTCAAATATAATAATAAAGCACAAACTGCATTCGTAAGGTATGTTTAAAATGTGTTTGTGCACAGTGTAATAGTGTAGTTTCAATGGCGTTGGATGATAGAATTTCACTGGACACATTTGGCATGGTAAATACATATGTCCTGGTACTGTGTGGTCTTTATAATGGGACATCAACATTAAAAATGTAGCTGTTTGTTTAGGGCATACGTCACAGCATAAAAGATCACCTTGATGGTCTTTATCGTGTATCAGCAAATTGTACAATGTGTACATCCCTTTGCCGCAAATTGCGCAATAATAACGTATCACCTCAGGCTCGTTTTCTACAATTTTTTCTTCCACACGATTAAATGTATCACAGTCATGAAACTGCTTAATGTGATGAAGCAATTCAATCAAAACCGATCCCACTATATAGTTGCAAATGGCACAACGAAATAGATGTCTATGTCCAGGATAATTTAGGGCGTGAAGGTGGAGCTTCAGAAATGTTGTAAAGAATTTTCCGCATTTATGACAATAGAAACATTTTACCAGTTTTCTATTGTTTGGAGTCTCACTAGTCACTTCATTTGATATTGATCTAAAAAAAAAACATCTTTATAAGTTTAATAATTTACATTAAGATTGCTTGGGGTATAGATATGCAATTACAAGACAAATAAACTAATCATTGGGTTTTATTTATAATAGCTACATGGATAATATATACGATAATATACACAGGACAGAAGAATGTAGAACAACCAAACCATATATCGCTTTTTTAAGTCGATCTCTAATCACCACAGCTACATTTACCTACCTATCTACGTGCCCAATCCTGCAGACCAAAGTTCAGTAAAGCAAGGACTTCATTCATATCTTTGGATACTTCATCATTACAGAAACTATTAAATTTTTGCTCATCAAGGCAACACCAATCCCAACAAAAATAAACTTCCAGCTAAGTGAAGCTGAGCTAAGAAATTGCATCATAAGATTAATTTGGAGAATATGGCGTATTTATTCCATATAACAATGCTGTATATAATATATAGAATTAGGATCCGCAATAGGCTCTTCAACATGTTTCCTAGATATTGTTTCGTCCACCCAATAACTGCTATAATTTTCGGGCTGATCACGAATCATTTTGTCTGGTTCAATACCAGAATTCCATTCCAAAAACATGTCATCTGATGATGGAGCTTGAGATTTAGTCGATTGTTGTAATGGCAAAATATGCTACTTCATGTGTTCTTTCAACAGAACAGAAAAAAAGAAAGATTTATCGCATTTAGTGCATTTCATTTGAGTTAGACGAGACCTAAGATTCAGGTAAAAGTATTACTTAGGTAATCCTGAAAAATCGAGTGGTATTCAAAAGGTTATACAACGAACTAAACTTCAATTCTTTATTAATTAATAATTTCATGAATCAAAAATTTAAATTTGCAGTTACCGTGCAAAAGGATTATGACTTATTAAGCCTTCTCGTGTCATATGGAAAAGATTATCACTTATTAATCCTCTCGTGTCATATGGGAATAATATACAATGAGTATAATTCTATTAAGTCTGATATTTAAAATTACAATATTGTCATTAGTAGAACGAGCTTCTAAGGCTTGTTTCACAGTGGATGCGAATACGCGCGGAACTGTCCGAATTTGTGATCTTGCGTGTATATGCGTTGAGTTCGCACAGTGACTGCAGTAAGAAGGTGCAAACAACTATATGCATACAAATAGTTAAAATGTCTGGTCGTGATTTATACTTACTAGAAAATACTTTCCTAAGAAGAAGAATCATCCATAAAAGAAGAAAGAAGGTATAGGTGAATGAAATACTCAGAAAAATAAAAGGAATTTGATGAAATTCAACATTTTTGGGATGATTAAAAGAACAATAATGAAGATGAGTTATTTTCGGATTCGTTATTTCGACTCTCATACTAAATCAATCAGCTTTTCAGTGTCCATTTTTTTCAGTTCTTTTCCAAGAGTTCGCAAGTCGCAAATGTACGCTTGTATACGCGCAAACTAATCTGCAGCTACTGTAAATCAAGTAGCTTAGATATTTCGCGCAAAGACGCGCGTTCTAAAATTTGCATGTCTACGCTTCCACTGTGAGAGAAGCCTAACAAATATAGTCCTTTATTTAAAACCCACTTTTTCAGTGGATTCTAAACACTCGTCGGTTTTCATCGTTGCGATTAACAACGTCGTGTTTCATCTTCAGCCTGTTTTCACCACACTACGCGATTTTTTGGCAAATGGATCCACATACAACGGTTTTGGACTGGAATGTTGAACCGTCGTGCCAAAAATCAATTTCGGCCTGAATTTTAAAGCGACGATGAAACACGGCAGTTTTCTACCATACACTCTGGTTTTAGATCGTCGTGCCTCATCGCGGCGATGAAAACCGACGAGCAATAGTGTGTGGCGCCCTTAAGTAAATAATAAAGGGATCCTTATCAGTAAACATGTAAATAAAGTTTTTCGTCTACCTTAGTAAAATTGTACACAATATCATTATATCAAACTGTTGTTTGTTCACTTCCTAATCATTACCAGACAAATTAACTTGGGGCAATCCCCCCACTGTATTGCTTTCGAAAAGAAAGTTATAAATCTATAGGAGCCCAGTAAAAAAAAAAGACATATGTAAAGGAATGAAAGATCAAAAATTTTCGAAAATTGTAATGTTCAACTTACCAGCCAATATAGGCGCCGGAACCATGGGGGCAATAGGGACTTGAGCCCCAATAGTGAATTTGGTATTGTATGTGTGTAGTGACTAGATATAAAAATATTGAGTTCCTGATCCTAACAATCCTAACTATTTATTTTTATGTCAAACTTGTGTGTTTTATGTTTTTGTTGTTTTTGCTATACCGACTTTGACAAACGGTTTGAATATTTTGCTGTTTACTATAGCATAGTAAATTTTAAGGGTCTTAATACAAAAAGCTTGGATAACAAATACCCATTACCCAACATAACGGATCTCTTGAACAAGCTGAGATGCTGCTAGTATTTCACCACCTTAGATTTAGCTAGCGGCTTCTACCAGATCCAGATGCGTAAAAACGAGATCGAAAAAACTGCATTCAGCACAGAAAACAGGCATCATGAATTCTTGCGCATGCCCTTTGGTTTGAAAAATGCGCCAATTACATTCCAAAGAGTTATGGATGATATTCTATATCCCAATATATTGAGCAACTTCAACACCGAAAGATATAACATCGCATTAATAATAGTTATTCATTATACAAGGGAAAAAAGTATTAGATTTTAGAGTGAGCTGTGATTTGCCAACCGTAGCGAAGCGGAGGGAGACAACAACAAGGTGACCGAAGAGCGCTGGGCTAAAGGTGGAACAGGGGAAATCGTTGTCTTTCGTTCTCTATTCAACCCAAAGCTTTTCTAGGCATTTCATTAAAATTGGCCTATTGTTGACCTGTCAAACCTGTATATAGGTAGTTCATTTTTTGGTTATGCCATTATAGACCGTCAACTAATGACAGATTTTGCAGAGCGATTTTTTCTCTTCGGGGATTTCAACCACTGAAAATTATGTAAACGCTCAGCTCAAAAAATGAAAATTTAGCGACCGGACATCTGCTAGACATATGAAAAATTTATTTTCCTTTTCCGAAATGTTACCAGGAGACACATGTACGTTTTTTCAATAAGTCGTTGGATTATTTCTTTTCTGTTTGCATGATGTACCAATACACTGGCGTTTTTTACCTAGTTTATCATGGAAAATGTATATACAGACCGGACAAACCTACTAGACGCATAGGGAGTAAAAAGTCGAAATGGCTTGTAGCCGGTTAAGGCAAAGCGAATCGGCATTTGCCCCCTTACCCCAAAGGCTTTCAAATTTTATTAAATTCAAAATAGAAAATAATCAAATAAATACATACATTATAATATAAGTAACGTTCTACTATAAATTCTCATCAAAATTTATTGAAATATCCACATTTTCGCTTGCTCCCATCATTAGAAGTTCCAAAAATACCGTAAAAAGACCCAAAAATTTCACAGCTGCAGCGCTTTTCTTCCTGCAGCGTTTGCACCGAAGCTGCCACTGCTGTAAAGATCACTTTCTGCAAATTTGCCCCTTTCCCCCTAAGACAAAATCCTGATAACTACGCCAATGGTGCCGAAGATGCACGAATTTCATGAATAATATGAAGGAACCTGCAGGGACGATCAAATATCCAGCAGTGAAATGGGTATTTATCAACCATTTAGCAGCCTAAGTCCTATCTGTCTAATTAATTTTACTTATGTTAAATTTTGGAGCCCAATCCCTCATAGTAATTTCGAAATTCCAGCGCTTATGCCAGCTAAGGTTTGAAGTAAGCCAACAAAAATATTAGAGAAAAACCCTTTAATTTTCTCGCTTTCAGCTCTATTCACTTTGATGTTCGGCGATCAAATGTATAGTGCGGTCGTAGACCGATGAAACATTAAACATACAACATGCAACTTGCGACATGGAGTAAATAGCGCAGATAAACTCTGTCTAACCAAAGTTGAACGTTGAAAGTCACTTACTCGAATATATCACAGACATTGCCTTTTGCTGCTGTCTTTATTGCGCGCACACTGTGTTTGTCAAGCGAGAATAGGTCTGAACGTGTGAATCATATGGTTACAAGGATAAGTAAGTGACCTTCAACGTTCAACTTTATTTATATAGAGTTTAGACTTGTGCTGCATATATCCATTGTAAAAACGTACAATAGATATATGCAGCACAAGTTTATCTGCGGTATATTTATATTTACTTCATGTCGTACGTTGCATGCTTGATATTTCATTGGTGTACGACCGCATTCAAGTATTAAATATTCACAAATTCAAATAGAGGAAAAAATAATCGAACAATAGATTTTTAACCCATTTATTTTTGCCCCAACAAAAATAAGTACTCAGATAATAATAACAGAGAATGTGCAAGTTAGTGCGGTCGTACACCAATGAAACATGCGACATGAAGTAAATATTGCGGGTAAACTTGTGCCGCATATATCCATTGTACAATGTCTCGGGATGTGATACGGTGTACGATAATCCCGAGATATTGTATGTTTTTACATTAGATATATGCGACACAAATCTATTTGCGGTATGTACGTCATGTCGCAAGTTGCATGTTTGAGGCATAAATTGCAACTTCACTGAGACGCATTTAAATTGCATGCATTACAATGCTTTCCTAGGAAAGTCTCATGATGCAAAAAAAAAAAAAACAATTAACTTCTATAATTATCTAAGGATAAGAATAACTTGGAAAATACGGTGTATCTATTCCATAACAATGCTGTATATAATCTATAGAATTAGGATCCGCAATAGGCTCTACTCCAATATGTTTCCTAGATATTGTCTCATCCACCCAATAACTGCCATTATCTTCATGTTGATCACGTGGTGGCGATGTCAGATCTATAGAAACAATTTCTTCTTGTGGGTCATTGCCGGAATTCCATTCCAAAAACATGTCACCTAATGATGGAACTTGAGATTCAGTCGATTGTTGTAATGGCAAAATGTGCTCCTTCATGTGTTCGTTCAATGCAGCAGAAAAAAAGAAAGATTTATCGCATTTGCTGCATTTCCTTTGAGTTGGACGAGACTTAAAATTCATTTGAATTTTTGGTTTGGGCTGGTGTGAGACTTTTTCGTGCTCCTTCATGTGTTCTCTCAATACAACAGAGAATGTGAAAGATTTATCGCATTTGGTGCATTTCATTTGAGTTGGACCGAACTCATTTGGTAGTTTGGGTTGTTGTTTTGATGACGAAGCTTTTTCTAAAACGTGCTCCTTCATATGTTCTTTCAATGCAACAGAAGAAGTGAAGGATTTATCGCATTTGGTGCATTTTTTCGAGTTGGACCAGACTCAATTGGTAATTTGGGTTGTTGTTTCGATGACGAGGCCTTTTTTGAAACGTGCTCCTTCATGTGTTCAAGGTTAATCCGAATTTGTGGTCTGGGCTCGTAAGATGTTGATGGTTTTGATTTGGGTGTAGAAGGTATTGGCTGAGTTGGTTTGGATTTAGGTAAAGGTCGAGTTGATTTGTCTGGCACTATTATTCTTAAATTTTGCCTTGTCCTCCACCTATCTTTCTTCGGTTTCTCAGGTTCTGGTACATGTTGTTGAGATAAAGCAACGACATCAGCTAGCACTTCTAGTTGATTATTTTTATTGGGTGCAACCTTGTTAGGAAATTCAATAGAATGATCATACGCTTTGCGTTTTTCATGATAAGTCAAATGATCAGAAATTGTTTTTAAAGTCACTGTACCTTTGCAAATCGGACAAGTTCTTTCAGCATTTTTTTTAAGTCGATGCGCTCCAGATTTATGTCTTTTGCACTCACCAATACTGTTAAATATTCGGCCGCACACTTCGCAAGTCGATTTGGACACATCCATTCTAAGCCTGTTTGATTTTATTTCTGTATTTAAACATGTATGAGCTTGCACGTGAAAAAGAAACCTTTCTTCGTCATCAAATAAAACCTCTTGGCAAAAATCGCACTCGAAAGGTATATTTAACATGTGCCTGTGCACGGTGTAATAGTGTAATTTTAATGGGGTTGGATGGTAGAATTTCAACGAACACATTTGACATTGTAAATGAATATGGCCTAGTACTGTGTGCTCTTTATAATGAGTCATCAACATTGAAAATGTAGCTGTTTGTTTGGGACATACGTCACAGCATAAGAGATCACCTTGATGGTCTTTATCATGTATCAGCAAATCGTGTAAAGTGCGTATCCCTTTACCGCAGCTTGCGCAGTAGTAACGTATCACCTCAGGCTCGTTTTCTGCCATTTTTTCTTCCACAAGTTTAAATGTATCACTGTTATGAAACTTTTCGATGTGCTGAAGCAACTCGATCAAAACCGATCCCACTGTGTAGTTGCAAATGGCACAACGGAATTGATGTTCATGTTCAGCATATCTTAGGGCATGAAGGTGGAGCTGTAGAAATGTTGTGAAGAATTTACCGCATTTGTGGCAGTAGAAACATTTTAACAGTTTTTCATTATTTGGAGTATCACTGGTAACTTCATCTAATATTATTAATCTAAAAAAAAAACAGCTTTATGAGTTTAATAATTCACATTAAGATGTGTTTAGGGTATAGATATGTAATTACAAAACAAATTAGGTTAATTATTGGGTTTTATTTATTATGGATAATTAGTGTGGTCAAATTGGCAGGTGGGGTGGCACCGAGGGGGAAATCACCTGGAAATTTTAGTGTACACGCGCAAAGAATTGCGAGGAATTGCAAGGAATTTCAAGGAATTTTGAGGAATTTCAAGGGTTTGCGTGGAATTGTTAACCTAGAAACAAATTTCAGTGTTGCCAAACGTTATCCAACATAAAAAGGTAAAGTACTTGAGTATCATTTTATAACTGCTCCAGACAGAATACTGAAAACCATGATTATAAACTTTATATTATGTGAGCCAAAAAATACTTTGCTTTAGTATTTATCAGAGAGTGTGTTGATAAAATGACATTTTCAAATCCTTGTTCAGTTCTACGCCAGTGATACACTCTCGGATAGGTATACATTCATCTCAAAGTGCTTAAACCCCGTTCCCTTGCTCTCTTAGTTTGCCAAAGTCTGGCAACGTTGCATCGCTAGTCATTTTTCATGAATTCTAACCTCAAAACCAGACCAGACTTGTTTTTACGTTGAAGGGCAACTTATTTAAGGAATTTGAGGTATCATCAAAAATTGTTGTACACAAAAACTTAACCACACTGTCAAAAATGTACATTTTATTAACGTGTCAAGTTCAACCGAGAGTCTGACTATGACAAGAAAAGCATTCCTAGAAACTCTCATAGATGTTGCAATCAAAAACAGTGGAAATAAACAGAATATACAGGGTTTTCACTTAGTGCGATATAGGACGATATCTTCTCACAGGGTGATGCAAAAAAAAAAATTACGAAGTTCTTTGATACTGTAATATGCATTAATTAAAAATATATTTGAATATATAGGGTGCTCCGCTTATGAGGGTATGCCACAAAACTTTGTTTTTTCAAATGGAACACCCTATACATACATATGTCATTGCATATTTGGATTATACGTAAAATTCTGAGCAGATTTCATGTAATATACCCTATACCTAAGTTCAACTGTTTTGGAAATATTGACTTTTTGCAACTTTGACAGGCTGTAAAACCTAAATCGTTTAGGTTTTACAGTCTGTCAAAATTGCAAAAAGTCAATTTTCAGATGTCAATATTTCCAAAACAGTTGAACTTAGGCAAAAATTATATTATATGAAATCTGCTCAGATTTTGACGTAGAATCCAAATATGCAATCACATACAGGGTGTTCCATTTAAAATAACAAAATTCTGTTGTATAACCCATAAACAGAGCACCCTGTATACAGGGTAAGTTAGTGAACGCGCGATAGTCCATATCTCCTATACTAACGGAGATCGGAGAAAAAACTAAATACAAACCTTGTAGATAAACATGAGTACTATATTCCTAAATTATTTTCCAGTATACAGGGTGGCCCAACAAAAAGTGGTGATACAAAGTTATGTTTTTTTTTTAAATGACTCCCCCTGTATACTATGACATTTCTGGATTTTGTGGAAAATTCCAGACATATTTCATCTTCAATGCCATATACCTATCTTCAACTGTTTCGGAATTACTGACAATTGAAAATTGACTTTTTGCAACTTTGACAGGCTGTTAAACCTAAACGGTTAATTTTAGAGAAAAACCGATTTTACATTCCTCGCTTAGATTTTCATAAGCTATCATTTGACACCAACTTTGAATTTAACCAGAGATTAATAATTTAAACTAAGATAAGAATGTATGATCGGTTTTGCTGTAAAATTAACCATTCAGGTTTTACAATCTGTCAAAGATACAAAATAGTCAATTTTCAACTGTCAATATTTCCGTTGAAGATAGGTATATGACATTGTACATGAAATATGTCTAGAATTTTCCGCAGAATCCAGAAATGCCATAATAAACAGTGGTAGCCATTTAAAAAAACATAGCTTTGTGTAACCACTACTTATTGGGCCACCCTGTATGCTGGCAAATAATTCAGGAATGTAGTGCTCATATTTTTCTACAAGTTTTTTCTTCAATCTCCGTTAGTATAGGAGATATGGACCACCGCGCGCTCACTAACTCACCTGTATTCAAAAATATTTTTAACTAATGCCTATTAGAGTATCAAACAACTTTGTAATTAATTTTTTTTTCTTGCATCACCCTCTAAGGAGATATCGTCCGATATCGCACTAAGTGGTTTATGACGATAATTTCAAAAAATTTGCTTTGTATTTGTTTTACTCAGGAGGCAAACTATTTTATGAAACCTTACATAATAACATGAACAATATTCTACCATCCCTATCAACACTATACAGATATAAAAACAAAATTAAATCCAGAATAAAGCTACTCATGGGCAAATTTGAAGCAACAATTAACCACATGAATATTCTTATTGGACAGAAGTCGAAGGAATAACATTTGCTTACAAAATCGGATATTATAGTTTAAAATTTATTTTGTTTTAATGTGAGTACCCAATAATTGATAATCGACCTGACATACATTGTACTTTCCAACAGAATTACAATAATTAAATAATTTAAACATATTAACCTATATTTAATTGCAAAAAGGTTATTCAAACATAAAATTATTTGTCCAAAAATTGCGAGGAATTGCAAGGAATTGTAAGGAATTGCAGGGAATTGTGTGAAATTTACCGGGAATTGTGTGGAATTATAAGGAATTGCACGGAATTTCCATTTAGAGGAATTTCAGTGTACAAAATTTTATGGGTGACTTCCCCTTCGGGGGGGAGTTGATTTTCTGTGACATGACGGGATTTACTTAATTCGGCTACTCTTTCTAGGAAATTATATACAGACAATTTAGAGAAAAATTTTCAGTCCCAGTTAGTCCTAAGTAAACAATAAAGAGACCCTTATTAGTAGGCATATAAAGAATGTTATTTCCAAGTTTTTTGTCCACCTTAGTAAAATTATTCGCAACATCAGCTCAAACTGTTGGTTTGTTCACTTCTTGATCATTAACAAACAAATTCACTTTCATTATTGCTGTTTCAAAAGTACAGTTATAAATCTATAGGAAATAAACCAGTTGAAAAGTAGTACATATAATATTCAACGAGTGGGTAATGATGGCTATTACTCACGAAGGATAAAGTTTGCATTACGAGCCGCAGGCGAGTAGTGTAATCATCCGAGTGAGTAATAGTCATTACCCACGAGTAGAATACTTTCTCTATAATTGATAGATAGATTATTCAATTTTCGTAACAAAATTTGTTGACAATTTTGACAGCTGCAGGTTTGGTTAGTACAAATCTTGTCCAAATCAGCTGTAAAAATGGCCGATTGGAAAGTTGAAGTATGTTGTCAACTTCTCGAATTTTTTGATTGGCTCTTGGTGGAAAGTTTTTTGTGCCCCACCTTATATTTTTTTTACGAGTAATAAATAACATGCATAATTTACATTCATTTTCTATTGATCAATGTTACTCATACAGTGAGTTTTTGTTCATTACTTAATTGTTTTCAACCAATGAAAATAGCCTGGTCTCATTACTCCACTATTCAAGAGCCAATCAAAAAATTCGAGAAGTTGACAACATACTTCAACTTTCCAATCGGCCATTTTGACAGCTGATTTGGACAAGATTTGTATTAACCAAACCTCACTTTGTCCTGCAGCTGTCAGAATTGAATATTCTATCTATTAATCATAGAGAAAGTATTCTACTCGTGGGTAATGACTATTACTCACTCGGATGATTACACCACACACACAAGGACCACAGATATTAGGGAGAATCTTTTATCTTTTATTGAAATTAGAATTGAAACTTTTTTATTTTATTTTTTTTTTCTTTAACAATGGAAACACTGTCATGTTTTATAACTTTATATTGCGTTTTAGAGAAACTTTATTAATGTAAGTACATTTTTTTGTTTTGCAAAATGTATTATAACTTCATAATTAGTTGTATTATTAATTTGCTATTTTTCGAATGGAAGATTTTAATTTTTAAATTTGAAATTTGATATTTTTAAATAGGGTTATTTAAGAATGCGTTGTTTTTTTTTTAAGGATAAGTGTAGAAATCGGCAAGCAGATTCGTCTGGGCGCTGCACTCTTGCCTTTTCTTGTAATTTGAATTACTTGAATAAAGATTATTATTATTATTATTATTAATAGTGAGCCGATTTCAAAGTTCAGTCTTACTAAAAAAAGTTGTACATTCCCATTTCCTATGCCCCAGAGTGTCCTCTACAAGATGATATAGGTTTCATCTGGTTATACCTCGGAATCACTCAAAGTTATAATTTCATGGTGATTTTACTCCACTAAATACCGCAGATAGACTTGTACTACATATATCCATTGTAAAAACGTACAATGTCTCGGGATTATCACACACCGGTACAGTAAACGCGTGTGCGATGATCCCGAGACATTGTATATTTTTACAATGGATCTATGCAGCACAAGTTTATCTACGGTATATTTTTTACTTCATGTCGCACATTGCATGTTTGATGTTTCATTGGTAGTACACCAAGCATTCAAGTATTAAATATTCACAAATTTAAATAGAAGACAAAATAATCAAACAATAGACTTTTAACCCGTTTATTTTTGCCGCAGCAAAAACAAGTTTTCAAATAATAATAGAGGATAATGTGCAATTGAAATCTGTCTCAGTTAGTGCGGTCGTACAGCAAAGAAACATCAATGTAATGTGCGACATGAAGTAAATACTTGTGCTGCATATATCCATTGTGAAAACGTACAATGTCTCAAATCCTGAGATATTGTATGTTTTTACATTGGATATAATATGAGGTATTTACTTTATGTCGCAAGTCGCATGTTGCATGTTTGACGTTTCCTTGGTGTAAAATCGCAACTTACTGAGGAAAAATTGGGACTTCACTGAGACGCATTTAAATTGCACATTTGAAATAAACCCTTCCTGATACGCATTACAAAACTTTCCTAGGAAAGTCTCATGATACAAAAAAAAAAAAAAACAATTAAGTTCTTTAATTATTTAAGGATAAGAATAACTTGGTGTATCTATTCCATAACAATGCTGTATATAATCTATAGAATTAGGATCCGCAAAAGACTCTACTGTATCTTCAATACGTTTCCTAGATATTGTCTCATTCACCCAATAACTGCCATCATCTTTGGGCTGATTACGTGGCGGCGATGTCAGATCTATAGAAACAATTTCTTCTGGTGGTTCATTGCCGGAATTCCATTCCAAAAACATGTCAGCTGATGATGGGGCTTGAGATTCAGTCGATTGTTGCAATGGCAAAATGTGTTCTTTCATGTGTTCTTCAGCAGAAGAAAAGAAAAATTTATCGCATTTGGTGCATTTCATTTGAGTTGGACGAGACTTAAAGTTAATTTGAATTAGTGGTCTGGGCGCGTAAGATGTTGATGGTTTTGATATGGATGTAGAAGGTATTGGCTGAGTTGGTTTGGATTTAGGTAAAGATCGAGTTGGTTTGTCAGGCACAATCATTTTTAATTTTCGTCTTGTCCTCCAACTATCTGCCTTCGGTTTCTTAGGTGTTTGAAGATGTTGTTGGGATAAAGCAACGACATCAGCTAGCACTTCTAGTCGATTATTTTTATTGGGTGCAACCTTGTTAGGAAATTCGGCAGAATAAGCATACGCTTTGCGTTTTTCATGATAAGTCAAATGATCAGAAATTGTTTTTAAAGTCACCGTATTTTCGCAAATCGGACAAGTTCTTTCAAAATTCTTTCTAACTCGATGCTCTGTATATTTATGTCTTTTGCACTTACTAATAGAGTCAAATATTTGGGCGCACACCTCGCAAGTCAATTTGGACACATCCATTCTAGGCCTGTTTGGTTTTATTTCTGTATTTAAACATGTATGAGCTTGCACGTGAAAAAGAAACCTTTCTTCGTCATCGAATAAAACCTCTTGGCACAAATCGCACTCGAAAGGTATATTTAAAATGTGCCTGTGCATAATGTAATAGTGAAATTTTAATGGGGTTGGATGGTAGAATTCCAACGGACACATTTGACATTGTAAATGAATATGGCCTGGTACTGTGTGCTCTTCATAATGAGTCATCAACATTGAAAATGTAGATGTTTGTTTAGGGCATACGTCACAGCATAAGAGATCATTTTGATGGTCTTTATTATGTATCAGCAAATCGTGCAAAGTGCGCATGCCTTTACCGCAACTTGCGCAGTAGTAACGTATCACCTCAGGCTCGTTTTCTACCATTTTTTCTTCCACAAGTTTAAATGTATCACTCTTATGAAACTTTTCGATGTGCTGAAGCAACTCGGTCAAAACCGATCCTACTGTGTAGTTGCAAATGGTACAACGGAATTGATGTTCATGTTCAGCATCTCTTAGGGCGTGAAGGTGGAGCTTTAGAAATGTTGTAAAAAATTTACCGCATTTGTGGCAGTAGAAACTTTTTACCAGCTTTCCATTGTTTCGAGTATTGCTGGTCACCTTATCTAATATTGATAATCTAAAAAAAAAACAGTTTAATGAGTTTAATAATTCACATTAAAATTACTTGGGGTATAGGTATGCAATTACAAAACAAATTAGACTAATAATCATTGGGTTTAATTTATAATAGCTATATCAATAATTAGTGTGGTAACATGACGGGATTTACTTAGTGCGGCTACTCTTTCTAGGAAATTATGTACAGATAATTTAAAGTCACTAGAAAAAATTTCAATCCTAGTCCTAAGTAAACAAGAGACCCTTATCAGTGGGCATATAATAGTTAGTTATTTATGGTACTAGTGTGTTATGTTAAAAATAAGTCACGCGAGAAAGATTTATACCACGAGGCCGTCAGGCCGAGTGGTATAAATTCTCAAGTGACTTAGGAAACATAACACACGAGTGGCATACAATGTTTTATCCAACAAGTGGAAAATATAATTTTTTAATGAGATAATAATTAATAAGCTTTGTGATCAAATCAAAGCTACTTGCGTCTTAATGATGTCATTGGTCTCAGTACCCTATAAATGTCAGAATGACTTGACAGTGACTTTTTTATATTTTTGTCAAAGCACATACAGTAGGATGTTTGATTGGTTGCCACGGGCATGATACATTTTACATACATTGCTAGCAAATGTTTAAATACATTTTGACACTTGTCAGCTTTCCCTGCAGAAAAAGGAAGCTTCTTTGAAGAAAAAAACGAATAGAAAATGGAGGAAACCGATGAAAATCACGTTCCTGAGGATATCCTTACCGAAGCAGAAGAAGCAGCGATACAGATTTTGCCAATCAAGTCCCGAGATGCTTACGACAAGGAGTTCAAAATGTTTAAGTCTCACGTAAGATTGAAAGTATCGATGAAAATATTCTATTGAACCAACCAACGAATTTTATAATGACTTCAAATTCGAATAAACCGTTAGCGTTTTCCTTTAATTTCAATATTAATGTGAATTTGGCTTGTAATAAATAAATAGAATACTACTTTAAATATGAACGTGAGTTATAATCCATAACTCACTAGTGAGTTATGGATTATAACACACCAGTGTGTTATTTGATAGTTTACTTGTCTGAAATGACATTAATAATACCAGTCATAACTGTCATGTGTTGGATAAAGAATGTTATTTCCAAGTTTTTTGTCCACCTTAGTAAAATTATTCGCAACATCAGCTGAAACTGTTAGTTTGTTCACTTCCTGATCATTAACAGACAAATTCACTTACCCCATATCGTCCAATATTGCTGTTTCAAAGGTACAGTGATAAATCTATGGGAAACAAACCAGTTGAAATATTCAACGAGTAATAGTCATTACCCACGAGTAGAATACTTTATAATTAATAGATAGATTATTCAATTTTCGTAATTTGTTGACAATTTTGACTGCTGCAGGACAAAGTGAGGTTTGGTTAGTACAAATCTTGTCCAAATCAGCTGTCAAAAAGTATGTTGTCAACTTCTTGAATTTTTTGATTGGCTCTTGAATAGTGGAGTAATGAGGTCAGGCTATTGTCATTGGTTGAAAACAATTAAGTAATAAGCAAAAACTCACTGTATGAGTAACATTGATCAATAGAAAATGAATGTATATTATGCATGTTATAATACTCGTGGAAAAAATACAAGGTGCGGGGCACAAAAAACTTTCCACCCAGAGTTTCTCAGGTGTTAAGTGTTTAATCAAAAATCACTCAGACACGTCAATTTTTGTTTTTTGGGGACACATTTTATTGGTATTTTCACCCCCTACCTGTCAAACCTTATGTGCGGGTAACAGGTACCCCCAAAATTTCAAATGGAAAAAGGGGTCGAGTGATATTGTCATTTGGTAGCTATTTTCATCAAGACTATATTCCCGAAGTTTTAAGTTGCTACTATTTACCCTATCGAAATGGCGGCATGTCAAATTTAGGATAAATGCTTTCTTTCGATAATCTAAACTGTATAATTTTTACCTGTCACACCTATGCGTAAATAACAGGTAAAAACCATATAGCGTTTTTCCATTGATTTTTCCTAACTTTGACAAGCCACCTTTTCGACAGGGTAAATAGTAGCAACTTAAAACTTCAGGAATATAATCTTTATGAAAATACCTATCAAATGACGTATCACTCGACCCCCCTTTACATTTGACATTTTAGGAATACCTATCACCCCCACTTGAAGGTTGACAGGTAGGGGGTGAAAATATCAATAAAATATGTCCCTCAAAAAACAAAAATTGATGTGTCCGAGCAATTTTTGATTAAGAGGGGCGCTTAAATAAAATGTCATTTACAGACCTTCACAAATTCTTGTTCAATTCCAAATTTAGACCACTTTTCAGTGAAATGAAGTTATGTTCATAACAATAATAGATTGGAGTAGAAGTTGAAGCATTTTTGGTTGCAAAATACGCATTCTAAATAGTAAAATTATTACCATTTTGTTCACAACAAAACACAACACGGATTTAAATGAAAAAGGGATAAACATATAGAGTAGCACACCAACAATAAATGTCCAAAATTTCGGATAGTAAAATGCTGGAAAAAATTAATAGAACAGAATTTTCGAAAATTATAATTTTCGTATCACAAAATTAATCAAAATCTGTCAAACAACGAGGTGATTGCTGTCATTTTCAGCAAAGACTCAAACCAAACGTTTGTTCAGCGCTTCTCGAAAAGATGTCGCTGAGTTCGGGAAGCATATTAACTTCTTTCAAACGCCAGTACAAACTGTTTAACCTAGCTAATAATGTGAAATACTATTTGTTTGGAAAATCGCCACCACGGCCGCCAGGGGCTCCACATCCAAATTTATTTATATTACATCGGTCTACCTCTGTACCAAATTTGGTGCCCTTATCAAAAAGTGCACAATAGGTTAGCTAATCCGTTGTACTACAAGGGGAAAAAATAATTGAACGATAGATTTATAACCTATTTATTTTTACTTCAACAAAAGCAAGTATTCAAATAATAATAACAGAGAATGTGCAATTGAAATGCGTCTACTAAGACCCATTTGAATTGCATATTTCAAATAAATCCTCTATGATACGCAGTACAAGGCTTTCCTTTGCTTTTTCTAGGAAAGTCTCATGATGCAAAAAAAAGCAATTAACTTCTATAATGGTTTAAGCATGAATTATAAGCAGAATAAGATTATTTTGGAGAATATGGCGTATCTTTTCCATAACAATACTGTATATAATCTATGGAATTAGGATCCACAATAGGCTCTTCAACATGTGATATTGTTTTGTCCACCCAATAACTACCATTATTATCGGGCTGATCACGAATCATTTCGTCTGGTTCAATACCAGAACTCCACTCCAAAAACATGTCATCTGATGATGGAGCTTGACATTCAGTCGATTGTTGCAATGGCAAAATGTGTTCCTTCATGTGTTCTTTCAACAAAATAGAAAAAGTGAAAGATTTATCGCATTTAGTGCATTTCATTTGAGTTGGACCGGACTTAAGATTCATTTGAATTTGTGGTTTGGGCTGGTTTTGCATCGGTGAAACGTGCTCTTTCATGTGTTTTTTCAATGCAACAGAAGAAATGAAAGATTTATCGCATTTTGTGCATTTTATTCGAGTTGGACCAGACTCAATTGGAACAATTGGTAGTCTAGGTTGTTGTTTAGATGACGAGACCTTTTCTAACGCGTGCTCCTCCATGTGCTTCTTCAATGCGATAGAAAGAGTGAAAGATTTATCGCATTTGGTGCATTTCATTTGAGACTTGATTGGTTGTTGTTGCAATGACGAGGCTTTTTCTAAAACGTGCTCTTTCATGTGTTCGTTCAACGAAAAAGTTTGAGCAAATGATTTGTCGCATTCGGTGCATTTTACGTTATTTCGACCAGATTTAAGGTTAAGTCGAATTGGAGATCTTGGCTGGTAAGGTTGTTTGGATGTTGATGGTAAAGGTTCAATTGGATCAGATTTAATTGGTGGGTGAGGTTGTCTTGATAAAGATGGTAAAGGTTGAGTTGGTTCAGGCTTGCCAATAGGATTTGTTTTGGCAATTTGGTCAAGAGCTAACTGTTTGTCTGGCCCTACTAATATAGAATTAATAATTTCCCTTGCTCTTTTTTTTGCTTTTTTCGTTGCCACAGCTACCGGTAGAGGTAATAGGCCTAAAGCGATTCTTTTTGCAATGACATAAGCTTCCATGTCCGGTTCGGTACATTGAATAGCTGCTGGTCTATTCTTTTTAGTAGGTGCGTGGTTAGGAAATTCAATAAAGAACTCACGCACTTTGCGTTTTGTATGCAAAGTCAAATGATCAGACATATCTGCTAGACTCAACGATAGTTGGCAAATCGGACAAGTTCCTTCAGCATTTAGTTGGTGCACTCTTGTTCTATGTTCATTGCACTCGGCAATAGTGTCATATACTCGGGCGCACACTTCGCAAGTCAATTTGGACACATCTATTCTAGGTCTGTTCGGTTTTATTACTGTATTTAAACGCGAATGAGCTTGTACGTGAAAAAGAAACCTTTCTTCGTCGTCAAATAAAACGCCGAGGCACAAATCACACTCGTATGGTATATTTAAAATGAGCTTGTGGACGGTGTAATAGTGGAACTTCAATGGTGTTGGGTGGTAGAATTCCAACGAACACATATGACATGGTAAATAAATATGTCCTAGTACTGAGTGTTCTTGATAATGAGTCATCAACATTAACAAGGTAGCTGTTTGTTTAGGACATACGTCACAGCATAAGAGATCACCTTGATGGTCTTTATCGTGTATCAGCAAATCATACAAGGTGCGCATCCCTTTGCCGCAGCTTGCGCAGTAATAACGTATCACCTCAGGCTCGTCTTCTACCATTTTGTCCTCCGCATTTTTAAACGTATCACTGCTATGAAACTTTTTAATATGACGAAGCAATTCGATTAAAGCACCTGATCCCACTGTGTATTTGCAGACGGCACAACGGAATCGATGTCTATGTTTACTATATTTAAGGATGTGGAAGTGGAGCTTGAAAAATGTTGCAAAGAATCTACCGCATCTATGACAGTAGAAAGATTTCACTAGCTTTTCATTTTTTGGAGTCTCACTAGTCACTTCATCTAATATTAATAATCTAAAAAAAAAAAAAAACAGCTTTATGAGTTTAATAATTCACATAAAAATTGTTTGGGTTAGTTGAAAAAAAAACAAAACAAATACAATATAGCTACAATGTATAATCCTAAAATCTAATGTTTATAGTAATTATCAGCAAACGGATATGGACTAAATCTATCCATATTACATTCAGGCGGTTCAAATGATAATCGATTTTCCGTACATGGAGGAGGTTGAAAGACAAGCTCATTGACTTCACCAGATTCTTCGTCAGACTCTCTAAACCGAGGAGAAGTAGAAACCCATTCGGACAAATCAACTTGCGGACAAGATGGATATTCAGGTATCAACGGTGGCTCCAGATGACCCGATGCCATACCAAACGATGAGGGAATACCAAAATCGTCCTCTTCTGTTGGAGCTTCATTGTGGACTGGAGTTAAATATCCAACACTTTCAGCAGTCATTACACCAGAAGTCCAAGTATTCATTTGAGTGGATGTTGAAGGCAATTCTGGTGCCTGGAATGTTAACTTGGTGTCTAAGGAATCTTCGTGATCATTTTGCATCAACAATTGACTGGAAATCTCCGTTTGCACAATAGCCTTTTGATGGTCCGTTTGCACAATAGCCGTTTTCTCAATGTCAAAAACCTTTGCCTCTGTTTGCATTTTATTCTTTTCAATACTAACTGCCTTCTCCTTTTGATGCATCAACAAGTGACTAGAAATCCCCGAAACAGTTATAAGTCTGTTACATTGAGGACAAGGCCGTTCTTCGTTGAAAGACAAATTGTGCCCTTCGGTTTTGTGCTTTTTGCACTCTGCAAAACTATCGAATACTTTTGCACAAACTTCGCAAGTCAATTTAGCAACATCTTTTTTATGTTTTTTGTTTATCTTACAATGTCCTTGCACGTGAGTCAAAAACTTTTCCTCCTCATCAAAAAATACAGCAAAACATAAATCACATTCATATGGTACATTGAAAATGTGCGAATGCACTGTGTAATAATGCAATTTGCACGGTAAAGTTGCGTAAAACTTCAAGGGGCATAAATTGCATTTGATTTTAATATTACCCGTAACAGTATGTTCTCTGAAGTGATACAACAATTCTAGAAAGTTTGTGGCTTGATGACTACACAAAGAACAACAAAGAACTTCGTTTTCGTGATCTTCGTAATGCCTTTCTAGTTTGTAAAGGGAACTACATTCTTTACCGCAACGTTCACAATAATATTTTGATTTGCACTTTTCTTCAGCTACTTTATATTCTTCTTTGGAACAAAATTTGTTGATGTGATTGGTCACATCTACCAAGGTTTTACCAATTAGATATTGGCAATTGGCGCAGCGGAATGTGTGATTGGTTTTGCTGGTTTTGAACAAGTGTTCGTGTAGTTTTTCAAAGTCTTCGAAGTGGGAGCCGCATTTGTTGCAATAGAAAGATTTGATTTGTTTGATTGGTTCAATAATTTTTGGTGGTGATTTATGGCCCTTTTTGGGAATAATGAATTTGGGTTTGTTTAAAATGTCCAAGACGTTGGGTGTGCTGGGGTTGGAGGTGGAAGCTTCCACTTTCTTTGCTATTGCTAGTTTAAGGGATTCGATAGCTGAAGGTTTTTCTGTTTTTTTTTCGGATTTTGTGTTAGATGCAGACTTTCTGCTTTCGTCTGTTTTTTTAGAATCTGAGAATTTTTGTGCTGATAAAGTTTTGGTGGGTCTTTTTTTCTCTGATTCTGTTTTGTCAGACTTTGTTGTTCCTTTTGCAGCATTTTTGTCCGATGTTGTAGATGTTTTGTCAGTTTTTTTAGTTGTATTTTCTGTAGATGAGGTTTTTTTAATTTCTGACTCTGTTTTCTCAGACTTTGTAGCTTCTTTTGCAACATTTTTGTCCAATGTTGTAGATGTTTTGTCAGTTTTTTTAGTTATATTTTCCGTAGATGCAGTTTTTCTAATTTCTGACTCTGTTTTCTCAGACTTTGTAGCTTCTTTTGCAACATTTTTGTCTGATATAGATGTTTTGTCAGTTTTTTTAGTTATATTTTCTATAGATGAGGTTTTTTTAATCTCTGACTCAGACTTTGCAGTTTCTTTTGCAGCATTTTTGTCCGATGTTGTAGATGTTTTGTCAGTTTTTTCTGTAGATGAATCTTTTTTGATTTCTAGTTCCGTTTTTTCAGACTTTGTTGTTTCTTGTGCAACATTTTTATCCGATATTGTAGATGCCTTGTCAATTTTTTTGATATCTGATTCCGCCTTCTCAGACTTTGTTATTTCTTTTGCAGCAACTTTTTCCATTGTGGATTCCTTTGGTAATGGCTTTTTTGCAGATTTCTGTTCGTCGCCTTTGGCTTGTTTATCGGTTTTCTTTGACGAACCTTCTATTGATTTTCTAGAAGACTTTTCAGTAGATTTTCTTCTTTCAAGTTTAATTGACAATTTTCTAGTAGATTTTTTTGAGGGTTTCTTTTCTTCTGCAAGTTCTGGTGTAGATTTTCTAGTAAAACTTTCATCTTTCACTTTTGGATTTGTCTCATTTTTTGTCTTCTTCCTTGCAGCCACATTAGACTTTGATTCTGTAATACCCCAAATTCCAATTTTGTTCTTCTTAAATGTATCCCTCTTTAAGCGTATAATAAGCCTTAGGCTGGATTCAATATGTCCATTATCCAACCTACAACAACATAAATTAGACTTCTTCTTTCAAAAACAATACTACAACAATGCTAGAATTAATAGGTATTCACAATTATTATGCTAATAATGGTGACAGGAGTTTTATTTCAATTTTTACCATAAGGCCACTTTCAGCCATACAGACGAACCATCCTACTAGACACATAGAGAGTAATAGGACGAATTAGCTTGTACCCGATTTAGCCGAGTTTTACTGTGACAATCCTGCAGTGAAATGGGTATCAGCGAAGGGTGAACCGCAACGGAAATCTGGTGTACAAATTTGAGAAAATCTAAAGAAAATCTAAGGCAATCAAGAGAAATCATAAGGAAATTAAAGGAAATCTCAAGGAACTGAAAGAAAATTTTAAGGAAATCAGTAGGTATAGGGTCACTTAAGCCTGGGTACTTGTTCGATACCGTGAAAAAATCGGCGGGGTCAAGCCCAAATTGGTTTTGTGCTGATTTTCACTGATTCCAAACTGGTTTTAAGCTGGTTTTGTTCTGGTTTATTCACGGTATCGAAAAAGTTCCCAGGCTCAAGTGACCCTATACCCACTGGAATTATGACAAATCTTTAAGAAATCAGTCAATCTCTAGATCTGACGCATGCGTAGTTTTCAAATGTTATCATAGTAATTTTTTATTAATAATCAGAAAAAAATCATGGGAAATGGGAAAACGTGGACAATCACTCATGATTTTCCCTAGAACTGACATTTATCCTCTTGGTATTGTTATTTACTTTTGGAAATTAATAAAAACTGAATTATTGTTAGTTGGATAGTGTGTTTCATTTCGGCAAATGCGCATAGACCTCTGGTTTTTCCGTTTCCACTGTTTAAAAGCTACCCAATGCACGTGGGCCCTTAACCACTATAATCCTAAGGGTGGCGCCCGAGTTTTCCGAAAATCCCGAACCGACCGCTCTCTTACCGGAATACCAAAGCAGCGCTACAAGGTGAATACCATAGTTAATTAGAAAAAGTAAATATTAGCTTTGTTCCAAATCGTACCATTCATCTATGCAAAATCTAAATCTTATGAAATTCGCATACAAAGTGGTTTTGGAACTGTTCATAGGACGTGTTGAAACAGACTTATAATTTGTTTATTCATCTTTAATTTTAGGGCAAGCAATGGAAATTATATAAAATTAAAAGAAATCTTAATCGCTTAAAAATCAGATATGTGGAAGCTGATTTTCAAGAATTTTTCCCTAAATCAATAAGAAGTGTCACTTTTTTTTGAGTTTTTGATGATAATTTGAGGTTATGTTATCAGGGAAACTCTTGGACAATCTTATTGGTAATCAGGAGGAAGAAAGGATGATTTCTCCTAAAACTGCAATCTGGTCTTGTGCAAGTTTAAAGGTTCTCTGGTAATGGGTAACTTGATGACGCATTTGGGATGCCTTATGGATATTTGAATTTTGTTTAGGAAACCCAGATGACGTCAAAAAGTTATCTGGAAACAAACAACTTTAGCCTAGTGTACAAAAACTGACCTCTAGATATCAATCAACTGGTACCATTGAAGCCTGTATGTGTCTAGTAGTCTGGTCCTGTTTGTATAATAAGATAAATGAAACATTCTACTGATCATTTATTACATTTTAACTCCATTAAATCATATATTGATCGACTCCTCACTAGGCCCTTTACACCGATGCTTCCTCAACTGCCATCTTTGATAAAACCGTTTCAAACACAATTCGCATTCATAAGGCTTGACGCCCTTATGCGCTAACAAGTGAGTGTTCAAGGCTGTTTTCACAAAAAACTTTTTCTGGCAATAAGTGCACTCGTAAGGCTTTTCATTGGTGTGAGTCCTCAAGTGTTCAGTCAAAAGGCTGCTTCTAATAAAGGCGGCTTCACACAGGTCGCACCTAAAAGGTTTTTCGCCCGTATGTCTCCGCATGTGAATCGTAAAGTTTTCTCTAAAAATAGTTTTGCCGCAAACATTACAAATAATTGTAGGTTTGGGTTTTTCGTGCGATTTTTTGTGTTTCTTATAAGAGTTTTCAGTACTTAAAACGCTATCGCAAACATCGCAAGGGAATTGAGGCTTTTGATAATTTGGGCAGTGACAGAGTTTATGTTTCAGCATAGTTTCTTGTCTTTTGAAAGGTTTTTCGCATACGGGACAAGGAAAAACTAACAAATCATGATAAGTACTAATGTGTTGCTCTAGGGTTGTTTTGCAATAAAACTTTTTGCAGCACTTGTCGCATTTATGCAGCGATCGCATGTTGGTGTGCTTGGACACTTCGTGCTTGGTCTTTTTGGCCAGTTTATGAAAAGTTTTCGGACAAAATTCGCAGGTGAATGTTTTGGCCGGCGAATGGACTAAGATTTGATGCCTTTTCAAAACAAATTTGCTTGAAAGCGTTTTGGAACATTGATTGCAAACATATTGTGTTGGACGCCTAAAAATTATACAACATATACTGAAAATAAAATTATATAATTACATCAAATGAGTGAAACTACTATAATTTATTCACAAATATCTATATTCTCACTAGGATGGATTTTCAAAAAATGTGTCTTCAAAGTATGTCTTTGAGTGAATCTTTTATCGCACACCTTGCACACGAACTTTTTCTCTTTGGTATGTACAACCATGTGCGTTTTCAACTGGTTATTGCACACAAAAGTCTTGTCGCAATAAGTGCAATTGAAAGGCTTTTCCCCAGTGTGCGTCCTAATGTGATTTTGCAGGCTCGCCATGGTCGTCACGATCTTTCCGCAAACCTCGCAAGTGAAACTTCTCTTCCCGTTTTTATGTTCGCGCAAGTGCTTTTTAAACGATACAATGTGGATGAATTTTTTCGGGCAAATGTCGCAGCGAAACTCGCGATTGTCGCTGTGCACGTGCTGATGTCGCCTAAAAGCGTCGTGAGTTTTAAACTTCTTGTCGCAATTGGGACAAGGCAATGGCTCGATAGTGGGATGATTGACTAGTTCGTGCTGTCTGAGTTGGCCGATCAATGGAAATCCTTTGCCGCACTTGTCGCAGTAAATTTTCAATTTCCTTTCGTGCACTAGAAATTTGTGATTTTCGAACGAGAATTTGTTGGCTAAAACGCGTCCGCACTCGTCACACACCCACGTGCATTTTGTACGGGCCCTAAGTGATTTTTGGTGCATGCTTCTTTCGTGCGTTTTTTTTTGATGTTGTGTGAAGAAGCCTTTAGGGCAAAAGTCGCAAAAGTAATAGTATTTGTGTGTGTGTACTAAGGCCGTGTGCTCTTTGAGGGAGGCTGGATTTCTGGCGAAGTAGTCACATTGTTCGCAGTTCATGCAAGATTCTGTTTTGATTTTTAACCTAAAAACATATGTTAGTTCATTACTTTATTAATTTACTTTGAGAGTATAACGCATTAGTGAGCTTTTGTGTCAGTAACAGTGTTGCCAAATCATATTTTGTTTTGTCAGTAGATTACCAGTCTAAATATGAGTAGAAATCAGTAGACAGATAAGTTGCCTTGTTAAAGGGGTAAACCATTAGGGTATACTCAATTAATTATTTTAACTACGTTTTTTCAAATCATTAAATCATTAGACTATGGAAACTTGCATTAGATAACCAATACTACTTACTTATGAGAAATGGTTCATTAAGATTAAAACACATGAGATATTCCTATTAAATATGCACTACCTATATTTGGTTTTATATTCTTGAGGAGTACAAATTTCCGATTCCAAAACTATATAGTTTGTCTATATTTGGTTGAGCCGGCTCCAACATATTTGGTTCCAAAAATTTTAAAAATACTATCAGAGAAATCAAACCTCAAATTTTACCTGCAGCTTTATTACAGGTAGAATGGTTCACAAAATCAGTAATAGGGATATAGGACTATTTTTACAATTTTTGGAGCCGAATATATGAGAGACTGTTCAATCAAATATAAACAAACTATATATTTTTGGAATCGGGGCATTGTGCTCTTTAAGAATATATAGAATGAAATGTTAGGGCATCCCATTTGAAAAAAGCTACAAGCATGCAAAATTTCACATTTCTGACATTCAAATTTTGTTTCTGACCATGGTTTTCAAAAATTCAGCCAAAACTGTACAACTTTTGTATTTAGACCCTTTTTCTACCTGAAAAGGTAAAGGAGGTAGGTAGAGTGTCAATATATAAGAAAACATACCTTGTACAAATAAGTGGATTATTGCGGAACTTATGGGTGAACCTCTGCGGGACAAGCGCAGCGAGTTCCGCAGCCATCTACTCACCAATATACTGCTGAACTGTTCAAAAAAAAAACACTCACGTGTAGTTTTTGAACTAATGAGAAAAATTTAAAACTGAGTGAATCAGGTTAGTATTGTAATTGAACAACATATTGGTGAATAGATTGCTGGTTCCACTCATAAGTTCCGCAACAATCCATTTGTTTGTACTTGAATAACTTGTCATAATATATTACTAGTTTGGTGAAGTAACATTACTAAAAGTGAATAATCATAATCTTACAAATTCTGACTTTATATAATAAGTCATTGTTCAAGTAGAAATGAGTGAATTGTTGTGGAACTTATGGGTGGACCTCTGCGGGACGAGCGCAGCGAGTTCCGCAGCCATCTACTTACTAATATACTGTTGAACTATTCAAGTAAGACACTAACCTGAAACGTGTAATTTATAAACTAATGAGAATAACGCACATATTGATGAATAGATGGCTGCGGAACTCGCTGCGCTCGTCCCGCAGAGATTCACCCATAAGTTACGTAACAATTCACTCATTTGTACTTGAATAACTTGTCACAATATATTACTAGTTTCGTAAAGTAACATTACTTAATCCTGTTGAAAGGCCAATTGACAAAAAGTGGATAATCTTACAAAATTCTGACAAAAATAATAAGTTATTATTCAAGTACAAATAAGTGGATTGTTGCGGAAATTATGGGTGGACCTCTGCGGGACGAGCGCAGCGAGTTCCGCAGCCATCTACTCACCAATATACTGTTGAATTGTTCAAATAAGACATTCACCTGAAACATATAGTTTTTAAACTAATGAGAATAACTCACATTTGAGTGAGTCAGGTTAGTATCGTAATTAAACAACATATTGATGAATAAATGGCTGCGGAACTCGCTGCGCTCGTCCCGCAGAGGTTCACCCGTACGTTCCGCAACAATTCACTCATTTGTACTTGAATAACTTGTCACATTATGTTACTAGTTTGGTAAAGAAACATTACAAATTCCTGAAGACTTGAACCATTTTCTCGTGTCCACTAGTTTGAAACAGACAATGGGAACAGCATTGCCCATTTCGCCTGTTTTGAACCAATGTCAAAAAAATGGACGGTGGACGCGAGAAAACGGCTTAAACCTGATCCAATTAACCGGATAACCAGCTGATATTCTTTGTCTTTTTTCAATTGTGTCCATTGAGGAAAGATAGAAAATAAACTGCTGGTGATCGGGTTATTCGGATCAGCATTTCCGGAACCTACTATCTCAATATTATTCCATGTGACGTCATTTTTATGAATATAAAGGAACGCACCCGGACCTGGCAGGCAGAGGGCGCTACATTACCAGTCTAGGTTGAGGCTCGCTACACTGGAATTGATGAAATTCCCCCATCGGATTCCCCTAATATGAGTTTCCATTAGATTTGTTCTAACACAGCAGGAAACGGAAAATGTTCCGTCACGATTCTGCGCAAAGCTTAAGATTTGTGCGTGGAATCCAAGAGTGGTTTCTAAATCGTTCATATGGAACATGGAACGGTTTTCGACGTATGGGAACAGACCAGCCTTTTTCTCGTGTTTACTTTTTTGACATTGGTTCAAAACCAGTTTGAAACAGTCAATGGAACACCATTGGTCTTTTCTCTTTTGTTTAGATGAAAATAAAGTTTGTTTTACTGATGACCAGAAAATTATTCCCTCTCCCGCGCAACCCTTACTTTAAATAATAAGTTATTGCTCAAGTACAAATAAGTAGATTATTGCGGAACTTATGAGTGGACCTCTGCGGGACGAGCGCAGCGAGTTCCGCAGCCATCTACTCATCAATATACTGTTGAATTGTTCAAAAAAGATATTCACCTGAAACATATAGTTTTTAAACTAATGAGAATAACTCACATTTGAGTGAGTCGAGTTGATATCATAATAAAATAACATATTGATGAATAGACCCATAAGTTCCGCAACAATTCACTCATTTGTAGTTGAATAACTTGTCACAATATATTACTAGTTTGGTAAAGTAACATTACTAATTCCTGTTGAAAAGCGAATTGACATAAAGTGGATAATCTTACAAATTCTGACTTTATATAATAAGTTATTGTTCAAGAACAGAGTGTTTTTTTATAATATTGACACCCCACCTACAGCCTTCACCTTTACAAGTAGATGAAAGGTGTGAATACAAAAGTTGTACAGTATTGGCTAAATTTTAAGAATCCATGGACAGAAACAAAAATTGAATGTAAGAAATGGGAAATGTTGCATGTTTTCAGCTTTTTTCAAATGTGAGTACCTATGCAGAAGTCTAGTCTCAGGTCAGTAGATTTACTGATAAATCAGTAGACCTAGCAACACTGTTTTGTGTTGAGCAGAGAATTGATTTGTTCAAATGAGTTGAAATTGAGGATTCTTTATCTTTAGCACTAAAAATTCGCCACTACAAAATACTGCTGGAAATAAATGAAATCCTGATCATTGTTTAACCTAGGACGCCATATTGATTAAATTACCCTTATCATCGTTGCATTAAGTCGAAAATCGCGTATTCCAATAATCCCAATCCACCAATGATAAATAGTTACCGGAAAAAAAAAAACGAAAAAAAGTTATGGATCTTCAGTTTTTGAAAATCCAAATCATAAGGTGTACAGGGTGTCCAAGATTCGATAGTTTTTGGAGGGTTGCTTGTGAGTTTGGAGTTTCGCAGGGGGTCTATAACTTTTTGTAGCTTGAAAACAAATCAAGTCAACTTCTCTTGAAAATCGAGGCTCGCAAGTGGGGGTCAGATTTTTTCCAACTCCTCTAGAACTACCTACCCGAAACCCGCCAAAACCATAGAATCTTGGACACCCTGTACAACTATGTGAATAATTAATATACCTCACAAGATTTGCAAAAGTAAGGTATTTCTGCATTAAACGGACAATTATTTATTTAAAATATCCAAAGTCTCCCCAGGATGGTTTTTCAAAAAATGCGCCTTCAAAGTACTTCTTTGAGTGAACCTTTTATCACACACTTTACACAAATGTCTTTTTTCTTTCGTATGTACAACAATGTGCACTTTTAACTGTTTATTTGTCACAAAAGTCTTATCACAGTGAGTACAGTTAAAAGGCTTCTCGCCAGTGTGCGTCCTCATATGATCTTGCAAACTTGAAGTGCTCGTCACTATTTTCCTGCAAACCTCACATGCGAAAATTTTCCTTCCATTTTTGTGCTCGCGCAAATGTCGCTTGAATGATGTAATATGGATGAACTTTTTCGGACAAACTTCGCAGTGAAACTCACGATTGTCACTGTGCACGTGCTGATGTCGCCTTAAGGCGTCACGAGTTTTAAACCTTTTGTCACAATCTGGACAAGTCAAGGGCTCACTAGTGGGATGATTGACTTGCTCGTGCTGTGTCAAATAACTAAGAAGCGGAAATCCTTTGCCGCACTTGTCGCAACAAAAGTTCAACTCCCTTTCGTGCACTAGAAGTTTGTGCTGTTTAAAGGAAAACTTGTTTGCTAAAACGCGCCCGCACTCGTTGCATGTCCAAGGTTTACCTTTCGGACGACGTTTGGCTGTTTTCTGGTGCACGCTTCTTTCGTGCGATCTCTTGCGACATTTCATAAAGAAGCCTTTATTGCAAAAGTCGCAAAAGTACCTATATTCATGTGTGTGCACCATTACTGTATGCTCTTTGAGGAAAATTGGACTTGTGGAAATGTAGCCACATTGTTTGCATTTAAGGCAAGATTCTGTTTTAATTTTCAACCTAAAAATATATTACTAAATAAGTTCATTATTACTTACATAAATATGTAAAAAAAATAAAACTTCCAACAATTATCAACAATATATATTTCTAATTACGTAGAACTCCTTTCCATTTTTCATTAGGATGCGTTTTAATAAAATGAATCTTCAAAGACCCATACTGTGTAAATCCTTTCTTGCAAACCTTGCAAACATAGGGTCGCTGCTTGGTATGCACAACCATGTGAATCCTCAACAGACTTCTTTTATTGAAGCACTTGCCGCAAGATTCGCATACAAAGGGCTTTTCTCCCGTATGAATCATCAAATGTTTGTTAAGGCTTGCATTGGTTGCAAGCGTTTTATTACAAACGCGACACTCATAAATCTTTTTAGGATTTCCGCTGTGATTAATTCTTATGTGGCGTTTAAGAGATTCAGGATGATGCAGGATCTTGCTGCAATGTGGACAAGGATGAACAGGTTTTTGCTCACAATGCGTCGGCAAATGTAGCTTCAAAGATTTATTCGAGCGATAAGTTTTGTTGCAACCTTCAACAGTACATTGATATAATTGTGTTGGTTCGTTTTCGTCTTTGTGAGTTTTCTTTTTGTGATTGTTAAGGAAGCTTACATTTACGAAACCTTTGCCGCACAAATCGCAAAACGCCGCAAACTCTTTAGTGTGTTTGGCCTTTTTGTGCAGCTGCGCGGTGTATTGGGTGGCGCACATGAACCCGCACACGTCGCACGGGAATTTGAGTCGATCTGCGTGCAAGAGGACGTGTTTTTTGAGGTACCAATTCTCTTTGAATTTCTTGTGGCAAATGTGGCATTCGTAACGTTTTTCTTGGTGTGTTCGGTTATGGTCTCTCATCAAAGAGCTGTCGACTTGTTTGTTGCAGGTTTTACATTTTTGTATTGAAGTGAGGCCTTTGCAAATTAGCTCATGCCTGTACAGGCATGTTCTGCTTGAGTAAATCTTGTTGCAAACTGTACAAGGAAACTTCGCAAAACTAAAAATTTTAATTTAAAAACACCTTCAAGTGCTTACAAAGTTGAAATACCTTCCATCAGGATTGTGTTTTTGCATGTGCCTATTCAAATAAGGTTTTACTTTGAATTTCTTCTGGCACACCTGGCACTGGTGCGGATAGGAATCTACGTGCACCATTAAATGTCTCTTGTAAGTATTGGGGTAGTAAAATCCCTTGTTGCATTCAGGACATTTGAAGCGGTGCTCTTTGGTATGTTTGCAGCCTATGTGGGCCTTCAGGTTGCGTTTTCTAGAAAATATTTTCGAGCACAAATCGCACGTGAACGTTCTAAAAATGATACATGTTTAAATGCATGAAATAGAACCCGGTAAGCAAGTTTATATTTGTGTTTATTTATTCATTTTTCAACTAACTACCTCTTCAAGACTATATAGAATGAAATATAGGGTATCCATTTGAAAAAAGCTGGAAGCATGCAAAATTTCACATTTCTGACATTCAAATTTTGTTTCTGACCATGGTTTGTATGTATTTACACCTTCCTTTTACCTGTGAAGGTAAAGGCTCTAGGTGGGGTATTGATATATAAAAAAACACCCTGTACAAATAAGTGGATTATTGCGGAACTTATGGGTGGACCTCTGCGGGACGAGCGCAGCGAGTTCCGCAGCCATCTACTCACCAATATACTGTTGAACTGTTGAAAAAAAACACTCACTTGAAACGTGTAGTTTTGGAACTAATGAGAAAAATTCAAAACTGAGTGAATCAGGTTAGTATTGTACTTGAACAACATATTGGTGAATAGATGGCTAAATCCACCCATAAGTTCCGCAACAATCCACTTGTTTGTACTTGAATAACTTGTCATAATATATTATTAGTTTGGTAAAGTAACATTACTAATTCCTTTTGAAAGGCGAATTGACAAAAAGTGAATAGTCATAATCTTACAAATTTTGACTTCATATAATAAGTGATTGTTCAAGTACAAATAAGTGGATTGTTGAGGATTTTATGGGTGGACTTCTGCGGGACGAGCGCAGCGAGTTCCGCAGCCATCTACTCACTAATATACTGTTGAATTGTTCAAATAAGACATTCACCTGAACATGTAATTTTTAAACTAATGAGAATAACTCACATTTGTGTGAGTCGACTTAATATCGTAATTGAACAACATATTGATGAAAAGATGGCTGCAAATGTCAGTTATTCTCAATAAATCAAAAACTACAAGATTCAGGTGAGTGTCTTATTTGAATAGTTCAACAGTATATTGGTGAGTAGATGGCTGCAGAGGTCCACCCATACATTCCGCAACAATTCACTCATTTGTACTTGAGTAACTTGTCACATTATGTTACTTGTTTGGTAAAGTAACATTACATCTACTCACCAGTAGACTGTTGAACTGTTCAAATAAGACACTCATCCAAAACATGTAGTTTTTGAACTAATGAGAAAAATTCACAACTAAGTGAATCAGGTTAGTATTGTACTTGAACAACATATTGGTGAATAGATGGCTAGGTCCACCCATAAGTTCCGCAACAATACTCTCATTTGTACTTGAATAACTTGTCACAATATATTACTAGTTTGATAAAGTAACATTATTAATTCCTGTTGAAAGGCGAATTGACAAAAAGTGGATAATCTTACAAATTCTGACTTTATATAAGTTATTTTTCAAGTACAAATAAGTGGATTGTTGCGGAATTTATGGGTGGACCTAGCCATCTATTCACCAATATATCATAATTTAGGGCTAAATATTAGTATACTAAAAGTCCTGGAGAAAAATCCTTCCGCCCCCCAAATCCCCCTTTTAATATCCTGGTGATTTTCTCGAAAACTACCCACTTTATGAAAAAATATCAAGAGTGCATTTTTGAAATCTACAAAATTTCCCTTCCAACGACGTAATGTGAGCCCATATATTATTACGTGGTACGCACCAGTAGCGTATCAAAAGAAAGTTTGCTCCGAGATTGTATTGTCTAGGAGCACCTGACCTGTTATTTGGCAAATTGATGGCTGAAAAGTCTCAGAATTCTAATTTTTTTTAATGAAGTAATTGCGATAAATTTCTTATAGATTCGCAAGTAGACTACCTTTTAATGGTTTAGAGAAAAATATGTTTCTATAAAAAACTAATGCTTAGATCAAAAAAACTGAGAATAAATAGCAAAAAGTATATTAGTCCAGGAGGCAGTGAAATTTTTTAACATTTATTTTTCAAGTTGGTGTATATAGCAATTTGGCTTTTCTCAGATAGTGGAAAATGACCTCAACCCGAAATTCGTCCAAAATGATTTTATTTTTTCCGGAACTTATTTGAAGAGATATTTCAAAATGAAGGGCACTTGGTCATTGCCACTTTTCCTCCTCTACAATGCAATTATCAAATTTGTAATCCGAGGTTTCGTCTCTGAGCCACCATATCATCAAATCCCCATACTGGCCCTCCTTATTTTGGACACATTGTATATGAATTTTGCTTAGAATTACTAACCCTATAATTCTTTCTGACTGAGAAAATAAGTACCGAAAATTGTCACTGCCTCCTAGACGAATTTTTTTTTGAAGTAATCCTTCATTTGATACGACACTGGTTCGTACTATATGGGCTCGTAATACGTCGTTGCAAGGAAAATTATGTCAGCTTCAAAAATTCTCTCTTGACATTTTTCTTCAAAGTGGATAATTACCGAAAAAATCACTAAAATATTAAAAGGTTAGGGGTTAGGGGGCGAAAAAAGGGGGTTGCGGAAGGATGATTGGCCTGGACTAAGTTCGTGTCGTTCAAGAACTTTCAATTAATCTCGGGGCAAACTTTCTTTTGATACGCCACTGGTGCGTACCACGTAATAATACAGTGTGTATCAGCCAATAATAAATAAATAGAAAACTTTTCGAAAAAACACTCGAGCACGTCAATTTTGTTTTTTTGCTTGAGATTTTTTCACAGCAGTTTTTTTATACAGGGTGTTCCGAAAACAGCTGTACCGTTATCATTTTTAGTTTCTTCAATAGTACCCCCTTTATATTATGACATTTCTGGATTCTGTGGAAAATTCTAGATATATTTCATGTACAATGTCATACAACTTTTTCGGAAATATTGACAGTTGAAAATTGACTTTTTTGCATCTTTGACAGACTGTAAAAGCTAAACGGTTGATTTTTCAGTGAAACCGTTTTCACATTCCTATCCTAGATTTTCATAAGCTATCATTTGACTGCAACTTTGAATTTAACCGGAGATTAATAATTTAAGCGAAATTTCTAATCATAGATTAAATTCAAAGTTGGTGTCAAATGATAGTTTATGAAAAACTAAGATGAGAATGTGTGATCGGTTTTTCTGTAAAATTAGTCGTTCAGGTTTTAGAGTCTGTCCAAGATGCAAAAAAGTCAATTTTCAACTGTCAATATTTCCGAAACAGATGAATATAGGTATATGACATTGTACATGAAATATGCCTAGAATTTTTCGCAGAATCCAGAAATGTCATAATATACAGGGGTTACTATTAAAAAAATTAAAGTTGATAACCGTACAGCTGTTTTCGGAACACCCTGTATAAAAAAATTGATGTGAAAAAATCTCAAGCAAAAAAACAAAATTGACGTGTTCGAGCGTTTTTTCGAAAAGGGCCCCATTTATTTATTATCGAATTTATTCCATTTGGCTGATACACACTGTATAATATGGACTCACAATAGGTACGTTGTTGGAAGGGAAATTTTGTAGACTTCAAAAATGCGCTCCTGACATTTTTCCTTAAAGTGGGTAATTTTCGAGAAAATTACCATGATATTAAAGGAGGGGTTTGGGGGGCGAAAAAAGGGGTTGCGGAAGGAGGATTCTCCAGGACCTTTAGTATATTAACATTTGGTCCTAAATTATGACATACAGTGTGTCCACTTAAGTTCGCAGCATATGGGAAAATTTTTTATTATTAATTTTACGAAAAAAAGTTATTCTTTATAAAAGTTTCTGCTTCTCGAAAAAATAATATTAAACTACTAAAACTTGGAATAGCAGGTACAGGGTGGTCAAAAAATAAAAAAATATACAGAATTTTTTGATAAAAAATGGTAAAAGTAGAAAAAAAAATGGCACGTCACTATTTTTTAAAACCTTTGATATTTTTTTCAGATTCAGCAAATAGACCTGCTAAATTTGAAAAAAAAAAAATTGAAAAATGGATTTTTGAGCTAAAAAAACGATTTTTTCTAAAACTTTGGCACCCTGTATCTCAGAAACTATGCACTTCCAGACCCATGTTTATGGGAACTTTTTTTCTTACAATATAAGGAATTACATCCTGACGTTACGAACCGTACTTAGGAAACATCCTGTATATTTTTCTATTTTTTGACCACCCTGTACATGCCATTTCAAGTTTTAGTAGTTAAATATTATTTTTCCGAGAAGCAGAAACTTTTATAAAGAATAACTTTTTTTCGTAAAATTGATAATAAAAAAGTTTCCCATATGCTGCGAACTTAAGTGGACACACTGTATATAGGTACCAAAAATTAACTTTATAATCATTTTTGTTTAGCTTTACCCAAAATTTGAACTATCTTGACTAGGGTATCAGGTGAATGTCTTACTTGAACAGTTCAATAGTATTTTGGTAATTAGATGGCTGCGGAACTCGCTGCGCTCGTCCCGCAGAGGTCCACCCATAAGTTCCGCAACAATCCACTTATTTGTATTTGAAAAATAATTTATATAAAGTCAAAATTTGTAAGATTATCCACTTTTTGTCAATTCGCCTTTCAACAGGAATTAGTAATGTTACTTTACCAAACTAATAATATATTGTGACAAGTTATTCAAGTACAAACGAAAGGATTGTTGCGGAACTTATGGGTGGACCTCTGCGGGACGAGCGCAGCGAGTTCTGCAGCCATCTACTCACTAATATACTGTTGAATTGTTCAAATACAGGTGAAAGCTGCAGGTAAAATTTGAGGTACTTGGTTTCTCTTATAATATTTTTAAAATTTTTAGAACTAAATATGTTGGAGGCGGATCAACCAAATATAGACAAACTATATAGTTTCGGAATCGGGAAATTGTGCTCTTCAAGAATATAGAACCAAATATAGGGCATCCTATTTGAAAAAAGTTGAAAGTATGTAATATTTCATATTTCTGACATTCAATTTTTGTTTCTGACCATGGTTTCTAAAATTCAGCCAAAATTGTATAATTTTTGTATTTACACCTTTCATTTACCTGTAAAGGTAAAGGCTGTAGATGGGGTGTCAATATGTAAAAAACACCCTGTACAAATAAGTGGATTATTGCGGAACTTATCGGTGGACCTCTGCGGGACGAGCGCAGCGAGTTCCGCAGCCATCTAATCAGTAATATACTGTTGAACTGGTCAAGTAGGACATTTACCTGAAACGTGTAATTTCTAAACTAATGAGAATAACGCACAATTGAGTGAGTTAACTCAGTATCATAATTAAACAACATATTGATGAATAGATGGCTGCGGAACTCGCTACGCTCGTCCCGCAGAGGTCCACTTATAAATTTCGCAACAATTTATTCGGTTGTACTTGAATAACTTGTCACATTATGTTACTAGTTTGGTGAGTAACATTATTAATTCCTGTTGAAAGCCAAATTGACAAAAAGTGGATAATTTTACAAATTTTGACTTTATATAATAAATTGACATCCCACCTACAGCCTTCACCTTTACAAAATTCAACCAAAACCACTTTTGTATTTACACCACACCTTCTTTTTACCTATAAAAATAAAGACTGTAGGTGGAGCGTCAATATATAAAAAAACACCCTGTACACCTTATTTAAAATCACCTTATTCTCCTGAATAGTTCCCCCATTCCCATATTTTTATGGGCCATTCTTTAGAAAAACCGTATCTGGCCCAATGCGCTGCCAAAACTAACCCAATCTGGCTTACTTTAACTTAAACTGCCCCCCTCCCTTTCAAAAGGCCTGTATCCACTCCTGACTGCTTCCAATACTGCTCTATCTAATTTGACAAAGCAACACAAGCATGTTAATAAACAGTGGAGGGGAAAAAAAAAATTATACCACAAATTTTTTTATTTCGAAACAAAAAATCCCAATTAAGTTTTCAATTTCTCCGGATGAAATCGTACCATGTGACACTTCAAAGGACTCCGTTGCGTGAACGCTTTGCCGCAATAAGGACAAACGTGATTTTTCTCCTTCGTATGCACGACAATATGTGCCCTCAAAATCACCCTAGTCCTAAACCCTTTGCCACAATGTTCGCATATGAAAGGTTTTTCGCCGCTGTGCAGCCGCATATGTTCCTCAAGACTCCACAACGACGCAATGGCTTTGTCGCAAATCTGGCAAGTGTACACTTTACGTTCACGTTGGTACTTGCGCAAGTGTTTGCGGTATAATAGAGGATGCGTGAAGATTTTGCCGCACTTGTCGCAAATAAACGTGGACTTGTTGGGTTCGTGGTTGTGCAAGTGGTACTTTAGGGAACTTTGGGTTTTGAAGACTTTGTTGCAGCCTTGGAATGTACAGCTGATTAGTGTGACGCTAGGTTTATTGTGGATTGTTTTGACGTGATGATTTAATTCACCCACATATAAAAAACCTTTGTTGCATTTGGAGCAGTGGTATTTGAATTGTTTGAGGTGAGTTCGTTTTACGTGCGCATTCACTCTGGATTTGTCTAGGAATGTTTGGCCGCAAACATCGCAAGGATAATGCACTCGTAATTCTTTGTCTGTATGTTTGCAAGTGTGATGAGCTTTAAGGGCGTCTTTGCGTGAAAATGTTTTCGAGCACAAGTTGCACTTAAAGCATTTTTGTGTTTTTTCTTGTTTGATTTTTAGTTTTGCTTCTTCGTCCATTTTTTGCTTCAAACAGTGATAGGCCAAATGGTTCCTGTACTTTTTGTCGTTCATTATTATATTGCAAATGGTGCAACGTCTTTGGTTGCAGGTCAATTTGTGTAGATTCAATGAAAAAGATGTTTGGAATGTTTGAGTGCAATCGCATTGGTGTTGGCTAAAAAATATAAAATTAATAAGTTTCACTCATTACAAATATTCAAAGTAAGTAAAGGAAAAAAAATACTAGAAAAATAAATTTATTGTCATAGAAAAATGTGATCTTTCTTAACATGAATATTCAAACTTCCCTTTTGTGTAAAAGATTTATCACAATATTGACAAGCGTAGGGTTTTTCTTTGCTGTGCACCACCATGTGCACCTTTAAAAATTTTCCTGCAGTAAACGAGTTGCCGCAAAGTTCACAAACAAAAGGCCTTTCTCCAGTGTGCGACCTCAAATGTACCTCCAAGCTATTCTTTGTTGTATATTGATTACCGCAAATATTACAGGAAAATCTTCTCAAATCTGTATGCCTGTTTAAATGCCGTTTATACAAAGAAACATGATGGAAGGTTTTGTTGCATAACTCGCAAGCGTATTCAGCCTTGTTCACAACGTGCTCAGTTTGCGTGTGATATTTCAACGCAGCGTTGCTGCGAAAGTTGCGCCTGCACGCATCAATCTGGCACGAAAATACACGAATTTCTTTGTCGTGCACTTTGCGCACGTGCAATGTTAGTTCAGTGAGGTACAAAAACCCTCTGCCGCACTGATCACAATGCATGTTAAACTCCTTTAAGTGGATGGTTTTTTTGTGGTAGTCTGCACGGTATTTGGTTGAAAAGTTTTTGCCGCACACGTCGCACGGATATAGCACTCCTTTATTTTCGTGCACTTTTTCGATGTGCATCTTTAAATACTGCAAACTGGTGAAGGTTTTGTCGCAAATTGCACATGCGTGAATTGCCTTTTTCCTTTTGACTTTGTGCCAAACAATGTGACGCTCGTATTTGTCTTTTTTGATGTACTTTTTGCAGGTTGAACATTTTTGATACAGCCCTGTTGGATCGCAAGAGATTTTGTGTTTTAGCAGGGCAAAATTTGAAGAAAAGATGTTTTTGCATAGTGTGCATTCGCGTGGTTCGGTCCAAATGTCATCTAAATTATCACTAAAAAGGAAGAAGGGAAGATTAAAATTTGTAATTAGCGTCAAATTTAAAAAGGTTCTAAAATAAAATTTTGTATTTTTCATTTTTTATTGGAGTCCTACACTAGACATTCAAAATGAGTTAATAAAAATAGTGAATATATATATATAATGCTTATTAATTAGATACAATAATACCTTTAGGCCCTGTTGATGCACCTTCTACCTTCTGCATTAGATGATTCAACTGGTAATGTAATTTAAAGAACAAAAATGCAACCATTAAGTTTATTTAAAGATAAATAAACCGGGCTTTAATTTATTATTCCCACTTCAATTAGGATAATAATTACTCCTATGCCAATTCAAGTGTTTAACCAAATGTTTCGGACTAGCGAAATTCTTCCTACAAATCAAACATTTATACTCCGGATCATGTGGATTAAAATGAACACAATGATTGTGTTTCATGTGCCGCATCAGACTGTAGTGACTCTTGAAAACCGCCGGACACCCGATACAATCGAACTGTTGCTCGTGCGATTTTTGCACGAAACCGTACTTTAAGTGTTGGTAGAGGTCGTCGCACTTGTCGAAAGTGTCGCCGCACTCGGTGTACCTGAACTGGGGCATTCGATTCACCGGATCGCAACGCGGCGCGTGCTTGTAGAACGCGCTGAAGTTTGCAAACCCTTCCTGGCACATCATGCATTGGTATTTGCAGGATATTGGGAATCGGGATGATGTTGATGTCGTCGATCTAAAATAATAACATAATTTTAGTGTTTTTAGTTTACTAGTTGAATTATTGTACTAGGTTTTTCATTGATTAATAAAAATTATGCTGTTTCATTGCACTCTTTGGACTTGTTGAGTCCAGACAACATAACAAATTTATTTATTCCAAAAAAAAATTCAATGTAAATTCTTCATATGATTAGTCAAAGTCCCTCTTTGCGTGAACCGTTTGTCGCACAACTTACACTCATAAGGTTTCTCTTTGGTGTGCACAACTGTGTGAGTTTTTAGTTGCTGTTTCGACGAAAACTTTTTGTCGCACCAATCGCACGCGAACGGTTTTTCGCCCGAGTGGACGCGCTTGTGATCCATTAAGCTCGTTCTACAAGCGAGCTTTTTGTCGCAAATGTCGCAAGGATAAGTGACAGGCTCGGTTTCGTGGCTTTTCTTATGCCTATTGTACAGGAACGGATGTGTGAAGATTTTATCGCATTGTGAACAGCTAAATATTTGTATGTTTGTCTCGTGTGCGGCGGTTATGTGATAGTCTAGTGATTGTTTTGTTCTGTAGAATTTGGCGCAACCGTCTTCGGGACACTTTAAAAGAATTCTTTGATTGTGCATTTGGTTAATGTGCTGTTTTAAAATACTTATGTTGACGAATCCTTTGCCGCACACTTCGCAATAATGAGTATACTTTTTTAGGTGGACCAAGTTTTTGTGGTTGGACAATTGCCAAGGTGAGCCTTTTATTTGTTTGCCGCAAATGTCGCACTGATGTTGAGATTGATATGAAATCCCTCTATGAATAGTTTCAATGTGCCGCTTCAAATTGTTTCTTTTGAAACCTTTGCCGCACTCGGGACAATTTAGATTCGACTGTGGTTTAAATTTGTGTATATTATTCAAATGAACTTTCAGGTAATAGCGTCGCTTGAAGTCTTTACTGCAAATTGGACATTTGAAGGCTAGAGTTGGATCGGACAGTTTTTTTACTTGATTGCAAAGACACTCCATGGTTTTGATGTAAGAGTAGCACAACTCGCATCGGTAATGGCTAAAAAATAAAAATCTTACATAACTTATAATGAACAACTAAAATTTATTGATTAAAAAACACATGAAACTTCTTTTTGTGTCTCTTCAATGGGGCTCGTTGTGTAAAGCCTTTGCCACACTCGCTACATTTAAAAGGTTTCTCTTTTGTATGCACAACCTTGTGAGCTTTCAAATAGTTTTTCGACGAGAATTCTTTGCCGCAATTCTCGCACCCGTAAGGTTTTTCTCCAGAGTGAATACGTTTGTGAGTCATAAAACTAGCACTAGTGCTTAGCACTTTGTGGCAAATCGTGCAGGTGTAAGTTGTAGGGCCTCGCACGTGAATGCGCTGATGTCGTCGAAATAAAAGCGGATGCGTAAAAGTTTTGCCGCAATCATTACAAGTAAAAACTTGATTATTTGAGTGTTCAGCATCTAAATGGTATTTGAGTGAGTCTTTGCTTTTGTAGATCTTAGTGCAATTTTCTTGAGGGCATTTCAATGGGTGGCGCTCTTCGTGCTTGTCGATTTTGTGGTTCCTCAAGTGGCTCTGGCTCACAAAGCCTTTGCCGCAAACTTCACAGTAAATATTGAAGTCTTTCGTGTGCACCATTCTTTTATGGTACCCCAATGCGCCTCGTAAGGATTTGCCGCAAATGTCGCACTGCACCAAGGGCACCAGGCCTTTGTGAATTCTTTTTATGTGGATTTGCAAATTGTCTTTGGAGGCGTAGGTTTTATTGCATTGGGGACATTCGACTTTCAAATCCAATTCGATTTGTGTTTTATCCAAATTAGATGATTCTGGACAAGGACTTTTGAATCCTGTTGGATTTGTTTGAGCTTCCAAGCAAGAATCATCAGTTTTTGTGGCAAAGGGGGTTTGAAAGCACCTAAAACAAAATTGGTTGCATGAAAATATTCATACAAATTTCAACTGATTTTAAGATTCACTTTTAAATTCGTTTTTGTTGCGGTACAAAGCAGCCAAACACAATAAAAGCTTTTCAGTTGTCAATATGTTAAGTCCAGTTTCTATGCCTCGACACAATACTGACTACTGACTGGACAAGATTTCTAACTGGAAATGTGTGTATTGCTGCGGAACACATGAGCGGACCTCTGCGGAACGAGCAAAGCGAGTTCCGCAGCCATTTATTCATCAATACGTTGTTCAAGAATGATACTTATTCACTCAGTTGTTCTCAGAGTAAGTATTTTTTCAGGTACATCTTCAGCTCTGTATCAACCGACATAAAAACCATTTTAGAACCAGTAACTTCCAGTTGTCCACCTATTTTTCAATGAATTATACATTTATCCTACTTGATAAATGAATTGATCGATCTATATAGAACGGTTCTCATGTTAATGTTTTGTATTTATACAAGAAAATACAAAACAAACCTTTGGAGGCTTAAAAATGTATACGGAGATTGTGTTTATGTCAGAATTGGCTGAATATTGTATATAATGTAGATTACGCCTTCCTGATTAAAAGTTACCGTTACACGAATCCTGAAAACTAATTCCTTTTTGAGGAAATTAATTTCATAGGTAGCAAGTAAAACATTTGGTCATTATAATGAACGTACATACAAATAAGTGGATTATTGCGGAACTTATCGGTGGACCTCTGCGGGACGAGCGCAGCGAGTTCCGCAGCCATCTACTCACCAATATACTGTTGAACTATTCAAATAAGGCACTCACCTGAATCTTGTACAATTTGAGTGAATCAAGTTAGTATCGTACGTGAACAACGTAGGTATTAATGAATAGATGACTTTAACAATTAAACAACATATTGATGAATAGATGGCTGCGGAACTCGCTGCGCTCGTCCCGCAGAGGTCCACCCATAAGTTCCGCAATAATCCACTTATTTGTACTTGAACAAAAACTTATTATATAAAGTCAGAATTTGTAAGATTATGATTATTTACTTTTTGTCAATTTGCCTTTCAACAGGAATTAGTAATGTTACTTTACCAAACTAGAAATATATTATTGTGACAAGTTATTCAAGTACAAATAAGTGAATTGTTGCGGAACTTATGGGTGGACCTCTGTGGAACGAGCGCAGCGAGTTCC